CCCTAACCCTAACCCTAACCCTAACCCTAACCCTAACCCTAACCCTAACCCTAACCCTAACCCTAACCCTAACCCTAACCCTAACCCTAACCCTAATTTTAACTTTAGGATAGTAATTTATAAATAATCTTAACTTTAAGGCTTAGAATAGTAATTTACAGCTTATTATAACTTTAATGTTTAAAATAGTAATTTATAGTTAATTATAAACTTTAATATTAAAGATAATAATTTATAGTTAATTATAACTTTATATTTAAAATAGTAATTTACAGTAACTTATAAACTTTAACGTTAAGGATAGTAACTTATAGGTAATTATAAACTTTAATATTAGAAATAGACTTATAGTTAATTATAAACTTTAACGTTAGAGATAGTAACTTATAGTTTGTTATAACTTTAGTATTTAGGATAGTAATTTACAGATTATCTTAACTTTAAGGCTTAGGATAGTAATTTATAGTAAATTATAAACTTTAACGTTAGAGATAGTAACTTATAGGTAATTATAAACTTTAACATTAGGAATAGTAACTTATAGGTAATTATAAACTTTAATATTAGAGATAAACTTATAGTTAATTATAAACTTTAATATTAGGTATAGTAACTTACAGGTAATTATAAACTTTAATATTAGGAATAAACTTACAGTTAATTATAAACTTTAAAATTAGGAATAGTAACTTATAAGTAATTATAAACTTTAACGTTAGAAATAGTAACTTATAAGTAATTATAAACTTTAACGTTAGGAATAGTAACTTATAAGTAATTATAAACTTTAACGTTAGAGATAGTAACTTATAGGTAATTATAAACTTTAATATTAGGGATAGTAACTTACAGTAGTTTATTATAAACTTTAACGTTTAGGATAGTAACTTATAGGTAATTATAAACTAATATTAATATAGGACTTTAATATTAAAGTCCTATATTAATATCTACTCTAACTACTGTGCACAGCCCTATTTTAAAATAATATAACTATTATATTTTTAATCCTAATACACTTAGTCTTACCTATACTATTACTTTAATATATATTTCTTATAGAAATAAGTAAGCTATATTAGAATAAATATAATAAAAGAATACTAATAATAAAAAGTAAGTAGATATTTATTTAACTAACTTATTTTAAAGATACTTTAGTTAAATAAAGAAAGTCTATTTAATTTAAAATACTAAAGATAATAAGTTTAAATTAAGTACTAAGTAGTAAATAATAGTATAATAATAATTTTTCTTTAATACTTCTAGTTTCTAACTACTATAAAATTTTATTATTAATGTAGCTTTCTCTTTTAAAGTTAGTTTAGATTAATTTAACTATTTTTAAAGTTCTTAAATACTTTATAGATATTTAGGTTAGTATAGAGAATATATATTATATTTAAGTAATTTTTATATCTAGTAAATTTTTAAGTCTATATATTAGGTCTAGGTAATTCTTAAGTCTAGTTATTCTTTATATCTAGTTAATATTTACGTTTAGTTAGTTTTTAAGTCTATATATTATATTAAAGTAATTTTTAAGTTTAGTTAATTTTTATATTTAGTTAATTTTTAAGTTTATATATTAAGTCTATATAATTTTTAAGTCTAGTTATTTTCTATATTTAGTTTATTTTTAAGTCTATATATTAGGTCTAGGTAACTTTTCTATTTAGAAATTATATCTACTTTATATTTAGGTTTAGATTTTAGGTACTAGCTTATTACATACGTACCTATTTCTATACACTTTTAGGTTAAGAATTAATAACCTAGTATTTCTAGAATATATTATCTATATAAATTATATATAAAATAAAAGAAAAAAAGTAATATATATACTATTATTTATAAACTTACCTTATATTTATACTATATTATAGTTTAAAATATTATCTTTCTTCTATACTTATCTAAATAATAAAGCTGTAATATAAATAACCTAATACGTATAGTTATTTTATCTTTAATTTTAGGGCTATTTTACTTTATAGAAATTTTCCTACTAGACTTATAATAGATATTATTAAGGTAGTATTAGCTATAAACTTCTTGGATAATCTAACATATCTAATAAACTATAACACTTATTATACTACTAAGAAATAGGGACTTATAATTTGTAGAGAGAGTTTATTAGAATTGCAGTATATAACGTTATCTTTAATAATAGCAATGCACTGTATAAAGTTAAGAAAGGAGAGAAGCTAACACAAGAGGAGTTGTTTAACGTTAAGAGTAAGTCGGCCTAACGTTACGGCTTTATTTTATGTATCTAGAAGCTTACAGCTAATATGCTCAAGGCATCGAGATTCTTGAGGATGGGGATAGTTTCAACGTTCCAACTGGGATCAAGATCAAGCCCGGGGTTAATAATCGAGAGAGTGATAATATAGTGGAAGCGCCGGAACATCAAAACCATCAGCGTCACTTTAAGCGCCACACGTCAGGTATTACAGTAGAGAGCGCAGCTTAATTATGTGCGAAGTATAATAGTATGCGCAGCTCAAACGTGGATCATGTCATGTCTTAACTAAACAACATTTCTACACGTCTTACAATGCTTCGTCTTTGTCCCACCCATTGCCTGATCGATTACCATCTAGATAGTTTATTATGTTCTCTTTCTCACTTGCGACATCCAGTGGCTCACCCCCATCCTTCCAAGAGGTTACATGCTCTCCCACCCAGGAAGCCTTGCACCTGACACGTCTGTGCAACACCTGGCCCTTATGGTTGATAGCAATTAGCAATGCCCATCCATCCTCACATGCCTCGCGGTCTGCAACCACTACAAGCAACGCTTGACGCGATGCCAGATCATCGTCATCCTCTATTGTCTTAGAGTGTCCACTTCCCTCCATAGCGTCGGGGCACCGCACGAGAGCGCTTAAGATAAAAGACGGTATAACATCCATTAGCTCCACCTCATCATCTGCGTCTCGTGCCAGCACTCCATAGGCAGCGTCATTTTCTTCAAATACGAATGGGCCAAACATACTGTTGTCAAACCCGTGTTGATCTGGAGGCCATAAAGCTTTTTGCCACAGCTGGAGATACGCCTCGTCGGCACTTGTACGCGAAACCGTCTCTTCAGCCAAAGTATCTCCAAGAGATGCCTCATTGCCATACCATGTCCGAATCCAGATAGCACCAGCAGCACTCCACTGTTCTGGATCCGCTGTCTTGCGCTTCTCAAAAGCCGACAGGGTTGGCGGAATGTGATCAGGTATGGGAATGTCGAGAACTTCCATGCACCGCTGGAAGTAGACCTGATTAAATCGCGCGTTAGTGGTTCCAACTGTAAGGTACTTGCACAGTTGGACGAGGATATCTTACAGAGCGGCCACATCTGCCGAGGCTAATCCATGATTTCACGAGATCCCGTTCTTGCTCGTCTTGGTGGAGAGACGATTCTGGGTCCCATCTTTCCTGTTGCTTCACGTCAGCCGCAATTAAAAGAGCTTTAGCCGTCGTCGCTAGAGAGAGTGCAATCAGGCGTACTACAAGGAAATGATCAAAAGGCATATAGCCGAATATCTTGTCTAAACCATGCGAAGTGGCCATGGCAGACGAATTACTGTGAGTCGAAGTGGAGAGTAAAAGATCGTGAGTGTATTTTAAAGTAACTAGCTTGCTGAGGAAACCAGCTCGCATACAAAGTACGTTATAATCATCGACTACTAACAATACTACTTTCGCTAATTCACAATAATGGGTTTGGAGAGTTTAGCCCTGCCTATCTTGTCTGCTTACACCTTGCCACCTTGCCTAGCCCAGCCCAGCTCTTAGCCGAACCGTGGGGCGAGTATTAGCGTGAAACAAGACAATCGCATTATCCTTGTCCACAATCGCGATAGTCAGCCGTTGCATCCTGAATTTTCTACAAGTTTGGCTTTCGGGAGCCTGTTTCTCAATCAGCATAAGATATATTCAGGGATCAAGGCTTATGCGAGTCGAGCGACAAAGTTCAAAACTATGGGTGTAAGACGTGTTGCAGTAATTGGCTTGGGTCCAGGTGGCGCTATCGCAGTGGACGCACTCGCTCGAGAACGGGCTTTCGATGTCATACGTGTGTTCGAAAGAAGGGCAAGTCCAGGCGGTTGTTGGTATGTCACAAAGTTTCATTGCGACAAGTTACTTCGAACGTCAACGATAAGGAACAACACTATTCAGAGTACTCACAATGTTTTAGGATTGAGGACGAAGCGCCCCCTCCGCCCTTTGATCATACTATATTTGCATCGCTAGCGACCCGTACTGCGGATGCTCCTCTAGAGACGCCAACAAGACTTCCGATACGCCTCCCAAAATCCAAGCAGACGCGTCACACTGAATCATCGGTTTATCCATACCTAGAAACCAATGTCGACAGCATTCCAATGTCATTTTCCCAGGAACCTATCTCTGATCAGCGGAGTCCAACATCGATAGCCAAACATGGTATTGACACACCATTTAGACATCATTCCACCATTCGTGAATACATCGCCTCTCTGGTGAACCGAAAAGGTTACGGGGAGTTCGTTTCCTACAATACAACGGTCGAGCTAGCGGAGAAAGTAGGAAATGAATGGCGATTGGTGCTCCGAAGAGAGGGAAGTTTTGCTGAAGACGACGAGTGGTGGGAGGAGATGTTCGATGGAGTCGTCGTAGCGAACGGGCATTATAGCGTTCCGTATATTCCCAAAGTTGAAGGGTTGGAGAAATTTGAATGGACACGACCAGGAAGCGTAAAACACAGCAAGATGTTTCGCGGTAAAGAAGCGTATCGAGACAAAGTGAGCATCAACCTTATTGTATCACTGAGGTAACACGACTAACCGGGGGGTAGCGCATCGTCATCGTTGGCGCATCAGTCTCTGCAGCTGACATTGCCTACGATCTCGTTGGCACTGCCAACGACCCAATCTATGCCGTGATTCTCGGTCACAAAGCAAACGGCTACTTCGGCGACGAAGCGTTCAAAAACCCCGGTATCGTTGCAAAGCCCTCAATCTCGCACATAATGGATGATCGCACTGTACACTTTATCGACGGAACATCAGTCGCAAACGTTGACGAACTCATATTCGGAACAGGATATTCATGGAGCCTCCCCTTCCTACCCCATGTCGAAGTGCGCAATAACCGCGTCCCCAACCTTTATCAGCATGTCGTATATCAGTCTGATACCACTTTGCTCTTCGTTGGCGCCGTAGGCGCAGGCCTTACCTTCAAAGTATTTGAGTGGCAAGCAGTACTCGCCGCGCGTGTACTCGCCGGTCGCGCAAAACTACCTCCACTCTTGGAACGACAGCAGTGGGAGCGAGAGAGGACAGAAAGACTTGGCGATGGTGCCATGTTTACGTTTGTCTTTCCAGATTTCGAGGAGTACTTCGAGACTTTGAGACACCTGGCGGGTGATGACGGACCGGGCAGGAAGTTGCCCAAGTTTGAGAAGCAGTGGCTTGATGTGTTCATGGCTGGTCATGAGATGAGAAAGAAATGGTGGAGAGAAGAGAATGCAAAGGCCAGGCAGATGTACATCGAAGATTCAAAAGCGAGGTTATGAAGATAGACCTCATAGGCAGATCTCAGGTGCCTGTGAATGTGCAGACACATTCGATTAGCGGCGACTGTATTCATTTCTCCCTCAAGTCACGTACCAACAAGGCTTACGTTTATGGGCATTGACATCGCCGGATTAAATTAACCATCAAAAGCGATCTGTGATTGGATTGACTGCATTGAGTGATGTATCAGTATGAGTGCATAAACTTTTCAAGGCTTTTAATGCAGATAACTCTCTAGTAATCACGGAATTCTTAAGCAGAGATCTTTGGAAGACGTTTGCTTCATCCTCACAGTGACGCCACCCCCACAAACTAAACCTGAGCTGCTCAAGTATAAGTAATATCACCTATCATATCCGTTGTATTTATCCGTTTCCATCCATTCACTTGTTAATCTTTTCTTGTATTGCAAGACAGCGATATACTTCACTTTCTTGCGACTATGCCGACAGTGAGCGCGGTTGCTGAGTTCCCGGTTAGGAAAAGACGATGCTTCCAGACCTACAATGTGCTCGAGACGATAATGCTCGTTGGTGGGCTAACATTCATGACCTCGATTCTCGTAATCGGTCTCAAAGTGTGTTGTCTATAAAAATCTCGTCGCCGTTCTACAGCCCCACACGGTATCACTAGAAAGCAAGCTTTTACTGCTTAGGGTTGGCTCGTGAAGTCATGATCTTTAGATTGTTCTTCGTGTACAAGACGGCGAGGCACAAGTAGCTGTAAAGAGAGACAGATAATGGTACTTGGAATATATCTAGAGGCAAGGTTTAATATATTTTCTATTTATATCTTCGCAAGAGATCGGTCTATATCCAATGGGTTTGATAGGCATAACACTTGCTGACTGTGAATTGCATGTCCTACGTAGTTCAAGATCACATGCAACAAACTATATGAAACTATCGAAGGGAACAGAATCTACCACTTACCAAAAGACTTCAAAACGGACGCAAGCTTTCCATAAGATACTCATCGGTCACGTCTGCCTCCTGTGGTTGTCCAGTATTACCTCCACCGTACCTACATTCGATAACCAAGATCACTTCGATGGGTTTGCCCCCATTTGGCGCAGTAAAGATTATGCTTTCAAGTAGAACATCGGTATATTGAACATCTGTGACAGAGGTTCCTTCTTCGTAGAATTTATCTAACCAAGCTATAGAAGAACATGCATGAACTTCCGCATGACCAGTCGTTACCCATCTAGCCCTCATCATGAACTTTTAAGTAGTTCCCGGACCAAGCTTCACAGCCTGGGAGATAGATCGTGAGTTGATTACGATGTTCTTATCGTTGCGAAGTCTGGCATGACCTCCAGTGTTGTCCACTGTAGCGTCTCCAATTTGGAGGTAAGCCCAATACCCTGCCCCTGGGATACTGAAATCGGAATTTGCGATAGCGGTCGAAGCTGAGTATGCGGGCATGGCAGCTGCAGTGGCTGTATTTGTAGCTGAAAGTACGATTGTCAAGTTGTTGGTTGTGAAACAGTCGCGATTAATGTTGAATCGTTACTTGGCAGGGTAATCATCGCTGTTATGGTCACAGCTGACACCTTTCCTACTCCCGGAAGTCGGTTGGTGGTCGGGACAGCCATAATTATGACCTGGCTTTTACCAGGCAGACTAAGTGTATTCACAGCTGTGATGGTAGTCTTCTTTCCAGGCAACGTAACGGTGAGAGAAATGCTGACTGCCGTTTTGGTGGCAGCGTGACAGGTAGAAGCCTGTCCTGCGATAGTTATAGTAACGGTAGAAGGACATGTCGCGTATCTTAATGACTTGCAAGCAGAAGCTTCTGGTTTACCATCGCATAAGCCATAGTCGTTCTGGCAGGTGTTTGCTGCACGATATGTACTCGTGTTGCTACATAATCTTTGGCAGGCCCGTTGATAACTGTCATTGTTTTTTTACAGATTTCATTTTACTCATCGTTAGTGTGACAGATGCTGGATATGAATACAACAAAGGTTAAGCTAGAGTTGCAGATTATATGAAACAGCTTCTTAATCTCGCCGATACGGAAGAAGGATGTGACAAGTACAAGGTAGGAGTATATTATTCTGAAGGATTATAACGCGTGACTGACCAGCCGGGAAAAGAACAACTGATGTGTCTTTTGTGAACGTAGTGAGTTCTTATCTTTTTACATGATATATGTCACTCATTAGACTGGGAGGAGTCGAAATAGTGGTTTGTAGGTGGAAAGGAAATCTAGTAAGTGTTTGTCAACGTCCCCAAACGATGAGATTTTCAACAAAAGTCATGCTTCTTCTAGCATAAGGATTAATTCTACCCCGATATCCGCCTCATCAAGTACGTCCCATCGATCAACAGTTGAGGTTGTAAAGTGTTACCGCTGCGGAAGAATAGAAGTCTCCCAAAAGTGATACTGTTAAAAGTTTAGATAACGTCGCAAAAATTAACTCTCAGATGTGTTCCTTGCTCGACATAATGTACTGTAAGATACACAGCCAGTTACGCTAATTAACTTTTCGAGTCATACAAGGCGTTGAGAAGTGAAATTGGAAAACTGAGAGCTAAAGATTGACGGCAATCTAGACTCAAGTTGCAGTCTATATCGGGAGCCATAGAAAGTGTTCTGAGGCTGAAGGGCATTGAGGATTGTAGTTGAGGATGGTATGGTCCAGAACTGACGACTGATCAGGAAGCGGTCCTCTTGCTGTTTGAGTGACGAGCATCACGTTCTATCCTATACATGGCATCTAACATACAGGAATTGGCATCGTCGGAATTTGCACGTACGGTGTAGTCCATGTATTTATAACTCTGTTAGGTTACAAGAGCCTGGACGAAATCGCGTGTTTACACAAGGGAAAATTGAAACCCGCTATCTGGCGTGACTGAGTAAGAACAGATGTATTTGAAATACCCGGGTGTAGCATAGCCTGCACTAATTTGAATGTGACCTTAGAAATAGAATCCGAACGGATGAGCCTTGGTCAGTTGCTGGCCTTAGCAAGCATTCTACATGCGTGGCTTGACGATTTCCAATGTTCTCTCACGATCCCATAGAGCTTACTTGGTTGGCAGTACTTGCGAAAGCCTCAACTGGGCTTGCACTTCCAAACATATTGTTTCCTATTAGGGTTATCATGCTATTAGAAGTCTTCCAGCTGAGGATTTGCAAATTCCACGATACACACAGTACGATGTCTGGGCTCCTACATGTCAGTGGTTTCGTGACGGTCAAAGTTCGCTTATTGTCCTGAGCTAGTATTGGAATCCTCTGGTTGCGGTGATGGCCGATGATTACCTAAGCCTGTTTCTACTTCCTCGTCCCAGCCAGGCGATGCGCGCATTCCCACACGACGGGCCGACTTGTATCTGTCGTTGAGAGCATTGGACTTTTGCGCAGCAGCCTGTGCAACTTATAGCGATGCGTTAGATAATCCGCCAAGATTGACGCACCCCGCACCTTCTCACCAGCTGCTCAACCTTGTCGTCGCACCCCCAGCATTGCATACCCTCCCCGAGGACGCGCGGGAATGCACACTACAACCAAGTCCTAAACAATCCGCATACTCAGTCGAGCACGCGACGAACACGTTCCCGAACGCGAGCGACGCCGAAACGACACCAGCGTCTTCCAAAGCGCGTCCCCGCACGAACACGACCAGGCGCCGCAGCACGAAACGCTACACACATGCGCACGCGTAGCGCATGCCGAGCCCTGACAGACTTCCGTCGGGATAGACATGTTTCATGCTCATGGTTCCAGATAAGCGACTCCGTTGCGGAGTCCCCGGCGACAACGGCGACTACCATTCGCGACGAAACACATTGACGATGAGGGTCGAGGTCCAAACCGCGTCACATGATGCACATGTCTTACCCTCAACCATATGTGAGCATCGTGTGTGTTCACAGGGCATGGTAGAACCGCCTCTGGACTTTGGGACCACCTTGACAATGACCGTCGACCTTGGTGGAGCTGCATGATACCACCGAAAGCATTCACAATGAGTGTAAACAACGAACAGGAACTGATCATACTTCTAGACTCTATACTGTAGAGAAGAATGGCTGAATCCAGTTGGCTTTCGACATTCAACGGCGGCAATGAACCAGAGACGACACGTAGTCGCGCGGATGAAAGAGACCCTAGAAGTCAGCCAAAACGAAGGCGCGTATTCATGCAGCTTGCTTTTTGTTGACCGATTCATTCTTCACACCGACGTTGAAGACACGTTGTACTGTTCTGGGACACTTGGTTAATTCATAGCCCGTACAGAGCCGTGTAGAACGCGAATATAGGTTAAGTCAGGACCATAATCATTGACTACTGGGCGCACTACTCTAACAACCCCATCTTCTTCAACACCAGCTCAACCAAGTTCATGATGCTTCCGCTGCTCAACAGTTCCAACACCTGCACGTTAATCTCCGTCTCGCGCGTAATCCAGTTGCGAAGCTCGATCGCGACGAGGCTGTCCAACCCTAGATTCTTCAACGTTTGCGAGGGCTCAATTGCGTCTGCGGGGAGGACCAGAATGGCCGCGATCTTCTCGGCGAGCGCGACATAGAGCGCCTGTTTCGCATCCTCTTTGGACGCTGCTGTTCGCAAGACCTTGGACAACGCGACGGTAGCAGTACTCGACGACCCGCCAGTTCCCGATGCGGCCTGTACAGCTTCGCGTAAGACAGCGAACTTTTCATCAGACAGCCAGAAGCTGGAGTCGTCTGACGTATCCAGTCCCGTGATGCATTGACCTTGGCAAGACTCGTTCATCTTGCCGGTGACAGCGGCAGCGAACAGGGCCAAGACCTTGGATTCGTCGATGGTTTGACCGCCGATGTTCTTGAGCACTTCTTCGCGGCGGGCATCGCTGCCATCAGCAAGGTAACCGATGTTTGAGACAGCTGCCAAGTCGATGGATGTGCCTGGCAGATCTTGTTTGCGTCGGAATGCCATAAATTGATCGAGGAAGACGTTGGCCGCGGAGTAGGCTGCTTGACCTCGATTGCCGACCACGCCAGCGACGGAGGAGAGAGCCACGAAGAAATCGAGCGGCGAAGAGGACAAGACCTTGTGGAGGTTGAGAGCACCTTCAACCTTGCAGGTAGTGACGGCGTGGAAGTCTTCTTGCGTCATCTGTTCGAACAGCATGTCACGTAGAACCATGGCTCCATGCACAACACCCCGGATTGGTGGCAAGTCTTTCAAGTCCTCGTTCACCAGCTTCTCAAGAGATTCTTCGTTTGAGACATCGCAGGCACAAACAAGGATGTTCGTACCACTCGGTGCAAGCTGATCGGTAAGCGCCTGAATGCGGGGGTTGACTGCAGCACTCCGAGAAGTCAATACAATGTTGCGGGCGCCCTTCATCGACATCCACTTGGTAAGGCTACGACCGAGGCCACCAGTACCTCCAACGATGATGTATGTCGCATCTGGCCGGAAGAGGATGTCGCGAACCTTCGCCTTTGACGCCTAGAGATCGTTAGCCATTGTCATGTGTGAAACTAGAATATGTACGTACGAGAATCTGATCGTCTGCATGGGGAACCACCACCAACTTGCCCATAGCCTTTCCGCTTTGCAAAGCGCGGAACGCCAATTCGGTCTCGGAGATAGGGTATGACTTGATCGGTGAGATAGGTGAAAGAATGCCCTTGCTCATCAAGTAGGTCACGTCCGCAAGCAGACGTTGCATGAGCTGCGGCTTGTATGCAGCGACCTTGGTCAAATCGACTGAAGCGAAAGTACAGTTGTACTCGAACTTCAACATGTCCAGGCGACTGTTCCTTGTGATATCAGCTTTGCCGATTTCGATGAATCGTCCGAACGGTGCCAAGGTGTCCCAGGTCTCTCTGAGTATGTCGCCGGCCAGAGAGTTCAGGACGATGTCGACACCAGCGCCGTCGGTCGCTCTCCGGATGTCCGCTCCGAAGGATGTGTCGCGGCTGTAGAAGATCCTGTCCTCGGGGATAGAGTATGTATCGATCAAGAACTGTTTCTTGTCCTGACTTCCAACCGTGGCAAAGATCTCTGCGCCAACCATCTGCGCGAGCATAATGGCAGCCTGTCCAACACCACCGGCAGCGGCGTGGATCAGCACTTTCTCGCCCCTGGTCATTCTTCCGAGGTCAAACAGGCCGTAGTAAGCAGTGCAGAAGACTACTGGGATAGTGGCTGCCTGCTCGAACGTCATTGTGTCGTGGATAGGGACTCCACTAGTGCCGAGGCATCGTGCGTAGGTGGAGTAAGCGCCCTCTGTCATGGCCATAACTCTCTGCCCAACTCGAAGATGGGAAACTTTACTTCCTACAGCGGAGACAATGCCACTGCATTCGACACCAATGTATGGCTGACTGACTTGGCCCATGCAGACCACCACATCCTTGAAGTTGACGCCAGTAGCCTTGACCTAAAAGAATGAAGGCACGATTAGCAGATGCTCATAGTAAAAAACGCGTAGAAGAAAGGAGCGGGGTTGGTTGAGCCTGTAGTGATAGGTCCCACTTGCCCAGACATTCTGGTTACAACCCGCGTTGTCGATGTCCGGGAACATCTGACCATCGGCTATAGGCTCGGTTGTGTGCAATAGATAATGCTTACCTCAATCTCAATCTCGAAATCCTTCAACTTTTCCGGCACATCATCGACCCAATGAATGGTGTTGAGAGAACCATAGCTGCCGATCTGGAGTTGCAGTCTTCGGTCTTCCTGCTTGTATGGTTGCTTCTCGAGTACCGATCCATCTGTCTCGTTGCTGATGAAGTCGTTCATAGAGCGGTCCTCTTCTATCCGCTGGACATACAGCTTACCATCGGTGGCCACGAACTCCATATCGTTGATGGGTTCCACGTGCTCGGTAAGCCACAGAGCATCAAGAGTGCGCATGATCGACTTGGAAGGCCAGCTGGAGTTCAGCTCAGTAGATTCGACACCGAGAGTTGCGATATGCGACATGTTCTCTGAACGTATCGATCGTGCCATACCGACGCTCATGGCCGACTCCGGCGTATCTCGGGAGTACACCCACACAGTCTTGGCTGCATGTAGAAGGATTTCTTTGAGACTCTCGAACTCTGATGCAGTAGCAGTCCGCAAGGACTTGTCTCCAGTCTCGAGGAGAACGATTCGCTTATCCTTACAATCTGTCTCGCCGAGTTTGAAGATCGGTGGGCGCGAACCTGTGGCGACATCGATCGCCTCAGCCAAATCGCTCGCGACACTCGGGCTCTCGCCAAACAGGATGATCGAAATATCAGGCTTCTCGACAGGCGTGCGTACTCCAGATCCTGTTTCGGCCTGCCCATCCTCTGTCTCTACAAGTCCGTTCGATCCATTGGCTTGGTGACCATTCGCTCGGTGACCATTGGACTCCATCTTTTCGACCGGGATCGGGCCAGCTTCAAACGGTTGCGTGGTAAGTTTGAAGCAAACCTTTTCCGTGTCTGCATCACCGGAAGCACCAGCTCCCCTGATGGGCGTCATGACAAAGCCATCGAACTTGATGACTGGCTTGCCCAAGTTTCCTGGCCGGGTCGCGCAAATCTCAAACGTGGTCGGCTTAGGGTTGCCCAAATCGGGACTGCCAACACACCACACAGATAGATGCTCGCCGGGGACCTTGATGATATCGCGGTCAATCTTGACCGACCGTACCAATGTGGGCATGTACAAGGTGTCGAATTGGTCTCCTGCTGCACCAAGGATGGGCCACGTCAGGTGTAGGAAGATGTCGAGAAGAGATGGGTGTATGACTAGGTCGGACTCGAACTCCTTTGGCATGAGACTACGAGTGTCCTGCACGACGATATCACCTCGACAGTGTTCGGTTCCAATGTAACACTCTTTCAGTCCCTGGAACGTGGTACCGTAACCAGCACCCACAGCACTAAGTTTGGCGTACATGTCCGTCTCGTCGACCCGACGCGTTGCTTGGGCTTCGACGCTGGAAGACTGTCTCTTGATGAAGTCCTCCTGCATCATCGGATCTGCGGCTACCGAACGGCCTCTGTCTTTTCCTGAATCTTGAACGCGAACGAGACCTCGGCAGTGCTCTGCCCAGCCACGCTTCGATTCCCACGAGCAGATCTTGAACTCGTCCCAGCTGTCGGATTGACCTCTCGACGCGTCACTGAAGGGTCGAAGGGTGATTGTTGTTTCCGTGTCAGAGCCATCATTGAGAACCAGAGCGGCGCCGACTACTACCTCACGAAGCTCAAAGCTGTCGAAGGTCGTGTTGCGATCATCTGCGCGTTGTTGGGCAGCTTCCACTGCCATTGACAGGTAACCCGCTATGGGGAAAACTGGTATCCCTTGCATCTTGTGGTGTCGCAACCACGGGACGTCATCTAGGCGGATGATGTTTCTCCATGTGGGTTCGAGATCGTTCGAGTAGTTGGCAAGTACGCCAAGTACATCGTTTCTCTTGCCCGACCTAGTGAGATGCTTTTGCGGAATACGAGCTTCGTGCCAATATGAAGCGGAATGCTGCCATGGATACCTGGGTAGATCTTGCACCAGATAGTTATGCTTGGCCCCGGTGGCAGGGAAATTGATCGCGATCATATCAAGAGTAGTGCCTTTGGCATACACCGCGCCTGCAACCTCCATCACCGATTCTACGGCGTTGACATTCCGGAGGAGGCTGGACGAGTAGCCAATCTTGGTGGCTGAAGATCCGAGGGTTTTCAAGATATCCTTGATAGGTCCTTTCAGAGTAGAGTGCGGTCCCAGTTCGATCAGATGGTCCGGCCTACTCTCACTTGAGCACATCGGCGCAAGTGCGTCGGAGAACAGCACAGTTGACACGAGGTTCTTGATCCAGTATTCGGGACCGAGCTCCGAAGCATCGACCTCGCGTCCATAGACCGATGAGTAGAATTTGGCGGTCAAACTGGTAGCAGGAGTTCGATCCGCGATTGAGGCCAGGTACAAATCCGAGACACGGGCCATGTGCTCCGAGTGATACGCAACGTCGATTTTGAGCTGACGATTGAAGATGTCGTCCTCGTCCAGAAGGTCATGCAATTCAGCCATGGCAGACTCATCGCCAGAGATTGTAACACTGGTAGGGCTGTTGACACAAGCAATCGTGAGGTATCCAGGTTGGATTCTCTCCATGTATGGCTTGATAGCCTCCGGGCCATAGCCGACGGCGATCATACCACCCCTCAGAGTGGGATACAGCTCCTTCAACTTCAAAGTCATCATTCCTCGGTGGTAGGCTAGTGCCATAGCCGCATCAGCATCGTATGCTCCCGCGGCATAGGCAGCTCCAATTTCACCTGAACTATGCCCTATCACGGATGCAGGGCGGATGCCCCAGGCTGCGTAGAGATTGACCAAGCCTATCTGGATGGCTGTGCAGGCAGGCTGGCTGATGTGCGGAGAGTTGACACGAGAAATCTTTGCTGGCTTTTGCAGCTCTTCCAGGAGCGAAAAGTCGGCGCCAATTTCTGTGAGGTACTCGCTGGCTTTGTTGATCGCGGATGCGAAGATAGGATATTGATCCATAAGACCCATACCCATCTGCGCCCACTGGGCACCCTGTCCGGTAAATACAAAAGCCTGTGTTGGCTCTCTCAGCACCTTGGGACAGTTGAGCGTCATCTGAGCAAACTTCTGGGTGAGCATGCTCAAGGATGAAGCTGGAATCGCTAGCCTGTAGGCGAGATTTGATGTCCTCGAACCGAGAGTGAAGGCCATGTTCGAATAAAGCATCTTCTCGAACGCTTCGGGTCGCCGCTCGAAGTAAATGCCTAGGTTCTTGATCCGCCCCTGCAAAGACTCTTTATCGTTTGCAGAAACCAGGAAAAGCTTCGTGAGCGGGTCTGGTAGTTGGTCTGGATCGACTTCCAAGCTTGCGTCTCTGCCCACTGGTGGCCGCTCTAGCACGCAATGTGCGTTCGCGCCACCAAACCCATAGTTCGAGATCGAAACATACTTCTTGTTCCGTGGCCATGGTTTCGTTGTTGTGAGAACTTTCATGTTCCATTCATCCATGGGAATGGCGGGATTTGCCTTGCGAAAGTTGGTGGTGGGAAGGGCCAGACCTTTGTCTAGCATCATGGCTGCTTTGATAAGCGAGACGACACCGCTCGCTCCTTCCAAGTGGCCGACATTTGATTTGACTGAACCAATGTACAACGGATCCTCAGGGCTTCGGTGGATTGAGAGAGCTTCGTGCACAGCAGAAGCCTCGATCGGATCTCCAACCTTAGTCCCGGTACCATGCATTTCAACGTACCCACAAAGGCGCGGGTCTAATCCAGCATCTTGATAGACCTTTCTGATGATATCTCTTTGCGCCTGCCCGTTTGGATTGGTGATGCCCTGGGTCCGGCCATCTTGATTGGTGCCTGTGTTGCAGATAACAGCTCGAATTGGATCGCGATCACGGATCGCAGCAGCCAGGGGTTTCAGGAGCACAACGCCGGCGCCTTCACCCCTCGCAAATCCTGACTCAGCTCGTTCGTCGAATGCAAATGTCTTTCCATGATCATTGAACAGTTGAGATGTGGACATTGAAACGAAGTAATCCGGTAAGATATTGAGATGACTTCCACCCACAATTGCTTCTGTCGACTCACCAGACTGTAAGCTTCGTACAGCATGATGCAAAGCTACGAGCGAGCTCGAGCAGGCGGTATCAAAAGTCATACTGGGCCCTCGCAGGTCGAAGGCGTAAGAGATACGGTTCGACTGCATCGCTTGGGCACAGCCGGTAGCCTGATGCATTGGCGTGGTTTCGAGGTCCCTCAGGTTCATCAGCTCATAGTCGGAAAAACTACCGCCTACGTAGACGCCGACGTTGCGTCCAGCGAACTGTTCCCGGGGCACACCTGCACTTTCGAACGCCTCGAATGTACATTCCAGAAGGAGTCGCTGTTGTGGGTCCAGAGAAATGGCTTCTTTGGCGGTAAGGTTGAAGAAAGATGCGTCGAAACGAGAGATGTCGTCGGAAAGAAAATAGCCACCCTTGGGGTTGAAGGTTCCAGGCTTTGAAGGGTTTGGGTGATGAAATGCGTCGAAGGAAAACCTGTCCTTGGGCATCTCTGACCACCCATTTCGACCACGGGTGCATAGCTCCCAAAGATCTTCTGGAGTCGACACCTGTCCAGGTAGTCGACAAGCGTACCCGATGATGGCAACTTTGTCAGTCATGGTGACGGGTCGTTGTAGGTGGAGGTCGTGGTAGAACGAAAGAGGAGTATTAAGATTCGGTGATGGGTATAAAGGATGGGATGTCTATCTGAAGCTGTGTGATGTCGTGGGGACGAAGCTATTTATGCAGATTTTGGGATACTAGTTTACCTGTTCGTCACATTGGGACACAAGTCCGCCTGACCACCACTTCGGAGGATACTAGCCCGTCTGTACACCACCTCGGAAAGTCAACCGTGTTTGTTTGAAGCTAAGGAAAGATCAGCGGCTGCCAACATGCATTCTATGGAGCTTTGAATATGATGCAGCAGGAGATAGTGGCGAGTTGCGCGGCCGGTCCCCCCATGGCCTGTACCTTGAACGTAGCAAACTCAACTGATATCAAAGTGGGGTGAGGCAGTGATCAGCTGCGCGGCCGATCTTCTTGAGGCCCGAACTAGTGTGTCCTGGATGATGCAGACTAATTTGCTCAAAAGGTTCACAATTTATAGTCGACGAGTGCCCTCCGCTCAATCGAATTCACAGAACATTCGAAACAAAAACAACCTCAAGAACAACACGATGCAGTTTCTAGGCTTCCACGGTGCCATTTCCAACGCGGATGTGAGTTCGTCCTTTTCAACAGTGCTCAGAACGATGCTAATGTTGAAATAGTACTTCGGTATCCAGCTAGGTAGGCCACTCTTTGTGTTATTTCTGTACAGCAACTTCTAACTCACGATAGCTCCGCTGGAGAAGGAGCTAGAGCGAGATCAAGCGGCATCTTTCCACTTCATGAATGCACCTATCCTAGGTGATCCGCCATACGGTATGTACTGGGCCCAGAGGTACACAGAGATCCCCTAGTACAAGGAGCTCACATGTTGCACAGGGGTTGAGAAATACTTTGGTAACGGGCCCTATCGCAGCTGGTTCTGCGATGGTGCTGTGGGATCTAGGCGCATGCTCGAACGAGTCCGGGACATGCCGACCGGAGACAATTCTGAAGAAATCATGCGAAAATTGAGAGGCAAAAGACAGGCCGGAGCACAAGAGCAACTAAAAGACAATCTAAAAGAAGTGATGGACTCAATCTACGCAACCTTGAAGGAAAACCCTCAGATCGAGGGTGTTATCGGGTATAGCGAAGGCTCTTGCCTTGCAGCGTCCCTCATCTTGGACGAAATCAGACGGGAACAAGAAACTGGCCAAGCCAGGCAGATTAAGTGCGCCATATTCATCACTGGCTGGCCACCGTTGGCTTCGAACGCCGACTTCGTACTGAGTGACGAAAGCGCACTCAAGATCGACGTTCCCACCCTGCACATCGTCGGAGCAAATGGTAACCCTGCGTCTGTCTACTCAGGATTACATGAGGCTAATGCAAGAGATCAACAGATCCCTACAAGCATGGAGCACTAGCAATGTTCAATGTCTGCGATGAGAATACTGCTACGCTTTTTGACACCGGCAAGGGACATACGATTCCCAGATCAGGAAGGGTGATTCAAGAGTTGGGCGACGCGGTACGGGAGATGATAGGCAGCACACGCAGTCAGACTGTATGCTGAGGCTCGCCAATGCAGTGAAGTGGAGGAAATTGAGCAACAGGTCGTTTCAGGACATTCAGTAAAAGGAACTGGAGACCTCGCTTAAACTGAGCTAGTTTAGAACGACGTTGTAACCCCGTAATTTGCTTTGAACCAATGAAATTGTACAGCGAGAACTTCCTTTTCTGATGACTTTGAATGGAACCAGTCTAAGTCGGGAGATTGTAAACTATCTTTCGAAAAGTGACGATCTGCTGGCACTCGGTCCACTCTCACATCACATGAAAAGCTTCGTCATTAGACATGGGATTTTGTAAAAGCCTTGTTTCTTTTATCGCACTTAACCCAGCGAATGAACATTCAAAACTATTACGATAAATCAAATGTCTTTGTGTGTAAGCAATACACTAAAATGTGTCCTTTGGGACAAACCTGGAAGTCCGTGCTCAAAGTCGATCTGCCTAAACAGGTATTGTGCATGATAAGGTTCGAAATGACCTCAACAAACACCATCGACAGCCCAATTTTCCCCGGCAAATTTGGGAAGCAGTAACGCATGCAAAGAAACCGAGCATTGTAATAGATAAGCCTATGTCAGTCTGTCTCGATGAAGCTCCAAGTTTCTCTATTTGGACGACGGAGCACTTACTTTCTGCAGAAGCATCACACGCTACCGTGGACAAGGATCTCAAGGTCATGTTCTGTGCTCTGTATTTCGGCGCAGTTGCCCGACATGCATCTTACATCTTCCAACTTCGCGATATCACTCAACGGTAGATGCCATTACTCAACTGATCGACAAGGTTTTGTTCCGATTTAGGCCTCACACGAACGTTTCACCACGTGCGACGTTACGGTTAGACAGAAATCGTGACCGTTGATCGATTGACAGCTTTACCTTCTGTGATGTCTGGATTTGGGTAGTCGTCAAACTTCGGGTTATATTGCATCATCCTGTCAGATTACGTTCGACTTTCCTGTTCCAATCCCTTGTTACTATTGCTATCCTAGTATGCCATGAGTGACTTTGACACATCGGCGCATCAGCTTCAGTACATGGAAGATGCTTGACCATGTTCGAGATCGCTATTTGTCCACCTGCCGGAGAACATTTACTTTCTGATCAACAGTGACCGCCGAGTCGTTTTCCGACACTTACTAGTCTGCGACTCTGTTCCAATTGGATGTATTACGCCATCTGACCATTGATGAGACTCTCTCACTATCAGCAAGTATATCGAGAACTGTCTCCGATCAACGTGGATACTCCTCAAGCTTGTCGTATCACTGGTCTGCCTTTTTCCGCTTTCCTATGAGACCTATAGATGTACCGAGACTAATCGCTTCCTTAGTCGCCGTTAGCGACTGCTGTCCTTAGAACTATAGTCGTCTTGGCTTTGATAAGGCAGCTCTTGATGAAAGCGGCTGTGATGAAGGCGGGATTTGATCGTGATCATACAGGGTACTTGTCGAAGTACTTTCAATACAACTGCCGGTCCCTTATTACTGGCTCGTCGCTTTATAGACTCGGGGGAGCAATTAGTTAATCGTAGTGTGACTACCATATCACCTCTACAAGGGTGAAACTCGCTCGGGGCAGACTCGCAAGTAGAATGGGACCTCGGTTCCAAACAACACCCAGTCTTTCAGTCATGTATGAGAGCTCTACGCGATGACGAACCCTCCAATGCAAGTCACTTGGTACCCTCTGCATGATCCATGCAACAAGGGGATGTACCTAGCAGAACATGCATTGCATACGTGATAGAACCACTATACCTCGCCATGAGGCACCCGACATGGCCCCTCAGGATCTCTGACAAGAGCAAATGAAATAGTAACGGGTTGGGAAATTCCGCGTCGCCTAGAGCTTCTGGTTCCACCCATCAATGAAGTGCTGATGACGTCCAACGAGATTGGTTCGCAATTCACGTTCCGAGGCAGTAGTCTCGGACTCGTAGCGGATATATCAGTCTGACAAGATCTGCGACATGCTTACGGTAATCACTAGTTTTGACGGATCAGGGCAACGCATATCCTGGTACATTTCAGTCACCACTAGGTTGAAATTGAACGAAGGCGAATGGTATATCGTTGAAAACGCTCTCACACAGCAATGACAAGGATTCTTAGGGAGACGTGACCACTCTTCATCCAGGACGATCATTTCCTTCTATGGCATTGCAGGGGATCTCGTCGGGTTGTGCCTGACATGCACGAAAGTATCCGACCTTGTCGTTATCCTGTATAGTGGCTCGGTTCCTTATGCTTTGCGAAAGATGATTACGAAACACGGTTGCGGGTTGTGATGAACGTTGCGTCCATAGGTACAATGACGGATGGGCCCGCGCTTATCTCGTGTCAGGGGACAGAGCTGGAAGAGGAAAGATCTGTCTACAGTAAGATTGGAGTACAGTTATGCAAACACACGTGGAAGATAATCTCATATACCTAACTTAAATTCAATCATAGCCTTTGATCTGGGTTTATTTACAGTTCTAGGTCATGTCGTTAAGCTTTCTTTCGTGAGTCAGGGGAAACTCCAAGCTGCGGTAGGGCTGTTGGAAGGGATACCCCTGTTTCTCGCCTCAGACATCAGGCAGCATCAGAGTCATGAACAACAACAAGACTCCACTACAACAGCAGCCCCACCCAAATCGCCCATCTCGCCCACCAAAAATATGTCCAGTATATGCGTTTGTAGTGCACACACGTGTCGCCAATCCTGACCGGCGCGACCGTTCGCTATGCTTCGCAACCGTTGCAACGTCAGTCTCGACTCGATCGATAGCCCCGACAACGGCGGCCCGCCCTGCCCGTTGTGCTACTCAAACCCCAATTATCCGTCACTTGGCCTGATCGTCGTGCCTACGCGGCTCGATCTTCTGGTTGAGCTAGAGAGAGCATGCCCTGCGCTGCAATATTCTCATGTACAAGTCCCCGCCGGGCGTAACGCCGCTTTGTATCAGTGTGATGGGTCAACACGCCATAAGCAACATCTCGTGTATGCGCTGAAGGATGCTGTGACTGTGCTGGCGCATGGGTGATAGAGAAGGATGGCGTAGTACATGGGGATGGCATGTCGGCCACATGGCCGAGGCGCAATGTGTCGGGATTGCTGCCCAAGAGGGACGTGAGAATGAAGGAATACCCAGATACGTGTGGCAGGATCTAGACAACTCGACAAAGTTTCAAAAGAAGGATTAGGTCGTCGCAGATCCGTCCGAACGCGTCAGCGACAGCGTCGAGGAGGGGATCGTCCAAGGCCCACCAGACTCCGCACCACATCCACTCCTCCGCCCCCACACCCTCAACCCTGCCCAACAGTACAACCCTCGGCCAAAGCCATCCCCGTCGCACTTCCTCACGGCTCGAACCGTCTCTCCCGTATCCACAACACACCACTACTATACTCCCTAGATATCACGTGCAGATACAATTGGAGACGACCGCACACTATCACCCCACAAGAAGTGGGGACCCTCACCACACTCTAGCCCACATAATGTTATCAAGTTTTTAGTTCCCACAATATGCGCCGGAACACATCAATCCTGGTCCGTAGCGCGAAGGACGCGATATATTCCGGTACTTCGACGATGACGAGGATCATGACGAAGATCATGGATGCATGGATCAGGTGCAGACGCAATCCAAGGTCGTAAGACTTGGTTATGGTAGTATGATGAGGTACTGATGCGAGGTTTTTCCGAGGTTGAAGGTACACGGACGGATTAAAGATCAAGGGCCGGTGGTTGAGTTAGGAAGTGATAGTGAAGCGGGGAGTGGTCATGAAGAGCGTACCCACACCTCATCTTCAACATCAGCATTGGCTTTCCAATCGACCTGCCGTCCATGTTGTAAAAGTTGGTTCCTGCGATGATCTTGCAAACGTGCTCTTCAGTATTCTCCTTCGCTCAATGCCTCATTGGCTTCGCTCGTGATGCGTCGATTAAGAATTACTTGTCGGTCAGGTCCCAAACTACCTTCCCAGTGCCATATCGACTGCCACACAGTATCAAAACTAAGCGTATGTTGTATCGACATCCGTCGTCTTTAAGGCACGATCATCCTCTACCACCTGTATGCTAGCCTTATCGTGACTGAATCAATGGCCTTCCCGCTGTCGGTGGCTTCCTGGCACTTGTCGTAGTGTTCACCTTTACGTGGCTTTCAAACAAGACGAGCAAGTATAGACACGTTGTGATCGTTGTCCATATGTACTACATACCTGTCTTAATCATCGGTCCCAGCTAAATCGTAGATAAGCGGGTAGCACAAAGATCGTGGTTGCGACGTGGGTGATGAGTGCGATCCCTGGGCTTTTGATAGGAACTCAGTACTATTGCAGCGACGATCTACCGCTGTACCGCAAAGAACCGAGACCACGGATCCATAGGATAGCAGGCGATATGTTATCTACTAAGGCGCAGTAGGTCGCGTTCTCCACGTACAGTCGCAACCTGGTGAAACGATATGAAGTAGCAGGTGGCTAGAAGATGTAACGGTATACTTTGTAGATAGTATGCTTTGTTTGAAGTGCCCACAATGGCTAGTACGGTGTCGCATCGACATGTGTGTTGTTTGTAGCTGGCTTTCGACTCCATTTACCCTTGAACTTGCCGCCTTGCTGCTTGATCCGCTCTTGTTTCGTATCCGCAACCCACTCGCCTCGAAATCGTTGTTTGGGCCTGTTGACCTTCTCTTCGGCGAGGGCACGCCTAGTGTCCATGCTTCTGCCATTGATGTGACCCTCGACGGGTAGGTTTGCTTTAATCCATCTGTCGAGCTGCGGCTGAAGTTTGGCCTCCCAGATATGTTGACCAGCGTTCAACTCCTCATACGTCAGTGCAGGCACCAAATCCGGACATTCTGGTGGATCGTTCAACGTGAAGGTTGCCTGTCGTGTCCGAAGCAACGAAGTCATATGCGAATGGGTTCCACAAGCAAGCCCAAGGTCATGTGCAAAGCTACGTACGTAGAAGCCAGAGCTTACTGTAAGTCTTATCTTCACTGCAGGGACTGGAGCAGCTCCTTCACGGCCAGGCCAAAGAAAGTTATGTTGGGTAGGGTCATGCCATTCGAGCAGCGTGCACTCATCGACGCGCATTTCTCTGCTCGCGAGCTGTCGCGGTAGCTCTTTGCCTTCGCGCGCATACTCACAGGCCTTTTTTCCATCGATTTTCAACGCAGAATAGATGGGTGGAGCTTGCGTAATGACTCCCCGGAACAGCGCAAGTTTGTCTTCCACGAGAGCCTTTGTGACATGTGTGGGATGGGCTTGCTCTACGATGACACCAGTACAATCATACGTATCAGTACTTGCACCAAATGAGATGATGGTTTCGTAAGTCTTGTTGCAAGCCAGGTACTGTTGAAGATGTTTCGTTCCCCTCCCAACACCTACGATCAGAACACCTGCTGCCAACGGATCCAAGGTTCCTCCATGGCCCATCCTAAAGAGCTGATCATCACTTTTACTGGGTCTTTTAGGTTGTGAATGTAGAAGAGGTGCAAGAAGTTTTGATGATGCGAAGGCTGTCTGCAGTTTCTCGAGCACCTCTGCTGAAGAAGTGTGAGCCGGCTTAGCGACAGCTAGACGACAATAAGCTTCGACTACGGACATCACGATGCAACTTACCAAAAACACCTTCCAGGACTATTCCTTTGTATGACTCCATTGTCAAGCATGAGAAAAGCAGAAAAGTTATGATGAAAATGATGTTGCTGTGATCGATTCGCGTACCGTAGTGTGCAAGGCGTAACGCTTGCCCTAATCGAGGATAGTGTGAAGTATGTTCATCTGCGCCCTACGCCCTCCGAACGCCGTTGTCAAGGGTTAGTCCTGTGTCGACGAGCGCAAGTGTTTGGTTCGTGATTGTGGCTTGAAGGGACACCACTGTTCTGTGTCCAGTGAGAAGGCGTCGTTCTTTTCCGCCTGGACGGACTCTTGACTAACTAGACCGGCCCGATAAGCACTCCGAATCTCGGGCACGTTCTTCACAGAGTCATCAACACGTTCTGTGTCACGAACCAGAATTCTTCGAGAATGGAGTCGCATCAGACATCCGATCTCCCGACCTGGGTAGAGGATGGAGTAGACCTTTCGTGGATGACCGACTTCTACGCAGTCGACGATACCCACAACGTCATCACGTCCCCAGAGTCCGTGGGGCCTACTTTCGACAGCATAACAACTTCATTTCCATGGGAAGCACCTATCAATCCTATCATATCTGCAGAAACTGAAACCACGGTAATGCACACCGATTCGACTCCAACTTTCTCGCCCTGGACAGAAGCGCTGCGCAATGAGCGCCCGCCTGAAATGCTGCGGCAGCATTCTCTGCCACGCCGTCGCAGTAGGTACATACTGCGAAAAAACGGGTCTGATTCAAATTTGCTGCCGAGTGCCACGGGAAACATATTTCGAGGAAGAGGGCAACCCCTCGCCATGCAGCGATGGCAGAATTCGCCACCAGAGGATGAAGCAGCATCATTAACAGCTATCTACAATGCTTTGGATAATCACTCCTCAAGGGAACCGTTGGACATGAGTCGTACTCAAAGCTTCAATGCATTCCAAAATCATCGCGGCCCTTCTTCTACTACAAGTCTGGACAGTGGAGCAAGTGGGTCATCTTTGCACTCAATCAACTCCAGTCGCTCCAATGGCTCGCAAACGAACCGCCGTAGTCGTACTCCTAGACTTCGAGCACAGGCCAAAGGAAAGGCTAGGGCGAAGGAAGGTCCTGATCGTATCTTTAAGTGTACATTTTGTTGTGATACGTTCAAGCACAAATACGATTGGGCAAGACACGAGAAATCGCTTCACTTAAACATGGAGGAGTGGCAATGCACGCCACACGGGGGGTCTGTTCTTCTCGTACACACTGGAAGAGTTCATTGCGCATATTGCAGCGCTCTCGATCCGAACCCTGAACATCTACAGCAGCACAACCACTTCGCTTGCCAGGATGAGCGTTCCACGCCTCGTGTGTTCCGCCGCAAGGATCATCTGGTACAACACCTACGACTAGTACATGGACTTGAAACGCTTCCACTGATCGACGACTGGAAGATTGAATCTATGCCTGTTGTCTCTCGATGTGGATTCTGCAACGTGGCTCTGAACAGTTGGGATGAGCGAACAGATCATTTGGCGGCTCACTTTCGCGAAGGAAAAACCATGTCGGACTGGCACGGCGATCATGGCTTTGACGCTGCTGTGACAGCTCGTGTCACAAAGTCATTCCCTCCTTACCTGATTGCCTCCCAGTCAACAACGATTGTTCCATTTTCGGCCACCAATCACGATTCCCTAGACCAGACCAAGCAGATTCTAGCACGGATGGAACTTTTGACTACGACGTCTGCGACACAAGCCATGACCCAGGCCAATCAGAACTATCATGTTTCTTCAACTCAAGATTACCAGCCGATTACGATTCAGACTTCACCCACCCAGCAAGAACTTGATACTGTTGAGTTTGCGGACGTTCTGGCCCTGTATCTTGGTCAATATGCCCGGCAGCAGGCGCTTTTGGGTATAACGCCCACGGACGAAATGTTTCAACGTGAATCCCGCAGAGTTCTGTATCATGATGGAGATGATGAGTGGAATCAGACAAATGCCGATAATCCGGATTGGTTGAAGGCATTTCGCGCTGGCATGACAGGGGATGGCAAGTCACACACTTTCTGATTTCCTTCGGTTTGACTAATTTGTAAGTTTTTGGCTTTTGCATGGAATATCCCACGACAGTGTATGCTACTCTTTTCCTACAATAGACATTCATTCTTATCAGTTTTGGTATTAATATTTTGGATATATCTGCAACGCTATATCTCTCAAATCGGCCCCCAAAACGTCCTTCGGACATGTAAGTGTCATACTGAGCTACTGGTAAGAACTCCTGCCTAATTAGGCAGCATGTAAGTATAGACAAGTATAATCACACGCCGTTATCGTTGATATATACTGACTTTCACTATCACAAATTAGCAATAGCTCCTCACAACCTCTGTTTCGAAAACAAATACCTATTCATGCTTCAAGGTTCCCAAACCTGTTTGGTTGAGATAATAGCATAGATATATGGCATGCATTTAAAGATCAACTCAGCAATCCTAGTTGTATGCTTGCAGAAGTAATCCACAATACAAGGTTCGAAAGTTCTCCACTCTACAAGCGCAAGACCAGAATTGACGTTCGTCCTCTTCCTGGGGGATTGATTCGATCCCATCGTAGCGGGTGCATTTGTTGATGCGGTATGCCAGCTTCGAGACAAGGGTAGGGGGAAAACATGCCGAGGTTGATGTGTTGCCTGTTTCAAAAGCTCCGACGCTCGGATCTACACTGGGATCTTATTACTCCCGCAAGTCTGGAGCGGAGGTGGAACTCCTTGTCGTTCTCCGGGATGTGGGCAAGTCTGCCGGTGAAATTACACTTTAGCTAGACGAAGGGGATAAGACATGGATTCGGGTATGTTCTCAACAATAATACCTGGGTGGTATCCATGGTTTTATGACCACCTAGTTACTTGGTCTAGTTCGAAACCAAAGAACCTTCCCTTCTGGGTTAACATTCCGCAGGTTCTTGTGATGGTACATGTACACGGAGCAATCCGTATGCACACGGTCACTTCAAGCATGGATGAACTTGATTTGATTGCAGATCCTGATTGCGTGATTCTTGCCGAGTCGTCAAAACTTGCCTTACTTCACGCATTTATTATGTACAACTCGAGAACGTTTACCGATTTGAAGTAAACCGCCTCAGCCTTACAACAAACATACTTCTGGCACTATTGCTCAAATGGCTCTAGCTACGGTAGGGTTTGATGGGCTAGCGCAGAATTCGTCAGGACCCTGCAGGTCCCCGTCAATACACAGATCCAACCGAATGCTTCGTCAAGACCAGCCATCACTATGCCTTCATTCATCGCTAACGATGGTGTGAACTTGCATTACGAAACACACGGCTCGAGGGACAACTTCCCCTTGATCCTGGTGAGTGCTCGCATCTGATCACCCATCTCATCGTCCCGGAGCCCCGCTTCACTTTCATTCAAGTACACATAGTAATCGACCCTTGCCATTAGTTGCACGGCTTCACAGGCTCTGGTGAGGTCTTCAAACGTAACGTGGATGCACTGTCCAAGAACTACTACCTCGTCGTCCCAGATCTGCGCGGACATGGTAGTTCGGACAAGCCCAAATCTGGATATCACGTTGCACGATTAGCCTTAGACTTGGAGAACCTGCTCGATCACTTACAATTCATCAAATCTGGCCGAGGCAAGATAGCAGCGATTGGCACGAGCTTAGGGGCAGCTATTCTTTGGTGCGTCGGTCTATTGACAACGAGTCGACCAATCTAACAGAATCACAGGAGCTATAGCGAACTTTTCGGCACCAGCGTCTTCAGCCATGTCGTATTTGTTGACCAGGCCCCTCTCCAAAACTATCTGTCTGACTGGGGTCCTGAGTATGGGAACCGCGGCTGCAATTCACCAGAAGCATTGGCGCAGATGCAGCACACACTCGAGAATGATCCGGAGACTGCTCATCGTGGCACAATTGCCGCATGCTTGGGCTATCGGTCTCATCCGAGACATGCTGACCCTGTAGAAGGGTCGAAAGAGTGGCAAGATACGGAGGCGTTCTTCTTGGGCGAGGCGATGAAGGGAGACGGGTGGTGGTACGGCAAGTTGATGGCCGACCACACGGCAAATGACTGGCGGTACTCTATTGCGCAGAACTTTGGACCGGAGAGTCCAAGTAAAACTAAGGTCCTTGTTGTTGCGAGCTCTCGGAGTGGGTGTTTTCCCGCTGCCGGCCCGCTCAAGGTCGTCGAGCTGGTAAATGGTGAACGCAAAGACGGTCTTGCGAAGGGTGTGGACGTGGAATGGGGTGGGCATTGGTGTTACTGGGAGAAACCCGACATGTTCAACGAGCTGGTCATTGAGTTCCTGGAGAACCATAGAGGAACAACCTACACGCGTTAGAGTCTCCAACTTCGGCATATTGCCAGAAGCCCTTTCCTGTGAGGTTATCGTTAGTGCAAATTGCCTATGCGGCGCAGCAGCTTTACGCGCCGAGCTCTATTTTCGTTGGCAGTTCAAGACATCTGCGTTACCCCGCCGCGCCACACGTCATACGCCGTTCACGGCGCGGATATCTGTGACTGAACATGTTTCACAGAAATCATCTCAACTGTACATCGCGTTTATAGCAGGACGTAGTGTGTCTGGGCAAAGATAAGTTTTGACGCCTTGAGCCATCAGAGCTAGGTCGACCTTGCATAAGCCTCCCACCTTCTGCGCGACTTTGAAATATCTACGAAGATTGGGTTACGGGCTGTACAAACCTTTCTGCCAACTCAAGCAAAGCTCGGTACTAGAGATCAAGATAAAACCCATAGGTACTTCCTGGCGTGAACAGTGCACCATCACATAGGAAGCTAACCTTTTTTACAGCAGCTTGAATTACTTGCATCGACATTACCTCAATCATGGAGGCGGCGGCAAAGAAGAGTGCCTCGAACACAGAAGAGGCGCCAAAGTCTACCCCCACAGAGGCGGCTGCACCGAACACTACCTCCATGGAGGTGGCGGCATCGAAGTCAGCCTCGAGCGAAGAAGCAGCGCCGCAAGAGTACGTTCCATGCCAATTTGAGCTCTCCTATCAGATTCATCCTCCAAGCGCGAGGGCATGCCATCGCATACATACAACAGTTTTCTTTGAATTCCTCTCGGAGAAGGAGATGTATAATTGCCTGATAGCCCTCAGAGATAACATGTAGTAGCTTTTCATCTTCCTTACAGTCTACTTTTCCACAATCGTACCAACTTCTCCTATCTTTATCATGCGTTACTTCCTCCCTTTTCTTGCGTTACTCTTCTCAGAAGTAACTTCTGCCAACCTGCTTTCTGACTCCTTTACCAGAAGCACATCTCTCCCTCAATCGGAAACTCAAATGAAACCTCGAGACGGAGGCATTACATACATGGCATGGGCGAAAAACTCCGACAACCTCGACGAAATTATGGAAACCAATAGGTTCCTGAACAATACCGTTGTGGATAAGAGCGAGCGCATTAACTTCTGTAAACCTCGACCTGGTAAACGTCTGCTTTGGGGCAGCTTGACGTTGGACGATGCCGCTCTCAAGAAAGTTCAAGAGTATCCAGGCATAGAGCGTGTCCTGGTGGAACCTGATGTAGACGAAGATTTCGTAATCCCATCGATAAACGAGTCTGTTTCTACGGGTTGGTTCGCAGATGCAATACAGGCCAAACGATCAACATCGGACTGGAAGAAGCAAGATCCTGCACCAAAAAATCTTGCATTCATCAGTCAACCAAAGTGAGTACCCCAGGCTTTTGTGCAATCGTTATTAGCCTCTAACAATTCACTCCACTTTTAGAGATACACAGCAGAAAGACTACAACGATTTCGTTTATCAGGCGAAAGCAGGAGAAGGTGTCTACATCTACGTTATCGACACAGGAGTTGCATACAATGTTGAATATGTAAGTCTTCGATGTCCAGTTTACGCAATGACCACTGATCAAATTATTGTAGGAGGCGGGTGAGCGGGAGTTTCCCAAAGGCAAAGCTTTTTCGCTACAGACCGAAGATTCCAAGTTTCGTAAAGATCCAGAAGATTCAGACTCACATGCCAACTCTCATGGGACTAAAGTGGCTTCAGTCGCTCTAGGTCAACGATTTGGGGTTGCCAAAGGAGCCACACTCATTGCAGTAAAAGCCATACCGACAGTCGTTGACAGACTAGAAGCGGTCGAGCTCGTCTATGAAGACATTGTCAATAACCCAGATCGGGTCAAGAAGTGCGTCGTGGTAACTCCCTGGACTGTGAAGAACAACGATCCAGCGTATGAAGAAGCGTTTACAATCGTATTCAAGAGACTGCTCGGTTTGGGGGTCCCCGTAGTGGCAGCAGCTGGAAATGAACGTAAGAGATCGGATGACATTGATAAACTACCACCATTGCTGTTTGGGCCAAAATTTCCAATTATCAATGTTGGAGGATCCGACAACAATGGTGTACGTGGTGGATCCTCGCAAGGTGGTTCCAAACTTGCGATCTATGCTCCGGGTCAAGGCGTAGAATTGTCGGACAAAGATGGGAAATCGGTGGTAGGTTCAGGAACATCGTTTGGTAAGTTTCCTTTCCGCTGATGTCTACCTGTCATAACTACATCTCTTCTTTTTTTTAGATGCAGGATTCTAACAAGATTACTCAGCGTCTCCAGCAGTAGCAGGCCTGATCGCAACGTACATGGCCTACGATACTATCCCGTGGGATGACAGCAAAAAGGGCATTGAGCGCGTTCAAGCAATCATGTCGTTTGTTCAGTCGGATGCAAGCAGTGTTATACGCAACACCGAGACCAAATTACGAATTATTTGGAACGGCGCCACAATAGAAGATCACAAAGACGCCCAGTCGGAAGGGAGCAGCCCACTACCCTACAAACCAGGCACCTGTGTCGTGAGCGTCATCCTGACCCAGGAGCTTTATTCGCCTGTTTCGCAAACGTATGGTTGGGAAGGTGATATCTACAATGCGGCTGGCGCACGCATCAACGGTTGCAGCACCCAGTACCAGATCCATCCAACCTCTGAGGATTTCAGTATTGGGTGTGATCCTCTCAAGAATGGAGTTACTGTGCACGTCGGCGACCGTGACGTTCTGGATTTCAAATTCGGCGATCAGACCTGGAACTCGGCTGATAAGAACGCTTGTGCGGACGGCTCATGGGCACAAGTCAATGACAAGCCCGTAAGTGATATACCCGTGCTATCTGCTCTTGGTATTCAACACTAACGTTTATTTTAGCGGCGTACGTTGATCTGTGAGTTCCAGTGTGCATGAGCTCACAAGAATATTCTTTGCCTTGTATCATCCAATCTTTTCCAATTTCTCAATATTTGTAGTTATTTTCTTCACTGGTAGCGAGGACAGAGGTTCTCCAAATCATCAGTCTTTACTCATCGCTGTTTGTGGTTCCGGAGGCGTTCGGTTTGCATTTTTCAGAAGAGTAACAAGGCGTATGATTATCTTCTACTGGTAGAGAAGCCGGCAGTCACCGCGTATGAACAAATCTTATGTTTCATTCTTATTGTGTATGATCGGAAGCCCAGAGAATGGACTATGAATATGTTGATGATACTGATGGGTGGTCACTGAGAACTGAGTGAACACGACAAGCGCTCCGTCTTATATAGTGAACTCGAATACAGGTAAGTTCAGGCGATTTCAAGTAACCAAGACAGACTGTTTGTAGACGGTACAATAGGTATGCCTGTAGTCTAGATGTGGGTTTACGTATCTCGGTTGAATCGAGTGGAGTCTACTTGGTGTGAGATTTCTGACATCCTAGCACAAAGAATTCGAGGACTCTAATGATGTGTGCTATAGGTTTCTATTCAATGAAGTAGATGATACTACTTCGTTATGATTACAGATTTGGTGCGCATAATTGCCGGGACAAGGACAAGGAGGCTCGAAATTTGAGGGTTTGCTATAACGAATTGGTGCTCTCCTACCTATGACTCTCATAATCTTTCATCGATATGAGTTTCGCGATCAGTTTCCGGTATGTTACCTCCAGGACGTTGATGATGAGTAGGGAAAAGAAAGACGGCTGAACACGACAGAGAACTCTGATCTTCTTTTGAACGATGAGTGAATCATATCTAAGATACCTCTATGATGCAGTATCCTGGTTGTATATGCAGTGGATAGAAATCCTATAAGAATATGATGTCGGATACAATGAGACCCTGATGTCTTTTCATCGTAAAGTTTAGTGATCGAGAATAGGATATGATTTGCAAGTGAGACGTTGAGTTTCCTGCGTCAGTAGATGATGATGTAGTGCACGGAGAGCATGTACTACCTGCGACCAGGAAGGCATATAAGTGGCAACAGAGGAGGAGAGACGTCGTAGTGAGGTGTGAGAACACTAGCTTACGATTAATAAGCCACGCCTTCCACTTCGGAACGCCCCTTCCGAAATCGACGTGGTAAGCTCTTGGTAGCCTAAGCTCGCCGCCTTCTCGACGCTTCCTGGGCTTTGTCAAGCCTGTTCAGTTCGCAGTGTAGTCCTAGCTGACAGCATATAAGCCACGTCAAACCCGCAACCATGGCGTCTCCAAACCCATCTCACCCAGCCTCGTACGTGGAGATGTCGCGCGGAGACGTAGAGAACATCGGCGCGCACTGCCAGCTCGAATACTGCCACGTCTTGGACTTCCTACCCTTCAAGTGTCAGAGCTGCAAAGGGTATGTCATAGTCAAGTCCCTCCCTCTTCCCTTTCATGCTGACAAACCCAGCACCTTCTGCCTCGACCACCGCTCCGAACACGCCCACAAATGCGCCCACGAAGGCCTCTGGGCCCGCGAACGCACCGCCCGTGCCAGCTCAGCCCCCCTCGCGCCCAAACCCACGCTCCAAACACATGACCGCCAATGCGCCGAAACAACATGCAAGACGCTTATATATACCAGCCTTGTCACAGGCGTGCACTGCACCCGCTGCAACAGACACTACTGCCTCAAGCATCGCATGGAAGAAGAGCACAACTGCAAGAATCTCGAGCCCATCGGCGCGCGCCCCAAGGGGATACAAGACCGCGCGCAGTCGGCGCTGGGCAAGCTGAAGATCTGGGCTGAGAACAAGCGCAAGGAAGACGAGAAGCGGCGCGCGGGCAAGAAGTCGGGATTCATGGGTATGGGGTCCAGCTCCAAGAGTGCGGCGGTCGCGGCACAGACGGAAATCAATGCGCTGAAGCGCGCGGCGAAGGGCGAAGCCAGTATACCGAGTGAGAAGCGCGTGTATCTGCATGTCGAGGCGTCGGCGGATACGACAAAGGCGAAGTTTCCCACGGGGAAGTTCTTTTACAACGCGGATTGGACTGTGGGGCGTGTGCTGGACGTGGCGGCGAAAGCACTGCAGGTGCAAAATGTGAACAACCGGGGTGGAGGCGAGGAGGAGAAGCTGCGTGTTTTCCACGTCGAGGGGGGACGACTGTTGAAGTTTGGCGAGAAGATCGGAGACAGTTGTAAGAACGGGAATATGATTGTCCTGTTGAGGGGCGTGGGGTCTGGGGAGCCGGATCTGATTGATCTGTAGGGGAGGTAATGGTGTAGCATAGCGTTTGCGCGAGTTTTGGAGTTGGAGATACCCATGATACGAACAGAATGACACTACACGCATAGTCTCGAATGTGATCACCTCATTTTGGAAGAGAGAAAGCATCATGTTCACGCATGCACACTCGCAACTATGTATTTCATTGCCTTGCACTTGAACGCCCTGAACGGACGCGTCTGAACACGCCCTATCCGCGATCTCTGGGTATCTATCCCTTGAAAATGTCGAAACCAACCCAAACGCCTTGCTATGTGTTGTCAAAAGCCGTCCCACTGCATGCCCCTGCGCATGTTTATATACACCTCGCGACGCTATGCATCATCCCAACCAATCTATCCTCACGCTACGCCGCCGGATCCGAGTTCTTGCACTTCAAACTGTGTATCCTTGTGCCCCACCCAATGCTCCCGAGATTATTCACTCCGTCAGGCAGACTGAGGTACTGATCCTGCGTGTCGCCCTTGCACTCGTAGTTGCTATTTCACCGTCAGCCTGTGCCCACAACTCTTTGCCCCTCCAAAACCCCCCTCTCACACACCCCCTTCCTCCCCACCCCCTTCCACGTCGAGCGACTTACTCGTAAAACGCACACCCCCAGTAATCATCCCGACCCAACACTGTCCCCACATCATGGCCCCCCACAAGGATACTCTGCACCCGCCCGTCAATCAGGTTGTTGTCCAGCGACAGGCAGATGTTGCTGTATGCGTCGACGGAGACTTCGCTCAGGAAGGCCGGCGCGGCGAAGAGTTGCACTTTTATGCGCGAGGCGGAGATGAGGTCCGTGGATGTTGCGGCGAGGAGCGTGGGGAGGAGGGCGAGCGTTGCGGCGAGGAGGGCGCGCATTGTAGGTATGGAGCGCGGCGGGTGTGGGTGGTCGCGTTGGTAGTGGTGGAGGGACGGAGGAATGGGGCGGAGTGAAGGTTGGGCGTGGAGATCGGATGGGATGACGGAAGCTTGGGGCCGCTGATTGGCTCGCGCGGAGTTTTGACGCGTGGATATGGGGGTCCTATTTTAGGATGGTGCAGCGCCTCCCACTTTATCGTCTTCGTACATGGCACTCGAATTATCGAGACGCTGGTTTTCATACTGAGCATAGTTGGAAGATCTGTTTAGTTACAGCTCATAACACACATGTTAAACGCCTGCTCTTCCAACTATTGTCACCAGAGAATGTTCTTCTCTACCAGCCCCACACCCTTGACTTCCTGCTTCTACACGCTACTAAGACATGTACCACACATCCCCACGGGTATTATCTTGGAGAAAGTTTGGCATATCTAGCCAGTTTCGACAAGTGCCTGTCTTGAACGTATCCACGCAGCACACTCAGTTAAGTCACACGATGTAGTGCCTGGCTTACTAAGTCATGCAGAGTCGCCGCTCATTGATGTCTTTTGTGTCTGCTCCACAACATTCGCCATGTTACCCTATCGATATCGCACCTTGCAGCACGCCGACTCCATTCGGCTACTTACTTTGCACCCAAGTTTGGACGATCAATCCCCCATTACATGCACTATCCAAGAAGTACGGTTGTCTGATGCTCAGCTCAAATATGAAGCACTATCCTACACGTGGGGAGATGTCACTTATCGACAGTCAATCTACTTTCACGGTGGCAGAAGAGAGTTGCAAATTGGAGCCAACTGTTATAATGCGCTTCGACATCTTCGCCGAAAAGACCATGATCGACAGGTGTGGCTCGATGCCATTTGCATAGACCAAAGCAACCTTGACGAACGAGCTGACCAAGTCCGACTCATGGACCAGATCTTTCAGAGTGCTTCGGGCGTGGTGGTGCATCTCGGCGAAGAAACCTCAGGTAGCCGTGAACTGTTTGAGGAACTAGCAGAGGCAGACAACGATCCATCTTGGATTGAACATGGCCGTCGGACATGGCCAAGCGACATCATCATTGAGCAACTAGAGATCTTGATCCAGCGACCGTGGTTCAAAAGAGTATGGGTTCTACAGGAGGTCCACAACATGAAAGGTTCCATTACCTTCATGTGTGGTTCTAGCAGCGCATCTGGCAAAGCACTTGAAGGCTGTCTTTTTGGCTACCGATACGCACTGGTCACAGACCAACCGTACCCTTGTGCTATCGGTCTGATGACAAGCAGCCCTAACACCCATTCCACCGCGCAATACTGCCTATGGAACCTCCTCTACGAGAGCAGAGATTGCCTAGCAACAGACCCCCGAGACAAGGTCTTTGCTCTCAGATCTTTGATCAACCAGAACCGATCACACATGGACTCTCTAATCAACTATTTCAAAAGTGTCGAGGAGATCTTTACCGAAACCGCATTGTTCCTTCTCCCAGTGATTGGACTCCGGCTCCTCACTGCCGTTCGCCACCCACATGAGCTGAATACGCCGTCGTGGATTCCGGATTGGTCACAGTGTACTCCGCTCGATTGGTGTTTCTTTTCTGTCTTTCCTAATATGAAACCATCCCCTGGGTACGCTCCAGTCCGTGCAGGATATGGTCGGCTTGAATTACACTTGCTGGGTATACGATACGCGCAGATCAGCTGCAGAAGTCAAGCATTCTGGTTCAGCAGCGTGGAAGATGCGAAAGCGCAGATGAAGGGGTTGTATTGCCAACTGGGCAATCTGAGAAAGTTGTTCGTCGAGGCAGACATGCGAGAAGATGCGACCCGCTCTACTCATCTCGAGAAAAGTATTATAGATGGTAAATGCATTGGCTGAGCAGTACATGGAACAGGCAGACTTACATGACCAGCTATGAGCCAACTATCTGGCCCCACCCTCCACCGATTCATAAATCGCGGATATGTCACGGTGCGCTCCACCTCAGCCCTCGAGATCGAAAAACGTATACTTACACCACTAGGACATACAACCCAGCGACATCGCAACCGACGAAATCTTCGCACTACCACATCTCTTCTTCGAATCCCTCCAGCAGTGCCGTATCGTTCTCCTAGACAACAACCAGATATGCATAGCACCAGACGCCGCTTGTACCGGGGACACAGTGTGTTTCCTCCGCGACGCAAACTCGCCGTGTATTCTTCGGCAGGGTCTGAATGGAGACTGGACACTTGTCAGTGGCAATTGCGACGTCTATGGCGTGGACTTTAAGAATGACGGCGCGGGGTTTACGGAGGAGGTGTATCTTGATGAGCATGGGGTGGCGCTGGAAACGTTTGTAATACGCTAGGATGAGGATATGTATATGATTATTGGCGTTGCGGGTTGGGTTTGGGTGGATGGAAGGGGGTGGGATTTAGCACTGTCAGGGGAACAGCACGGAGACAAAGGATCTAGACACAACAGACAACAAGAATACGCATCACAATCACACCTATCAGACAACATCCATATCACAAGACAAAGGGTACCGATTAAGAAGCATCACACTCCCACACTCCCACACCTCATCCTCTCCCCACCCTCCCTACGCGACAAACACGCCCCCAAAGAACCGCTCAACGCCCCTCCCGCCCTCCTCCCCCACCCCCCCAATAAACGCCACATACCCATCCGGCCTAACAACAACCACACACCCCCTTTCCCTATCAACACCAAACCCCTCATACGCCGTCCCCCCGCCCTCATGAAAACTCCTCTCATCCACAAACACCGCATCGTAATCCCACCCCGTCTCCTCACTAAACGGATGCAGCACGTCGGGAAAATCGCGCAAAAGGTCGACATCTACGCGCGGCGCGGCGTGTACGGTGAGGATGCGGATGTGTGTGTGTAGATGGGGGGCTAGGGTTTTGCTGGATGTGAGGAGGGCGCAGAATGTTGATAGGCGCTCGGCTTGTGCGGGTGCAGTGGGGGTTCCAGCGAAGAGGACGATGTGGAATCTGGAGTCGGATTTTAGGAGGGATTGGAGGGGGAGGGGCCGCGCGGAGGATTGGTTGAGGATTTGGGCGTTGGGGAAGCGCATTCCCAGGGGGATGTGGGGGGCGAGGTGTTGGTTGTTTGCCGTGTTGTTGTTTTCGGTGTCTGGTTGTGGTTTTGCGATGAGGAGGCTGGGTGCGTAGTCGACGGATAATCCGGAGGCGAAGAGGTTACCTGCTAGGAAGGCTTGTTTGAATTTCTCCATGCTTACGCCTTCTTCGTCCATGACGTCTTTTGCTGGACGGCCTGAGAATAGCCGTGAGAATTTGTGGTCGAAGGCGATGAGATCGAGGGCGATTTGGCGGCGTTCAGCCCCGTACGTGCTCAGCACTTCTGGCTTCACCACACCCCGGACAACAAGGCCGATCTTCCAGCCTAGGTTGTAGCTATCCTGCATGCTGACGTTCATGCCCTGTCCCGCCTTGGGACTGTGCGTGTGCACGGCGTCGCCGGCGAGGAAGACTCTGTTCTTGAAGTCGAAGTTTGTGCCTACGCGCTGTCCGATTTGGTAGGCGGTCCACCAGTGGCAGATTTTGTACGAGAGGGTGTAGGGCGCGAGGATTTTCTGGGCTGCGGCGAGGATGACGGCGGGTGTTATTTGCGAGCGGTCTGCGCGGCCCGAGGCGTCGGGCTTGATCTCGTTGAGCTGGATGTACAGGCGGACGAGCTTGTTTTCGCGCGGGATGACCATGAGAGAGCCGTTGGTGGCGGAGTGGATGGCGCAGCGGTGACGGATGTCGGGGAAGTCTGTTATGGGGATTACGTCTGTGTGGTGTTAGATCGGGCTTGCTTGTATAAAGTTTATATCCATAAGACGAGGGAACGACTCACCAAGAACACCCCAGATATAATCCGTCGGTTCGCCCTCCAACTGAAACCCCAACTGCCCCCTCGTCCAGCTATGCGCGCCATCACACCCCACCATATACTTCGCTCTGACCGTCTCCGTACTCCCCTCCTTTTCCCTACTCTTGCTAATCAACTCCTCAGTATCGTCTTCGGCGAGATTACTCCTGAACAGACCATCCCCCACACCCGAGCCCTTACTCTGCGCAGGCATAGCTTCATCCTCCGTCAAATGTCTTAGTTTCACAGTGATGGGGTAGTTGTCTGGTGAGTGGTCGTCACATGCGGCTTCGTCGATGTGGAGAGACTCGGGCAGCACGGCGCGCTCAACGCGGATCCCGTCCTTGGAGTGCTTCTTGATGTGATCGAGGAAGAAACGCTCGATCCGGCCTTGGTGCAGGACAATCTGCTGGAAGCGGGACAGGCCGACGGGGGTGTCGGGGAGGCGGTCTGAGCGGGTGATTACGCCTTTTTCGTCGGGGTTCTATGCGAGTTTAGGATGGGGGGTGAGAAGGATAGTCGGAAGGGATCAACATACCCACATGCACATCTACACGTGTTTGTTAGCTATACCCTTCTTCCAAATCTCTTCCGTGAGAAGGACATAATCCACGCACCTCAATCATGTGATTTGCTTCTTTCCACGCGCGGTCGGCAAAGCCAAAGCTATCGAAAATCTCCAGACTGCGGCATTGCAGTCCATCCGCCTGTCCGGAGAAGATCTTGGTACCGCGTTTATCGACGATTCGAGCGTTGATTCCACATCTCGCCATCCATGCGGCCATCATCAGACTTCCTTCAATCAGCACACATCACGATGGTTCCACACTTCTGCGTCTGCTCACCCAGCTGGCCCGGCTCCAACAATGAGACTGGACAATGTTAGTCAAATTCCAAGCTCATCATCAGCAAACATACACATCGCATTTCGACTCCGAAACCTCTGTATCCGTCATCTTTCCTGTTCAAGTGTGGAAGATGTGGAGATATAAATGTTGAAACGAGGTACCCCGCACTAAATCAATGGCAAAGCAGAGACCGAAGAGCAATTCGGACACGCAGCGGGACACTCCATGATATATACGAGCTATTTCTGAAAGACTTTGCTCTAGGAATGGTGGGCCTGCCAATGACGTTGGAATGTCTTGGGACGGTAGAGCGCTGTCAACAACGAGTAGCTACCCCACACAATACTAGTCGGATGTGGCTCGGGACCTGCCGAGGAGGCGTTTGTCAGGGATTTGTAAGGATGATGACGATGATTCGTCTATTCTGTCTGAAGGAACGAGCTGCCAAATCAGTTATTCAGACTTTGTCATCCGACAGTAACGTGTGCGGACATCCTTCGCATATCGGCGAGATTGTTGTACTTCTCGCTTCTTTCAATGTTCCGAACCAACATCCTGAAGCGCCTTCCTGTTCCGGTATTCGCTGGATTTACACAGTGAACTCAATCGGCTACAGCTGTTCCATGCGTGGCGTTAGAAGGTATCGATACTCTTATGACAGGCTGTGCCATTTACAAAGTTACGATCCAGCTATCACCGTTATTCACTGAATAATATGCCAAGAGTACTAAAAGGTGTAGGACTTAGTCACCTCTTAGAGCACTCGGAGAATAGAGCGACACTGGTGACGCATGTGTAGCATCAACGATATCCAGATCGTCAAGACGTCATCTTTCGCAGCTGTCTCGGTTGTAAGTATGTTTGTTAAGTAGAACATACCCGCACAAATCACAACCCCCTTCTTCAACATCAACATCATAACTGTAAACCCACCATGTCGACGCAAATCTACAACTTCAAGACCGCCCTCGTCACAGGCGGAGGCGGCGGAATCGGCAAAGCCCTCTCCCAGCAACTGATCAAAGACGGGAAAAAAGTCATCATCGCAGGCCGCACAGAGTCGAACTTGAAAACCGCAGCAAAAGAACTAGGCGCCGCAGCATACTACGTCCTCGACACCGGCGACACGAGCTCGATCCCAAAGTTCGTAGAGAAGCTAATCGCCGAGCACCCCGACGTCGACTGCCTGATCAACAACGCCGGCGTGCAGCGCCCGCTCGACATCAACAAAGTCGAGATCAGCGAGTTCACGCAGAAAGCCGACCAGGAAATCGACATCAATATCCGCGGGCCCATGCACCTCGCGCTACACATGCTGCCGCACCTGCGCTCCAAGTCCACGGCGCTGATCGTCAACGTATCGTCCAGTCTGGGCTTCGTGCCGTTCTCCGTCATGACGCCCGTGTACTGCGGGACGAAGGCGTGGGTGCACTTCTGGAGCGTGAATCTGCGGCAGCAGCTCAAGGATTCGAATGTGAGGGTTGTGGAGATTGCGCCGCCGATGGTGGGCACGGATTTGCATCGCGATAAGGAGGATCCGGATGATAATAAGAAGGAGAAGAATCCGGTGAGTCTGGATGTGGGGGAGTTTATTGAGGAGGTGGTGGGTAAGTGGAAGGAAGGGAGGGAGATGATTAGTGCGGGGCCTGGGAATGAGGTTGTGCAGGAGTGGGAGCAGGGGATGGGGAAGAGGTGGGTGGATACGAAGACGGCGTAGGTGTTTGTCTTTTGTAGTAATGTATGTGATGGTCGATGTCGAGTAGTGAATCTGAATGTCAAAATCCTTGAGTGTCATACAGAGCTTCTTTGTATAAGAGCTTGATTGAAGATATCGACGTTGACCATGGTTGGTGTTCAAGGCAAGAACGAAGTCCAAGCACGCGCCAGCCGCAGGGATGTTTGTTTACCGTGACAGCCAGCCCACTTCCATCGCAACTCCATTCCTGCAGCGCACCACCAACCCAGCGACAAGGCCAGATTCCCCCCCACACGCACACAATGCCGCCCCGCAACGCGCTCGCGAACATTTCCTTCACGGTAGACTCGGCCTCGGAAGACGACATGACGCACGACGAGCTCAGCGCCCTCGAACCGACAACACAGGCCAAGCCCGCCGGGCGCAAGTCGCGTACAACGCCCGCGCAAACGAAAACATCCGCGCCCGCGACAAAAGCGGCGGCGAAGGGTCGGCCAGTGGCGCGTCGAGTGAGCGGCGGCAGTACCATGGGCGTGAAGAAGAGCAGCAAGAAGGCGCCTGCTAAGAGCGGTCGCAAGGCGGTTGCGGCGCGCACAAACGGGAACGCGAGCGACACGGAGGAAGTGGACGAGTTTGACGAGATCCAAGATGCCGCGCCTGTGGAAGCGCCGAAGCCCGCCAAGAGGGGACGGCCGGCGAAGACGAAGAAGGCGCCGGAAGAGGTTGAGGATGAGGAGGAAGTCGCAGATGAGCCAGCGCCCGCGAAGAAGACGCGCAAAGCACCCGCGAAGGAGACCAAGGCGAAGACGGTCACTAAGTCGAAAGCGACGAAACGCGCGCCAGTGCATGAGCCGGAGCCGGAAACTTTCACTATCCCCGAGACACAGCCAGAGCCTGATCCCGACCCAATGGACCTGTCCGAGTCGATCGAGGTGGATGACATGGACGAGATACCAGAGAGTATGCCTCCCCCGCCGCGACCATCAGCACGGCGCACACAACCACAGCCCAGCAGACCAAGGCAGCCGTCAACAGGTCCGCGTCGAGCAGGAAGCGCCTCAGACTCTGAACGCGACCCAGCTCTGCGGCGGAAAGTCGGCGATCTGAACAAAAAGCTGGAGGCTATGACGGTCAAGTACGAAGCGTTGAGGGACGCAGCCACATCAGGGCGGGAATCCAACTTCGACCAGCTCAAGAAGCGGACCGATCAGACAGCGAAGGGTATGCTAACATCCACCCCCCAGATCCAGTACACAACGAACTAACAACCCCCCCACAGACCAAGACACAGTGATAAAAGCCCTGCGATCCCAACTCTCAGACCTCCACTCCCGCACCGCAGACCTCACAGCAATGAAACAACAAATCGCCTCCCTCACAAAAGAAACCACCCGCCTAGACGCAGACAACAAAAAACTCTCCTCCGCCCTCACAACAGCACACAGCGAGTCGAAAGCCCTATCCCACAAGCTCGCCGCCGCGCGCCAGCCCACAGACTCCTCCTCCAAGCCCGCCGTGCCCGGCAGCGCCATGAAACCGCGCTCCACGGGCGTCGTGCTCCCGGGCACCGTCGAAGCGGCGAAGGAAGCTCAGCTCGCGAAGCAGAAAGTCGATCTTTATAGCGATTTGACGAATCTCGTTGTGTTGGGTATGCGGCGCAACGACGACGACGAAGATGTATACGATTGTCTGCAGACGGGGCGGAATGGGAGTACGTCCCCCCTATCTCTTCCCTATCCACCTAGCTTTCCACCGCGAATAACGGCTAATATGTAATAGCACTGCACTTCCACCTCAGCGTCGCCCCGCAGGACTCTTCGTCTTCGTACGAGGACACCGAGTTCGTCTACCAGCCGCTGCTGGATGAACAGCGCGATCGCGAGTTGCTGGATTTGTTGCCGGATTATCTTACCGAGGAGATTTGTTTCCCGCGGGGCCAGGCGGCGAAGTTTTATGCTAAGGTTGTGGATTGTATGGGGAGGAGGATTGTGCTTGAGGATGACTGATTGGGTGGGTGGGTGGTTGGTTGGGGGAGTGGTGTGTGAAACCTGGTGTTTTTTGGGGGAGATTGTCGTTTCTATGTGGTGTGCGGTGTGTTGTCGTGTTGGACGTGGTTGGATTGGAATGGATTGGAATGGGTATACCCCGATATCTGATGTCTGCATACTTCACTTCACTTCACTTCACATCTCACGTCTCCCACAAGTGAGCGCATGTCGAGGAGAATCGTATCGTTCCAAGGCTGTCTCATCTTATCTTGTCTTGTCATGCTGTTGGTACAAGTGGCGTATCTACAGTTTTTCTCCCTCTCCTTCTCCTTCCATTCCCACGCTCATCCATCCTCTCATCCCGCGCACTCTTATCCCCTCATCAATCCATCTACGCCTTACCCTGCACCTTCTCAGCAGCCTTCTTAACGTAATCCCTACACCATCGCATTAGCCACCAATTCATCCATCCATTCAACTCACCCCCCCCCTCCTTCCCCCCTCCCCTTCTGTCAACGAAAAGTGAAGAACATACTTAACAAAGCTCTCCTCCTCCTTAGTCTTCGCATTAATCGGCGGCTGCGTCGACGCCTCAGCCTTGCTGCCGCCCATGCTGAGCGCTGCGCCGGCGAAGGTTACGCTGAGGGTTGCGATGGCTAGCTATATTTTCGTTGGGTCAGCGCAATGCCCTGGTATCTCAATGCTCTGACTTCTCAATGCGGTGGTCGCATATGCGGTGCTGCTAGCATGCGCCGCTGATGGCGGAGGTTGTCCGGGAATGCATGGCTGGGTGGGAGACGTACGACGTGCGAGCCGACCTGGCGGCCGAAGACGGTGTACATTGCGACCATTTTTGCGGTTTTTCGGGGGAGTGTTTCGGCGAGGTGAGGCGGGGGTGATGGGTTTGGTAAGAGGTGAGGTGCGGAGCTGTCGGTCGGGAAAGATGAGGAATTGGATTTGGGGATTCGAGAGGGGTGACTAAGCGGGTGGGCGGGCGGGTGTGGCTGATGGGGCTTGCGCCACAGTGGTGAGGGGATGGCTAGTTGCTGCGGTGTTTGGGCTGTTGGTGGCCTTTTTGGGACGTTGGATGGAGGTTTCTTTGGGTATTATATTAGGTGTTGGATGGATGTATCATGGGCGTGGATAGGGTGGTAGATTGCTTGGAGAGGTTTGGGAGTCGGAGTGCGAGTCAGTATATATCTTGATGCTTCTACTGTTATCTTGCTACTTTATGCTGGAGGTATTGACTTGTTTGTTAATACGCTGAGGTGTCTGTTTGTAGCGTATTTAATGAGAGTTTAGAACTGGACGATTCTAATCCTATGAAGCATAGATGAATTTAGATGTAGGCTTAGGAAATTCAATTCACTTTAATCCTAGATTCTGTCTCCTGGACTTGAATCTCAACGATGGATTACTGGCATCTTCGCGAGTTGTGCATGTAGTTACCTTCTCCAAGCACAAATATATTCATATACGTAGTCTTGAATCGAAGCTCGTAGTTCTTCTGCTTCCGACTCTGGTTTTGTAATGAAGACAGCATAAGATAGGGTAAAAATTTCACGATATCTAGATAAATACTCAGCGGTACAATGCACAGCACTATTGACGTCGATTGAGAACCGAGATTGAAAGTAATCATCTCTCTTGTCAGGGAGAGATGATGTATAACACAGAAGAACAAGATAAGACGTATTTGAGCTGGGAGGGGATATATTGACCCACCCCCAGATTCCACTTTCTACCCCAGACGAACAGTAGATTGGAAACGCGTAGAGGGCAATACACTCACTCACAACCGGCCCATTTCGTCTCAGTGCGTTTCGACGAGAAGCGGTCGAGGTGAGGCTGAAGGCCATGCATGGGTGATTTAGATAGCGAGCACGATCACGACGTCGGAATTATAGGATTGGCAAGGCGCAGCGAACACGACAAGTGTCGTACATTGCTGTATTGGAGGCGGATACCGTGTATGTACCGTGCGTTGTTGGTTGGGTACGGGATCAGCTTGCATGCATGCATGCAGCTGCAGTCGCGAAGTCACGGGGATACACGTCTACATGTCGATGAAAGTGGAAGGGCTGTGTTGATGTCAAGATTGAGTCTGTCCTAGCTATGCACACGAATCTAGATTTATTGAGAAGCTTTAACGCAGGCCAGTCGAGGGCGACAAAAGTGTTGAGCGCTAAGTGGTGATGTGTTGTTCGCTAGTCAGGTCCAGTCAGGTACGAGGCGGTGACTGACAGCCAACCTTTGTTTTGACAGCTAGACGAGAAGAAGCGACAGAACAGGATGTGCGACGACATGTAGACAAGCGCAGAGAACGGTTCAGATCAGATCACAGCGGTTGGCACAGCGGGGAGGGTCAATTGGTGGTTCAGGCAGTGTCTAAGCCACGCTGAGCATGGTTTCCCTGACAACGTCGGAAGCGGCTCGGAAGCTGGACAACAGTGCCAACGAGTTTGGATATGCAGCCCCGTCCCGCCCTAGAACGTCTAAACTCCACTCTGCCCTGAAGCTCATGCTCAAACACAAGTTCGTCCACATTCATACCGCGTTCCTGGGGTCATTCATTAGGTAGCTGGCCGCGGAAGGAATACGATACGGATCGCTGTATTGCGCGACGCTTGGATAGTGTTTTGACCGTCTTATCACGACATTCACGACATACGATACACGACATACGGCATACGACACACGGACGGGCTTTTTCGCAACGCACACGGCGAGGATTGTCGCAATGGACGGGCCCACGACACCGGGAGGCGGACACTACAGTCGGCCGCCAGCATACGACGACGAGGATGATCGGTCGCCGCAGATGCACGGGGGGCCCACGATGCGCCTGTTGACTAATGTCGACGACAGCTCGAGCTATATGGCGTGAGTGTCTCTCTCCTGTCTCTTGTTTCGTGTTTCTTCTGCAGTTGCCCTGCTGCCATTTCATACTCATCTTGCTTGCTTGTGCAGAGGACGCTCCTTCAACGAGGCGGCTTCAGACATGTCGGGCGCGAAGAGCAACGTGGCGGCGCTGGGCGGAACCATGACGCCGTCTGAAGTGGGCAGGCAGCGCGAGGCCGAGGCGGGCATTGTCGACTTCCTGCGCGAGGCGGGCGACGTGCTCGCCAACACTGCCATTGTGACGCAGCCCGCACGGCGCAAGAAGAGCTGGACCAAGCACGACGACGCTCCCTCAGACACTGGCTTACCGTTGCGCGACTCCCACAGACCCCCTTCCCGCTCATACCAGCCGCAGGCATCGGGCCTGATGCGCACCCCCTCAGTGCTGGACACTGCCCCGAACATGCCCCCGCCGTCAAACGACTCGTACGCCTACGCCTCGATCCACCGCCCATACTCGCCCGACCGGCCCGCGCCAGGCCGTCCCTATTCGCCCACACGCACTTCGTACGACTACGCGCGCCCACCAGCCTCGGGGCACTACTACGAGCCTGTCGACCTGAACGGCAACCCGCGACCCGGCTCACCCACATCACGCTACTATGGCGACAGCAGGCCCGGGAGCCCATCGCGCGTGCAGCCGCCGGCGCCACTGTTCTCTGGTGGTGCGCGACCCGTCACGCGCGACTCGGAATACACAGCAGACATGACGGACATGACGTCGATACACATCCGCGACGACCACGACGACCATGACCACGACGATGACGACCCCTTCACAGAGTACATGGACGACCGCCCGAGCATCCACTCGCGCGACTCGTACGCCTCCGACGACACCTACACCGACATCCACACGGCGCCGTCGGAAAAGGCAGAGCACTACGGACCCGCCCCCGACGGCGCGCAGACAAGACGCGGTGCGCGCGACGCCGTTATGACGAAAAAAGAAGTCCGCCTGATCAACGGTGAGCTCATCCTGGAATGCAAGATCCCCACCATCCTGTACAGTTTCCTCCCGCGACGCGACGATATTGAATTCACACACATGCGCTACACCGCTGTGACATGCGACCCAGACGACTTTGTGGACCGCGGCTACAAGCTGCGCCAGAACATTGGGAATGCGCGCGAGACGGAGCTCTTCATCTGCATCACCATGTACAACGAGAACGAGATCGACTTTACGCGCACCATGCACGGCGTCATGCAGAATATTAGTCATTTCTGCACACGCATGAAGTCGAGGACGTGGGGTAAAGACGGGTGGCAGAAGATTGTCGTCTGCATTATTTCAGATGGTCGTGGGAAGGTGCATCCTCGAACGCTGGATGCGATAGCGGCTATGGGGTGCTTCCAGGAGGGTATCGCGAAGAACCACGTCAACCAGAAGGAGGTCACGGCCCACGTCTACGAGTACACCACACAAGTCTCGCTCGACTCGGACTTGAAGTTCAAGGGCGCTGAGAAGGGGATTGTTCCGTGCCAGATGATCTTCTGCTTGAAGGAGCGGAACTCGAAGAAACTCAACTCGCATCGCTGGTACTTCAACGCTTTTGGCCGTGCCCTGAACCCAAATATCTGCATTCTTCTCGATGTCGGAACGAAGCCAGGGCCCAAGGCGCTGTATCATCTGTGGAAAGCATTCGACACTGACTCTTCCGTTGCCGGTGCTGCAGGCGAGATCAAAGCGGGCAAGGGTAAGGCCTGGCTCGGTCTTCTCAATCCGCTTGTTGCGTCGCAGAACTTCGAGTACAAGATGTCCAACATCCTCGATAAGCCTCTGGAATCGGTCTTTGGTTATATTACGGTGCTGCCTGGTGCGCTGTCAGCGTATCGATACTACGCGCTGCAGAATGATGAGACGGGGCATGGTCCGTTGAGCCAGTACTTCAAGGGAGAGACGCTTCACGGACAGGATGCGGATGTCTTTACCGCCAATATGTACTTGGCTGAAGATCGTATCTTGTGTTGGGAGCTGGTGGCGAAGCGCAACGAGCAGTGGGTGTTGAAGTATGTCAAGGCCGCGACGGGTGAGACTGATGTGCCGGGTATGTTCTCAAACCATGATATCAAATTAAGTATGCGAACTAACAACCGACAGACTCCGTTCCTGAGTTCATCTCCCAGCGTCGTCGTTGGCTCAACGGTGCCTTCTTCGCTGCCGTCTACTCGCTACTCCACTTCAAGCAGATCTGGTCAACCGACCACACCCTCATGCGCAAGCTGCTCCTCCACGTCGAATTCATCTACCAGTTCGTGCAGCTGCTGTTCACCTTCTTCTCGCTCGCCAACTTCTACCTCACCTTCTACTTCGTCGCCGGTTCGCTCAGCGATCCCGACCTCGACCCGTTCGGCCACAGCATCGGAAAATACATCTTCTACATCCTCCGCTACACATGCGTGCTACTCATCTGCCTGCAATTCATCCTCTCGATGGGCAACCGGCCACAAGGCGCCAAGAAGATGTTCCTCTGGAGCATGATCGGCTACGGCACAATCATGGCCTACACAACCTTCGCCTCAGTCTACATCATCGTCTACCAACTCAAACACTCCAGCGGCGCCGAACTCGGCAACAACGTCTTCACAAACCTCATCGTTTCGACTCTCTCCACTATCGGCCTCTACTTCCTCATGTCCTTCATGTACCTCGACCCCTGGCACATGTTCACCTCCAGCGGCCAATACTTCGCCCTCCTCCCCTCCTACATCTGCACCCTACAAGTCTACGCCTTCTGCAACACACACGACATCTCCTGGGGCACAAAAGGCGACAACGTAGCCAAAACCGATCTCGGCGACGCAAAAGCAAAGTCCGGCTCAAACGTCGTCGAACTCGAAATGCCCTCCGAGCAACTAGACATCGACTCCGGCTACGACGAAGCTCTCCGCAACCTGCGCGATCGCGTAGAAGTCCCCGAGCCCCCGCTCAGCGAATCCCAGCAACAGGAGGATTACTACCGCGCGGTCCGCACGTATATGGTTATTATCTGGCTGGTTAGCAATGCTGTGCTGGCTATGTCTATTAGTGAGGCGTATGGGAATAAGAAGGTTACGCATAATTTTTATCTTACATTCATCTTGTGGGCGGTGGCCGGGTTGGCGCTGTTCCGCGCTATTGGCAGTATGACGTTCCTTGCGCTCAACGCGGTGCAGAATGTTATGGAGACGAAACTTAAGTGGGAGGATAGGATGGAGGATAAGAAGAGTAAGACTGGGCTTGGGGGCGGGCTGGGGAGGAAGCGCTTCGGGAGGAAGTGGTGGAAGTTTGGGTTTGGGGGGGGGAGTGGGGTTAGTAGCTGGATGAGTGGGAGTACGGTTAAGAGTAAGATTAGTAGTTTGGCGCCGAGTAGTTGGGGGGGGAGCAGTGTGGGGCGGTAATTGAGGGGTTTGTGAGGGGTGCGGAGGTGGTGGTAATGATTTGGTGGACGGGACTTACGATTTTTCATGAGTAGGGGCTTGGGATGGAAGGAAGACTGGGGGGGAGGGGATGTTTATACCTGGGCTTGATTTATGTGATCGCCCGATTGATGGAAGGAGAGTTTGGCCAAGTAAAGTAAAGTAAGTAGTTTACCATAGGATAGGATAGTTTTGCGCACGATACGATAATGAATATACCTTCTTAGTACTCGTCTCTCTTTCTACTTGTTGGATTGGAATGTATACACTGCTTGTATGGGGTGGAAGTGCTGTGTGTATTCTTCTGGGCAAGACATTACTTTTCCGCGACGAATGGACATGGGACGTACCAGCCTATCTCGATCGACATCGCAGAGCGCATGGGAGTAAACATGACGAGGGAGGAAGGACCAACGACCAACGAACAGAGGAATAGAAGGACGGGCAAGGTTGGGATGAATGCTAGATTGGTGTGCAGATGGGACGAAGCAAGGAAGCTTTTTGAGGGTGGGGATTCAAGAGGTAGAGGGTGTGTGTGCGTTGGTGATGTCTGGATGGATGGATGGATGTTGATGCATGACACAGGGGGAGGGGGGGGGGATGAAGACAGATGAACAGTCATAAAAGAAAACATTTCACTCTATCCAAACACAACGGAATGTACACTGGGTATCCGTCCTTGTTCTCTCCCCTGCACCGCCCTCCCGCGTCAACCCCGTATCCCCCTGTAGCTAGCCGCACAAGGGGAAAAAGGTAGGTGTTTCCCTTCCTTCACATATCATGTTATTTCATGTCATGGCATGTCATATCTTACTCCTCCCCACACGCCTTCCTAAACACGCTCACCAACGCCTCAAAATCACAAACATTCATCGACTCAAACACGCCCGTCTGTTTGATCTTCAGCGCCGTGATCCGCGGACTATTTATGCCAAACGCGATTTTCGCCAGGAACCGCGGGTCGTCACGCACACCGACCGCGTCGAGCACGTTGCGCACTTTCGCCTCGTCGGGAGGGAGTGGCGGCTCATTGGGGAGGACGACCTGCGTGTGTGTCTCGCACCAAGTGCAGTGCATGCAAGCTTTTGGCAGGTTCTTTGTTTCGCCAAAGTAGGCGGCGAGGGAGCGCGAGAAGCATTGTTTGGACGTGATGAGATCGATGAGGGATTTTGTACGGGCGAGGTTTTGCTGCTCTGTTGCGCCCATGCTGCTGTCGAGGTGGGTGATTATGTCGTTGATTTCGGTGGCTGAGGAGGGGAGTGGACGTAAGAGGCGGAAGACGTGCGATACGGATTCTTTGCGTAGGTCGATTGCGTCGTACTCGTTCCAGGTTTCGAGGGTGCGGACAAGGTCGGCGCGGGGGATGCCGGTTGAGGCTGTAAGCTCGTCGAGTGCGATGTGTGTCCATTTTTGGAGCTGCTTTGAGGCGCCTTTGATGGCGTGGGCGGCGGGGGAGATGTCGTTGTCGAGGATCCTTCTATCCTTGACTGTGTATTTGTATCTGTTGTATTGTGTGCCGGCAGCACGGAAGAGTTTGAAGTGGAGTTCTAGTTGGGCGTACAAGATGCCGAGAATTGTGGGCGTAATGTCGACATCTCTCGACTGCGTGTACAGCTCTACAGTGAACGTGTCTCCAACATTGAGTTCTTTCCGGTGTGGCGAACACAAGTCCTTAAACAGAAGCCGGAGCGAGTGCAGCGATGGTCGGTCCCCATATGTAAAGATGTTCCGGATGTGGAAGTCCTTGGTGGAAAGGTAGAACATGCAGGTACTCGGCTTGCCGTCTCGCCCTGCTCTGCCGATTTGTTGGCAGTACGACTCGATGCTGTCTGGGATATCGAAATGAACAATGTTGCGGATGTCTGGCTTGTCAATACCCATACCAAAAGCAATGGTAGCGACTACAATCATGTTTTCACTCCCTAGAAACTCGTCTTGAGTTTGTGTACGCAGTTCTGGAGTCATGCCGGCGTGATACGGTTTTGCTGGAAAGCCTTTGCTCTTTAAGGTGGCAGCCAGCTCCATCGCAGCTTTCTGTTGCGTGATGTAGACGATCGTAGGACCGGGATTAGCCTTCAGGTGTACGACGAGTTTCGCTTCGTAGTCGGTACCCTTGGGATTCGCCTCCGCAAGCAGACGCAGGTTGGGTCGATACATGGTAGTTCGAAGCAGGCCTTCCTTCGGAATCGAAAACGCGGTCAGAATATCCTCAGAGACTTTCGGCGTTGCAGTAGCTGTCAGGCAGACGACTCTTTCGACTTCAGCTTCTTCGGCAAATCTAGCGATCTTGAGGTAATCTGGGCGAAACGAGTGACCCCACTCGGAGATGCAGTGGGCTTCGTCAACAGCCAAGAGTCGAATGCCGCCGGGAATTGCTTTCAGTGTAGCGATGAAACCTTCATTATTCAGCCTCTCGGGGGCGCAGTAGAGCAGGTCCAGACGTCCGTTTCTAAGATCATCGTGCACGGCCAGGTATTGATCGCGCGAGACGGAAGAGTTGAGTACTGCAGCCTTGATATTGTTGCGCAAGAGAGCATCGACTTGGTCTTTCATCAGGGCGATCAGTGGCGATATCACAAGGGTAATTCCATGGTATCCTGATGCTCTGGACCCGTCTTCCTGATCTTGATATTTGAAAGCAACGGCGGGAACCTGAACTGATCAGTAGACACAGCGTTTGACAAAAAGAAGCGACTTACTTGGTAGCACAGACTTTTCCCTCCACCAGTGGGGAACACAATGACTGCACTATTGCCGTCAAGCAGACGTGAGATTGCAGCCTCCTGCTCGAGCCGGAAGCCATCGAGGTTGAAATGTTCTTTGAGAATTTTGTTCGCTAGTACAGTGTTATGTGAGGGCGCTGTATTTGTTTTGTTTGTAATTTTTGATCGTTTGCCAGGACGTAATGCCACCTCGTGACTGCGGTCGCGCTTTGCATTCGTGACTCTTGCAGATGCGGCTACGAGCGCAGCCTCATCCTCAGACGACATGTCGAACTCATCATTACTCATCGTGTAGGTAGTCGGTGGGTCGCAGGACTTTCGATTTGTGCGTGCTGACCGAATACTGTGTGTTGCTGGATATGGACGTCGAGTGAAAGGGTGGAGTACACATAACGCGACTCGATTGACATCTTTACGCGTCATCACATGACGTGAAACACGCCCAAGGCTCCACATCGCATAAACAGATTATTATTTCTTTATATTCCGGCGACCGAATATGCTATATTCGGTGTTAGAATTTACCATAAACGCCATATATTAATAAAATAGTCACCTTCTTGTGGGATAGTATTGAAAACTCACCTCGTGGTTGCCCTGCAAAGTTGTTGTTTCCTGTTTGTGCCTGCTGCGTATCGGTGTTTTCTTATCTACGGCGGATGGTTGTTCCGGAACCATCTTCCCTCATTTATCACTTCTGCTCCTGCTTCTTTTCCTGTTTGCGATTCTACCTTACAATCGAGCTTGAGAGTTAAGTTTACATATAAACTCGTAGCTTCAACTAGCAATTAAGCTAGATTTAGGCTCACAGTCGAACTTGGATTCGGGCGTATAATTGAGCTTGCTGATGTATGTTTTTAGTGATTGCTATGATGCCCGCGCTTACTAAGCTATCAGATCTCCGATGGCCCATCTGCTGACGCTGTTTTGCTGGCCTACATACTGGCACCATTCCAGCATGGGAATTATATCAAATATCCGCCCAACCTTGAAAGCTCGGTGGCGATCGGCCAGAACTCCGCAGGTACCGATAGGTCGCGATCTAGACCGGTCTGGCTCGATCCCGAATGTCCAGTATCAACGTCCATGCTGGTTGCTCGATGGAATGTTCCTACTAAAACACGAGTCCATTGCGAAATTTCTCACAATCCACATCGGGAAGCGCGCTCGCTAGTGCTTGGTGGCGAAAATATGAAGTAGGCTATTTACCTTGGGGAGTAACTACCATTGTTCAGCAACTCCACGAGTCACAAACATCTCACGCATTCCCTATTCGACTCCACGTCGATCCCCTCTTACATCACTGCGTAAGATTTCCCAACGAAACTGGATGGCCTGATCTGTGAGGGTCGTTCCGCGGACTTAGGAGTAACCGGAATGCCACCAAATGAGGGGGATACTCGTCCAACTTTGCTGGACCTGGAAACTTTGGAAGCAGACCCTGCACCAACTTTTGTCATCAAGTCTGGATCTAGTGGAGTTGGAGTACTGGAGTTTGACTTTCTGTTTTGCAACGAGGCGTTCCGGAAAAGTGGTCTTCGAGATGTGGTGTTGGCGCAGGATGATCCAACACTCCTTTTCCGATCCTGGACATACGCGTTGGGCAACTACAAACAAGAATTTGAGTTTGCAGAAAGGATCTGGTCTGCAAAAACAACTGGACACAGTGGCACTTGGAAAATCATAAAAGTGGTCAAGGATGTATCGAAAGAGCAGCACCAAGGCAACGGAAACCGTCCCGAAACATCAGCAAGCATAGACGCAGGATTAAGAGCGGGAGAGCAGAGTTCTGTCTACCGGCGCTCGAAAGATGACGTGATGAAAAAGATCCAGCATAGCAGAACCAACGAGCTTGGAAATATGTTTATACCACCCGAGAACTTTACAGCGCGGTGGGAGAGCATACAGACTATGATGGAGATGAGCGATGTGGGAGTGTTCGAGTACAGTCCTGAAGGAAAGTTAATTCACGCCAATGAAGCGTGGTATCGGCTCTCGTACGTATGAATGACTTGCTCCAAAGACAATGCTAATGGCTTTCAGATCCCATCCCCGGGATCTTCCTGCGCACGTTGAATTCTCTTTCATGCAACTCGTATACCCGGAGGATCAAACTCTCGTCTTAACTATGTGGAATGAATTAGTGTCAGGCAATCCTGTGACCTTTGAAATGAGATGGAGCTCCTCGGCTGATACAGTCACATCCGCACAATGGGTTCTTTCCTCTTGTGTGCCCGTCCTCGACGACCAGGGTAATGTGGTTAGTATTGCTGGTAATACCATCGATATCAACGCGCAGAAGAAGTCGCAAGAAGTAATCCAGGCGCGCGTTGAGGCCCTCGAACAAGTCAGGTTGTCAGAACTCAAGTTCGAGAGATTCGCTCAGCTTTCACCCACGGCAATTTACATATTTGTCCCGAAGACTGGTACGTGCTCAGGATAGCAACACATTCACGTCCCTAACGGCGATACAAGGCATGACGTTCTGCAACGATCAATTTCTCGAGCTCACAGGCTTATCGCGAGGGGAACCTGGACAGGCCGACTGGCTTAAAGTTATCGCTGAAGAGGACGTACAAGCCGTGAACGCGTACTGGGCCGCTATCGTTGAGGGCAAGAAGTCTGATTCAATGCAATTCCGGCTCAGGACGACATGGATAAACCAAGACGGTGCACGCTCCAATATCTGGGTGGAGAGTTCGAGTCACCAAGAGCTGGACGAAAGTGGGAATGTCATAAGTAGAAACCCCAGATATCCCAACCTACCAAGCGCTTGCTAACATCACCATCAGGCATCATGGGTACACTGTTTGGTATTAGATCCGTGTATTGTACGGGTGACATGCGCTGATATTACACTAGACATCTCACAATTCAAATGGGCGGAAAGCTTCCAGCAGCAGAGAATTCAGGAAGCTCTAGAAGCCAAGCGACAACAAGAAAAGTACGTCCCCGTGCACGGGAGGATGCATGTCGCTAACTGCAATAAGCTTCATTGACATGACATCCCATGAGCTTCGTAATCCGTTATCAGCTGTTGTGCAATGCGCAGATTCAGTAATCAATACTCTCAAATCAACAACACTTTTCGACAACGACACATCTGGGATACGAGAAGATCTTACGGAATCTTTGCAGACCATTGTTCAATGCTCAATTCACCAAAAGCGCGTCATCGACGACGTACTCACTTTGTCGAAGCTCGACTCTGAGTTAACAGTAATCTCACCTACGCGCGTACATCCCGTGGCTGTGGTCTCAGATGCGATGAAATTATTTGATGCTGAGTGCGGCCATGCGAAGATTAAGCTCGAATTCAAGGAAGACGAAACTCTACGAGAGTTTAGGACGGCGATGCTGGATCCTTCGCGTCTGCTACAAATATTTTTCAATCTTCTGTAAGTTGCATACTCAGCATATTATATGCACGACGGACTAACTCCCAAAGCACAAACGCTATCAAATTCACTAAAGACCGACCGACACGCAAAATCACAGTGACCATCGGCGGCTCCTGGACCCGTCCGCCCAAGTGTTGGCAAAATATCAGCTTCACTAACCACGACACGCCTGAAACTGACATCCTCGACGGGCCAGAGTGGGGAACAGGAAGGAAAGCATACCTTTGGATTCAAGTCACTGACACTGGCTGTGGCATGACACTTGACGAACAAACGAAGCTCTTCTCCAGGTTTTCTCAGGCCACGCCTCGCACACATGTCAAGTACGGCGGTTCAGGCCTCGGTCTCTTCATTTCCAAATCTCTTGCGGCGCTGCAAGGCGGCGCGATCGGTGTTCATTCCGAAAGCAACGTCGGCTCGAATTTCGCCTTCTTCATCGGCACGCGCATTGTAGACCCACCAGCCGGTCTGGAAACGCGAGCTCGCCCAGAACTTTCACGTATAGTTTCTACCGACGACGCGATGCGGGCCGTCAAGCTCAATGTCCTCATCGTGGAAGACAATCTCGTCAATCAGAAGGTTCTTCGCAAGCAGTTGCTAAGATTTGGCTGGGACGTCAGTGTCGCCGGCAATGGTCAGGAGGCAGTGGACTGGTTAAAAGAGAGCGTCTACTGGCAAGAGAACAATTCGCAACAAGAAGACGCAGACACTATCTCAACTGAAGCACAGGAAGATCCGTCTCCCTACAGTGCGACAAAACACCCTCTGGACATCATACTCATGGATATCGAAATGCCTATCATGGACGGCTTGACCTGCACTCGCCTAATCCGCGAGTACGAGCAGCTCGGCCTCCTGGCTCCTCCGCGTCCGATGCACAGTTCGACCACGGACGGTACGCGAAAAGTTCCCAGACTCCCCATCTTAGCTGTCAGTGCGAATGCGCGGCCTGAGCAGGTGGAACAGGCTATTGCGGGAGGGATGGATGATGCGATTTCGAAGCCATTCAGGATTCCGGAGCTGTGGCCCAAGATTAGGGGCCTTGTGGAGAGACTGGCGGAGCAGCAGTGATGATTTAGGTTGTTGGCGTTAGGGTGGGTAATCATGCTGGACGGGAGTGCCTTCTGAGGCCTGAGGGTTTGCATAAGGGAATGGTGTACTTAATTGTCGGACGTTTCGGAATCTATCATGCAGCATGTCTCTCAATTGTCGTTTCCACAGGTCTCACATCTGAACACCATTATTGCAAGATCGAACGAGGATTTGTCGTCTTGCAGATCGATAGGCCTTCTAGATCTGGAATGCCTTCATCATTCATAGACCCCCGATATGCGTCTTTAAATGTCTTCTTTCTTATCCCACTGCGCCCATCCCCGCAGGATGAACAATGAAAACCAATCACAAGCAAGTACACAAAGGCCTAGCTCAAAGATCCTCGTGATGCTGTGCCTGGTTGAGCCCCCACACTTCGCAAGGATGCGGAACGAACTCCGACAATGGCAATGACGTCTGACCCGAGGCACCAACTTCCGTCAAAATCCCCGACTTTTTCCTTTGTCCGGCTCATTCAGTTCCCCGTCCCAAGTTCGTAGAAAGAAAAAGACATATTTCCCAACATGGCAAAAGACGACAAGCGCATCCAGGAGATCGATAGCGTTCCCCACGAGCGCGATGGCACGCGACCCGACCTCGCAACACTCCCGCCGAGGAAGAAGCTGCCGCAGGAGATACAGAAAACACTCGACAATGAGACGATGTTTGATGATCTGTATGATGGAACGTGTGTGCTGCCATATCTCTACAATGCTTGAAAAGTATACAGCTAAAAGTATACAGCGCCGAAGACACAACAGACACCTCAATCCGTTATGCCGCCTACGCAACCCGCATACGAACCATCATGCTGTCTGCCCACCGCTATGTCGCATACACTTCCGATATTGGCGAATCGTTCCGCCCCATCGCACATCCATACCTGATCAAAGGCGCGTACGGTGTGTCCTGGTTGTACCTTACAGGTGATGTAGCACACGAAGGCTACAAAGCGTACTGCCGAAACCAAAAGACTCTGCACCCCGATCCGACTGAAGAGAAGAAGGAGCAGGCGGATATGGTAGCCACTGGGCGGCCTACAGGCGTGATAGGCAAGGTGCAAGAGCTGGGCAAGAAAGTCACGAGCACCGAGGGCGTCAAGGCTGGCGGCGAGGGAAGTATCCTCACGGGTGGGGAGATTATCCCGGGGCGTATACCGGCGATTGAGGACTATAGATCAGTTATGGCTCAGCGAGCTGTGTTCCAGGCTGTTGCGTCTATGGGTCTGCCTGCGTTTACGATACATAGTATTGTGAGGTACTCTGGACGTGCGTTGAAAGATGTTAGGAACAAGTTGATCAGGACGTGGGGTCCCATCGGGGTATGTCATTGTATTTTTTTGGTGATTGAAGACACAACTGACAATAAATAGCTTGGTCTCGCGGCCGTTCCATTCTTGCCATACCTCTTCGATGAGCCCGTCGAGCATGCGACGGAATGGATCTTCTACAACGCATTCAGGACTTTTGGTGGTGAGAAGGCCGTCGAGGGACGACCGGTCACAGGGCAGAAGGAGTTGAGGAAAGAGGAGAGCCAGGTGAACAAGCTGAAGGAGCTATGAGTTTCGGTTCGACGACGTAAAAGTCCAGGGTCAGCAAATTGGAAATAAAAATAAACGAGATGGAACTAACAAAAAGGATTTCATTCAAGCAAACTATCTACTCCGTTCAATATATATACATGAAAATATCTACTCTTCAAAATATACTCGTTGTTCTCAATCTAAGTCATGTAAATTCTCCCTTTGTCATAATCGAGACTCATCCTTGCCCGCCTTCCGATATGACATGTCCCGACATACATGGAGAATGTCGCAGAGCAACCACACATCTCGGTCTTCGAACTAGAGAACGATCAACCGGTTCCTCTAGCTTCGCGTTTCTCCACCTTGCACACCTAATCTGTGAAGCAAGTCTCAAGTGCTCACTACATACCCTCCCGGGCTCGACACAACGCATTGGGTCCTTCCTTAATCCTGATGAATGATCACAAGCTTAGGCGATCTCACCATCACCATACATGCCGCATGGAAGGGTACTCGCAACGCATTTCCCCTCTCATCTGATCCTGGAGCAAACAGCACCATTCTCCCAGTCATCTACTTCACATAGTTCGTAACCGCTGGGTTACCCGACTCAACCCACTAATGGAGACCGTGTTGACCAGTCAATAGACATGGCCATGAGTGGTTCGCGACCTAATTCACAGCAGTCTTGTTGTCGGAAGATACCCACCAATTTCTCAGATGTTGGGCGATGTTTGGGATCTTCGCTAATCATGTCACATATTGTGAGGAAGGCCACATTCGAAACGAGGAAGCCTGTTAAGTACTGGTCGTAACAGCTTTGCAAATACTGGGACACAGCATCGAGGTTGGCCGAGTAAGAGATGGTCCCGTCTTTTTGGTTCTTCTTCAACAACTCCTGAAGCCGTTTTTGTCCGTCATCACGCCAATCGTACGCCGCCACAAGTTCAACGAATACACAGCCTAATGAAAATATGTCGGCCGGGAACCCTCGGGACAGGCCGAGCTCCTGATAGCTAATGACTTCAGGCGAAGCGTACTTCCTTGTGAAAGATGTCGGACTGTCTGTCTCTGCGTCGCTAGGGCTATGGTACGCTCGTGCTATTCCAAAATCTGCGATGTAGACTTTGTGACATGGGTACGTCTTGCGGACGAGTATATTGGTGGGCTTGATATCCATATGTTTTACCCCGTTGCTGTGAATGTAGTGTATTGCGCTACTAAGACAGCCAAAGAACCGTCGACATGAGGTTTTCATCTCAGCGTATTCGTAGGATACATCGTCGTCATATATGGCGTCCAGAAACGTTTCGAGGTTTTGTTCCGCAACAGGGTACATAAGGATAGACAGTTCCCTGCCTACAACATATGTTCCGACGACACGCACTATGTGTGCATGATCGAGCCGGGTCAGATGAGCAACCTCTCCGATAGCCTGCTCCTTGGTGAAATGTCTGCCGCATTGGATAGTTTTGCGCGCAAGGAGGATCCGCCGGCATTTGACACTTTGAACGACTGCAATGCGTGTGCTCCCCAAGGTATCGTGAACCTCAAGCAAGTCGGTGATCGACTTTCGCTCATCTTTCTGAAATTCCGCATGTTGCCCTCGTCCTGACCAATCTTGCTCTATCTGAGGGTCCACTGGCCACAAGTTCTTCTTCTCAAGAAGTTGCGCATAGGCATTGTCACTGATGTTGCTCTAAGGTCAGATCATTGTCTCTTTATCAAAGCCTATATAAAACTTACGGTCGTAGTCCTAGATGGTTTGTGGTTAGGTTGTCCCTGTCAAGGCCTGCTAGTGCTGTGTAAAAAGTGGTCATAGAAAATACCGACCGTGTCGACATGAAGTCTCCGTCATAGGTTTCTGAAAGCGGAACATTCTTCTCGGAGATCCCATGAGTTTGCTCAAGAAGCTCGTATGGATTTGAGGGATCGGACTGCGTATCAGAATCCTCTGTTGTTGATAGGTCTTTGAACTTGGACCAGAACTTAAATGCGTCACCTTGCAACGCGACAGAGGTTCTCATTTGGGTTGGTCTTTGAATCGACTCCGCATCCTCACGACGTCTTGGAAGTAATACGAGATCTTCATCATGCTTGTCATTAATCTCGAATTTGTTGTGAATTCTAAATGGAAAGCTAAGATCTTTCGGATCCGATGTTGTGGTATCGGGCGTAGCCGTACGCGACAGATTTGGCAGATAAGGGTTGGTCCATGGTGACATAGGTGTGCACAGAGGAGACGCAAGGCTGGACTGATCCGGAGGACTACATGGTCCGTTTGATCGACGTGGATACCGAAACGAAGATGAAGCCATCCAAGTGAACCAATGACGAGATACAGAGTCGAAACAAGGAGTGAGAAAGATCCTCAATAACAGAGATGAGTGAGATGTCAAGGAGGTGTTTCTTGTGAGCAGGCTGAAATGAGGGGATGTGTTGTAATCTAGCTTCTTCCGGTTAGCGGTGACAGCATACAGGCAGGCGCAGTGCAGTGCATTCAGAAGTGCGCCCCAATCCAGTCAAAAGATGTCGTCTCCCACTGCTCCAATCTCAGCCATCCAACCATTGATATTAGCCATTAGTATCCAGAATCTCCTTTGACTCAACTCTTCCCCTTCCCCCTACCCCGTCCCCGCCCCCTACCCACTTTCCCCCTCCCTCTCGCCCCAGCGCCCTTCTTTGGTGAATTCCTATCCGTCATATCCGTCAAATCCGTCTCCCCATCGCTATCATGAGCGAAGAAGTGGCTCTTGACCTGCGCATCGCTCTTGCGCGCAGCTTTGCGCTTTGGCGCAGCCCGCGTTGACAGCGGCGGACTCACAGGAGCATCTGAGAGCATATCTTCGTCTGAGGAGTCCGCAACGATAGATTTGCGTTTGCGTGTAGTGGCCGCTGGTTTGGCGCGGCCGCGTGTGGACTGCGATGTTGGGGGTTTGCGTCGAGGGGCGGGTTTGGGTGTTTCTTCCTCTGAGATGTCGGGGTCGGAGTCGAGGTGCATGTCTATGTCTTCGTCCTGCTCGTCGTCGTCTTGGTTGGCGGGTTGCTGAAGTGCGGATGTAAGTGATATGGGGGTTCGGAAGGCGTTGTCTACGATGGATGTACGTGCTTGCTCTGCCTGCTCGCCGTGGTCGATTGTGAGATCGCCGTGGACGGGCTCTTCCTGGCTGGCTGCGAAAAAGCCACCAGCCATATCTGGTTGACTGTGTTCGTCTTTGACGAATCCACCATCTGCGGCTCCGTCATCGTCACGTAGAAACCCGCCAGCAAAGTCAGTGTGATCCTGAAATACATCCCACTCCGACTTTGTCCCCTCTGACTTGCCAGTCGGGGCTGCCTCAACTTTCGGCTTAGGAAGCTCCACATCGTCACCATACTCTGCTTTCATGCGCTCGACGATACGCAAACCAGTGAAGAACTTCTTCCACAAGCCCAGAACAAGCTTCTCCCTCTTTTCGGCTTCTTTTCTCGCTTTCTCGGCCTCTTCAACTTCCCAGGCATCGATAAGAAGATCTTCATGCTCTTCCGCAACGACAACGCCAGTAAGAACGGGAACAGCGCGTTGCTTGCCGAACTCAAAACCTGTACATGCTTCCGCGTGGTCGATGTTCAGCTTCCTGCAAATACGTGCCGTGCCCTTCAGAGGGACATGAACAGCACCCTTTGGTATCATAGTAGACACATAGACGTCAATGTTTCCAAACGCATTGCGAGGGATATGACCATCAACGATTGGATCCGGTATGATCCAATCGGTCTGCGCAATAGAGTACAACCCTTGTTGTATCTTTCCACCTTCTACACGCTCACGCTCTTCGATCTCGCGTTTTCGCGTGACAGTGACGGCGCGCATAGGTACGAATTTGAGCGGTTGCTCGGTTTCTTTGACCTCTCTGCCTTCCTTGTGCCACGACTCGACAGTCTTGCAGTTTACGATATCCTTCCGGCGGTACACTGGCTCTGATTTCTCATTGTCGCCTTTGCCTGTGACGAAATGCCGGATGATCTTCGCACCGGGTATGAGCGCTTCTTCACGCCGCAAATGGCGTTCTAGAACGTACTCAGTGGAGTTCTTGTAGCCCTGAAGAGTCTCCTTTCCGCCTTCATCGTCCATGGTCTTCTTCTTCTCTGGCTTTGCCGGAACAAGGTCACCTTCGTCTTCGACCTCGTCCCAGGGCTGTCGCTTCTTGTGGGGTCGCGCATAAGGTTGCATGAGTGACTTGAGCCAATCCCATTCCTCCCATCGCTTGACTTTCCCTCGCTTGTTGTGAATGGGTATCTTCTCTACGGGCATGCGAAGTCCTTTGGTTCTACCAGGCCATTGATGTTTCGGTAGATAGCGCGTTGTCACGTCCTTTGCTGTGCCATCTGAAGAGAAAGCGATAAGGTAGGCGAAGACTTGCTTGGCTTTGTCGGCTGCTACACCGCGCGGATAGAATTCACCGAGTTTGTCGGGCGAGGCAGCACTCGCAATGATTGTGCGGGCGAGTGGAGAGGCAGAGACAGGAGTGTGAGTGAGATGCGATATAGCTTCCGTCCAATATGTTGGATAAGGAAGTTCTTCACTGTAGTTGCGCGTCTTTGGAGACTTCTTCGCAGGTCGCTCCCCCTCTGAGCCCGACGAAATGGATATTACACTGCTGAGATCACTGCTCTTAGAAGCCGTAGAATCCACTGAGTCACTCCTCTTTCGCGGCGCGAGGCGCTGCTTCGCTTTTCCGTTTGCTGGAGTAGAAGCTGCCGAGGCGTTGGCAGAGGTAGCTGTCACCAAATCCTTCAACTTCTCAAGGTTCTTTGGCTTGCCTTCTTCGCTTTGGCTGAAGCCAAAGCCCACGGGTTGCAGACTGGCAACCATTCGAGCCTCAATACCTAACCCGCGAATGAGGGCCGTGAAGAGCTGTTGACCAATATCCCTACTACCTTGACACTTGCGTGCCATATCGCGGAATGCGTTGAGATTCTCAACTCGTTCGCCGAATGTATCTGGATGTGAAGGGTCTTCTCCCCATGCTCTGACTTCCGCTCCCAGGGCCGCAGGAGCCAGATATCCACGCTTACGCAAACTAGGTGCGGTGATCTTGAACTTCGCCTTCCAGAATGCCGATAGATACTTCAACAGGCGTAGTAGTGGGTCGCCGTGGGACATGTTGGGTGCGCTGGGCTCAACTCGTTCAGTTGCTGCGCCCCAATCACGCTGGTCTCTCTCAATCTTGAGTGCATCCTTGCTTTTACCCTTCAGTGTACTGCTCTTCTCTCCACGGTTCGGAACGGGCTTGGCCTGGGGGCTGTCGTAGACTTTGACGCCGTTCTTGCCGCTGTTCTTCCAGGTCCCTTTCCTGTCTTTCTTCTCTTTTTCCAATGCTTTCAGCACCTTCTTATCTACCTCAACAACATGACTAAGTCCATCCGAGATACCTGCATCCCGCCAGTACTGTTCAAGCTCGCGCCAGCAACCTAACGATAGACTCTCGACCAGAATCTTCTGGACTTCCTTATCCTGTATCCACCCATTCCGTATCAGATTGTGGAACATCAAAAACTGCATATGCATACAATGTGTAGCATTCCGTATCTGGCGCTCTCTCTTCGAAGGCCCCGTCTTCCCGTTGGCTCTCGAATCAAACGCGGTCTGAGGCGCGGCGGAGATCGTAAGCGAGATGTCGCCAGAGATGACTGGCATCGCGAGTTTTGTATGATGGCGAGTTCCCAACGCATCCTCCCACTCATCGTCTTCACTCTCGTCGTCTTCGTCTTCTTGCGCCTTCCCTTTGCTCTTGCCCTTGTCTGCACCCTTCAACGGCACATCCTCAAATTCATCCTCACTGCTTTCCGACTCTGAGAGCTCGCTATCGTCATCTTGCTGTCGCAGAAAAGCCTTTGTTTGCGAAAGTGTACGCTTGACTTTTGGAGGCGCGTCCAATGTCTCGAAAACGGATTCTTTGCCACGGCGAGCGGGTGGGTTGCGGGCGCGGGCGCGTTTTGGTGGCGGTTCTGATGTGGGTGATTCAGAATGTAGCCGTTTGCGCGCGAGAACGGGGGGCATTGTGCCTGAGGTTTTTGTTATCGCTTCATGAGCAGATGTTGTTGTGGTGTTTTGTACCAAAGTGTTTACAAGGTGATGGCTGGATCGATGACGCATATGCCCCTGTCAAATTCCGATCGCGCGGGACGATCGATCTGTGGATCGCTAAAAACGCGAACGCGTCGGCACGCGACGTCACATGCCATGTGGCTCACTCGCGCGATGGATCAGATCTCCGTTTGCTTTTGCATCTCGGATGTTCAAAGCACATATATGGACGCATTTCATCACGAATCACGCTGTGGTGCGTATCTCTGGTACTGTACGGCATGGATATAGCTTGACCTGAATGTATATTTCCCACCCTTTGATCCCTACGTGACACCGCTCCAGAATTGACACCAACACTGTCAAGGGTGACCTCGCAACATGTCTATGTGCGTCCAAGGGCCTGATTCCCCTGAAGATCTCATTGCTGTCCGCTAATCCCCTCTGGCATCCACCTGGTCCAGATACCAGTATATCTGTCCGGCCCATCCCTAGGATTGAAGATACAAAACGACTTGATCCAATAAGCGAACTGGCTGATGCCCCAAGAAGGTACTCTGCCAAGCTCTAGAGCGAAACGTAAGTCAGGGAAGGGGGTGCCTGATTCATCGGGTTCGAACATCGGGTTAACAACGACATCGAGAAAGACTGTACGATCAATAAATGTGATGATCCCGACGACCTTGCATATCATCCGTTGCTGTCTGTTCGGCGCCGTTGCTGTGCGTGTGCCACTTCTGAAAGGGCCGGCCAATTTTATCAAGCGATTTTCTGCTTCAAGCCATTTGGATGGCTGGTCGAAGGCGGATTTTGGAGTAGCACTAGTGGTGGGACATGGAGATCTTGGAGTGAAGCAGCTGGCAGCAACTTTGGCGTCGCTGAGTGGGAGAGTATCTAGGACATAGCGGAGAAACATGAGTACTGTGGGTGTAAGCCGTGTGCACGCCTGAGTTCATCACTATGAGACAATTGGCCAGGAACTCCGAGCTAAACTTGCCAACGATCGGGCTTCTCCAAATAGCTATGGTACATACCGGCTCGGTGTTCGCTTGTGAGGTTGCTGGTAGCATCGATTCCGAGGTCGTTGAGATCTCCTTTATGGAAACGTAGTTCCGGCTCTTTCAAAAGCCGCGACATCCCGTAGGTCGATTATAACGCTCGGCTGACTAAGTATTTTGACAAGGAAGTGTATTCACTGCAGGAATGTCAGTGTTTCCAAAGTGCAAGGGCTGGATGGTGCCTGTCTCACCGATACGTCGAGTAGAGATAGACCGGGCTGAGACTGTTGCCTTGTTGTAACGATGACTGAACACGACGTCGTGCTATGAGCGGGCTGAAGAGGGTATGAAAACGTATAAGAAGGCCAGTATCTCAGCCCCGAGGGTAGCTGCTTGCTCCATCTTTGTCCCTTCTGTTTGTTCAGCCTTTCTCCTTCCTCAATCTCGAAGGTATCTGCATAACGCTTGTCTAACTGGAAAATCGGAACCTAGCAACGGGAAAGATGGCTGCTCAGAGCTCGAGCTTGATACCACGCAGTCGATGTGACCGCGAATGACAAGATGATGATGGTTGTTATTAGGATGTCCTTCTCCGCCATCGGTGTACTCGCGCTATAACACGGATTCACGTGACAGTGACGGCGACGACAAGGACGTCCATATGCACGATCGCAACGCAGGTAATTCAGCACTCTTTAAGTGTAGTCACTAAGATTGAGAATACAGGACAATCATCCACCGACGTGACAGTTTTCAAGTCACGGGTTATTCCTCATCCGGCCCGGTAGATCATCCCTCGAAATGTATGGATCGCTGCCGCCATCTGCCACTGCGACACACATCCACGATTGCACACTTCATCAACCCAGAAGTGCACCTTTATCACCACTAACCCAGAAAACTAACAAAATTGCTGATGCAGAGCCGCAGAAATCGATGGACCCCACGAGACCTGCGTCATGAAGGCATAGCCACAGTGGCTGCAGTCCCTCAAAACTCAGGCTGGCGGCCTCCGCGTTGGTCTCCTTCCCCACGTTGTCGCAATGCTGCGACCTTCCGCCCTTCCCAAGTTTTCCCACACCACACTTCGCAGCACTTCCCAACCATTCTTCCACATTCATATCTTCCCCTTAGCTGCGCTTTTACACTACACACTCTCCGCTAGCTTCTACCACCCTCATCCTCACTCACCTTCTCCTTAGGCACCGATCTTGTATGCGCCAGGACATGCACAAGCTTGTACTGCTCCTGTTGCTAGCTTCCCTGCTTGGATCAGCAGCAGCAACAACGACTCCAATCATGGACTACACATTACCTGTTGCTTCGTTAGAGGAACAGTTCCTACAAGATTCAGACGGCATGTTTCACCTCTTCTGTGATTACTGCGCTGCTCCAGTCTGGCAGTGCTCGTGTGCTATGGTAAGAAGCCCTGCTCAGCTGTGGAGAAGCAATGCTCACATCCTTAGACACGACCACCTTACATTGATCCTGCCATGGTCTACCGTCAGCTTGAATATAACGAGCCGCATACGAGCTACGACCCGATCGCGTTTGACCTTGCGCCTGTCGCCGCATTCGTCTCTGGTCGCAGTCATGAGCAACTACCTACCGACCGGCGTATACAATACTCAAACGAGAATGCCACGGCATCACAGGCACGCACTGTATACCCCTACGCTGAGGAACCACACACCCCCGTCCCTGCATACGTCACCGATCGCACTCCCGAGCAGCTATCCATCGACGAGGGTGTTCAACGTATGAATGAGAACGCGACGACGGTACAATCGAGCACCATACAAGCCCATGTTGAAGACACATACACGCCTGGCGACCGTCAACAGCCAACACCACCAGCGGTGTCACGCCGACCACCGACTACACGGCAGGCACTTCGACCAGGTGGATACCCTTGCACGTTTGGGGGATGCGGAAAGGCATTCGACCTTGCTTATAAGTTGCAGTAAGCTCTCCTCGGTGCCACTGTATTTGTCACGACCTAACTTTGACCAGCCGTCATGAGAAACAACACTTGCCTAGCTCCGAGCGGCGTCACAAGTGTTCCATCTGTAATGAGGGCTTCTTGTACCCAAAGGACCTTATACGGCATCATGTCACACATAACAAGAAATCCGTGACCTCAGCCAAGCACTTATGCAGTTTCCGCAACTGTGGTAAGAGCTTTCCGCGACGCGATAACCTCGCACGACACGAGCGAAACCAACATCCACCGGCTCAGGTGACTGTTGAGTTGCCGATTATAGGTTCGTCGACAGCATAGACTCGATATGGCTATATGTCGACGGGGGGTAATGCTACTAATGCTCCCTCTGTCCTTCACGCTTCGGCGTTTTAGAAGGACAGTTTTCTTTCTTTGCTCTTCTACCTTTAGGGCATCTGTAGACTCTTCGATCTCGCTCCAAATTGTTTTTGTGTGAGCACCGACGTTCCGCTCGATTTCATTCCTCGATTCCCATTCGGTTTGTTTTAATGTTGTCTTTACCGCTTGGTTCGTTCAATAATACCCCTTTCTGCAGACGCTCTCAGTACTCATAGCGGTATCGTTGGCTTGGTGCCTTATTTTGCCTCCCGCTGCATGCATTCGAGACGCCTCGTATTTCATTGAAAAAAAGATTTCCTATTGGTTTCTGTTAATGTGTATGAACATCAAAGAACTTGACGACACGAAGGAAAAAATGGGTTCATCTACATATCACGTTGGAGTTGGATCTGTTTTCATATTTGCCTGCGGCTACGTCACTGCTCTCAGTTGAGTTACTAGCCTGTACTTTGGTGGGTGCTGGGATAGGTCGGTTGGCGATGATACTGTAGTACGTGATGGCATATAGACTGGAAATTACTATTCTTTCTCACATACTGTTTTCATGCTCATGGTTAGTGATGTGCCTGACTTTGTTCTGCATGCAATACTTGGTTTGTCTTCATGAATCTTTGACGCGACGAGGCTTGCCCAACCAAGAAAGAAGGAGTATATCATGCCAAAATAACGCCCGGCCTCGCACTGCTCGGATTTCGATATTCTACTAACTCCCAAAACCGTTACTTTTTGACTGGCATATCATAACATCTTACAGATACGATGCCAAATCGTCTCACACGCACTCCTCACCTCCAAACCTCATCACTGTCTCCAACATAAACGCAAACACAAAAACTGCTTCGAAAATACACCCAGGTGACTACCGCGCTGAAACAATACGCCCAAGTATGTGGACTTCCTGCCTAGCATCCTCCTCACGACTCCTCACCTCACCTCAGACACCTCAGCAGTTCAACACTACATATCGCCTGTCATTATACAATGCTTCTCTCCGCGCAGTCCCGAACACAAACTCCAAACTTCTCGTATTCTCAAAGTGCACTTCAGCAAAGAGTTTGGAAGCGTGCTACCCCATCCCACCGACCTAGTCTTTGCATGCCGATCTTAGTCTCGGAGAGCAACCCGAGTAACTCGCTTGATTTGGGATGCTGGATTGCTGCGATATTCTAGGATGGTGGGAGGCGTATCTCATGGGTATGGGGATGTTGGATGTGGATAATCAAAGACATAGCCGTACCATCCACCCTCACACAGAGGTCAAACATCAATAGTGAAGACATGTATAGATTCATCTCACTAAAACAACAAATCCATCACCACACACCACTCCCCCACAATCCATCCATCCATTTATCCGAACTCAATGCTTCTCCCCCCAAAACGTCAAGAACCGACTCACAGTCCTCTCCTCCCAAAGATGCGCCTCGCGAATATACGCCGGCTCAGCCGTAACATTCAGAATGCCATAGCTATCCCAGTGATGTCCCGCACCCGCAATCAAATAGCTGGGATACTTATCACTGCTAATCCTCGGCTTAGGCGCAAGGTCAGAATGGTAGCACAAATCGAGCCAGACATCCGTGCTGCCGTCGATAAGCGCGAGGTTGGGCGCTTGTGTGTTCCACCCGCCGTACTTGTTGTAGTAGTGCAGCTCTGGGCTCTTGGGGATGCTGTTTGATGTGCCGGCGGGGAAGGCCCATGTGCACCATTGCTGGGTGTAGGGGGCTTGTAGGACGCGGGAGATGAGGGATGGGCCTTTTTTGGGCGCGACTTGGTAGGCGCCGGATTCGGAGCAGGTCGAGTAGAGGTAGGAGCGCGCGGCGCTGTTTGTTACGTCGGCGTAGAAGGTCTGGTTCTGCGTGCCGAAGCAGCCGCTGTCTGTGCTGTCGATGCGGCCGCTGGTGCATGTCGGGATCAGCGTCTTCTTGACGTAGTCGGCGTAACTGCCTAGACCGGTCCAGGCGGAGCCGTTGGAGTATTGGGAGAGCGCCGTGTCGACGCTGCTGATGTTCGCCGCGGGGGCGAGGTTGGTCACGTTGGAGCAGAAGTGCCAGAAGTCCGAGGAGCCGTAGCGGTCTGACCAGTTGAGTTCCTGCCAGGTGTTTGTGGGGTAGTTCATGGGGCCGCCGATGGGGAAGGCGATTGTCATGGCGAAGTCGCCTAGGCTTTGTAGTGCGCCGAGGCCGAAGATGTCCTTGAGTTGCTGGATGCCTTGCGCGTTGCCGGACTTGATTAGGGCGTCGATTTTGTCGACGATGTTGACGATGCGGGAGACGCAGTCTGCGGGGCCGTATTTCATGATGGGGTCGTACCATTGGGGGTACTCAAGCAGTGCTTGCGTGGTGGCACTGCTACCGATGCCGCCGGCGAAGATGTCGTTGTATGTCTTCATGGTGAAGGCGGTGTGTGCGCCGGCAAGAGAACCGCCGTACATGATCCATGGGACGTCGGGTCCATTTAGGGTGTTGTTGACACCAGGGAAGGTAGCATGCTTCCTGAAGTAAGCGTTGTCGGCAATGGCTGTTCCATGTCAGATTACATATCTAGCGAGATATATGGATTTCTTACTTTGCTCGGTGGTCAAGAACCTCAACTCATCCGTCGTGCTGGTGTTGTAGGGATAGCTCCCTCCATAGTACCTGTTCTCGAGAATAACACCAAGGCCATTGAACTTCTCCATCATAATCTGGATAACTACACAAATCAGTACATCGCCTCGCAATCATGATAGACATGATGAACTCACTTCCAGTCTGCAGGTTAGAGAATCGGCTTTCGCCGCTCGTCTCTCCACCAATGTACAAAAACACCGGTCCTCCAGGCTTATAGTACGACGAATCGAAGAAGTACCGCTGCTTGAACGTATCCTTCGTATGCGGCACATAGCGATCCGATTTCGGGAAATGATCAATCTACAAAAAGTCAGACGGGGCCACGACGAAAGGACGAGAACAAAAACACATACAGGCTGATCAATAGTATGAGCCGCATAAGCGGGCGCAGCAGCCCTCTTACCCTGCCATTGATACGGCGCGGGAGTCGCGGACCCAAGGGCGGCGAAAGTGTAAAGCAACGTCAGGACCTTCATTATGCAGTTCTTGCTCGCGTACCCAGAAAAACGACGGGGACTGCAGACAGCTTATAAGAGGTACCTGAAGCCGGGGCTCCAATCTGCATGCAACATGCGGGTCCCGTCACTCACGTCATGTTCGTCTTTTACCTCAAAGAGTGGGGCGAGCATGCTATGGGCGATGCCGGAATAGGCAGGTAGGCGCAAAGCTTAAGCGAGCTTAGAAGAAGCTTATCGCTGCTTGGTATCTGCCTTCTGCTTCGGGTCCGAGGCGCCCAGCTTCTTGTCAGAGAGGAATATTGGAGGCTGGTAAGCGTGGTGTTTGTTAACTTGTTTTGCTGGATGCGTAAGAGTTAGAGAGGATGACGAGATCCTGGAACCCGGTGGGCGGGACGATAATAAGGCCGCTGCTTGAGGCGCCGATAAATACCGCAGGTGGTCCCGTACGTATGATTGAACAGGACCTTTTGAGAAACGGGAAAACTGCTCTTGTTCGGCTAGAAATCACTTCAGGAATTGTTGTCATTGGCTGAGGTATTTTTTCGACCCGAGTGATGGACCATGGCCAAGAACGTGTGTTCGCAGGACTCTAGTACGCATAAACTGATCACTCTATCAATATATCAAACATACGCGTACCTTTAGTCTGGATCGTAACGTAGAATTTCATCCACCATCAACTCGACGACACATCCTCCAGGCATTCCAAGCCCAAGCCCAAACCACGCCGAAACCAAACCAAACCAAACCGTAGCTTACACCACAATGTTCTACAACAAATCTCACCCATCAACACGACCTAATAATTATCTTCAACACCATCTTGAATAACACACACAATACCGGTCTACACGTTTTGTTCCCATACCTCCTGAAGTGTTCGATGTAGAACAGTTATCCGTTAGAGATGATGGGCTTAGTCGCAACTAGACCTGTACGATGTTTCGGGCATTGAGAAAACTACTGCGAAGTATGGAAGGTATGTGTACTAATAGATTTAGAGTGTAGAAAGTAGAAGCTGGACATGAACTGAAGGCATAGAGAGGGAATGTGAGGTAGTGGGAAGTGTTGGTCGCTCTGAATGAAGACAGAGTCGGTAGGAAACGGCTTTTGTCGAAAGTGGAAAGTTGAGAGTATCATTTTTTAGTAAGCTAAGCCACGACTACTTTTCCCATGCTGAACATGATTTTGATCTTGTGGCTCAAGTTATCCAGTTGTAATCGCCTGACTTTTGTGAAAAGCTGAAAGAATCGTACCATACAATGTCGTAATTCATGTCATTCATGACTTTCCTCCTGACGTGCTCCACACGCCTAGAACTCGTGATCGTGATCAAGGCCGCCCTGGAAGTCAATCACCATATCGACCCAGTTGCCCCCGCCATACTGGCACGCACTGGGCCCAAGTTTCCTAAACCCCGCCTTCTCGTAGAACCCGACCAGCCTCTCCCTACTAAGCAGCGCAATCCTCCGCGCAACGCCCGAGTCCTTGATCCTCTGGACATAGCTCCGTAGCAAGACCTGCGCGAGGCCCTTGCCCTGGAAGTCCGGGTGCACACACAGCGAATGCAGACAGATGGTCTGACCGTCTTCGGTGTGGCCTGTGCTCGGGGCGAGCTGGTAGTTTGTTTGCCAGTCCTTGGGGTAGTCCATTGAGGCGTCTGTGACGACGGCGGAGGTGGACTTTGTGGCGATGATGTGGGCTAGGAGGATCTGCTTTCGGTCGCTTTGGTTCGAGTCTACCGGCTGGAAGTTTCGTGTCTTGATGATGGCGCCTAGGGGTCCGGTTTCGGTTGGGTAGGCCGAGGAGAAGAGTCCAGAGCAAAGCTCGCCGCATAGATGGAGGCGGTAGTCGATCTGTGGGACTTAGCTTGGTGTAGAGGGGTTATGGGGGGTTAGACGCGGTGATAGGTGTTTGTTGTACAAGACAGAAGTGAGGTTAGTGGGTGGGGAGGGTGCACCGGGCTGGAGATGGGAAATGTATGAAATACATGCATCGAATAGAGATGTTGGTGGAATGAACGAGGACGATAAATCAAGTATAGGAGGTGGGTTGACATGCAAGAGAAATTTCTCATATGCGTAGAGCCATCCCGTGGAGAGTTGAGAGTTGTTGAACCAGCTGACTTGTGACACGAAATAAAACGCAGTGATCGATGCCTGACCGTCGCACGAAAGCGAGGCACTAAGAAGAAATACGAGAGGAAGTGATGGGAAGGCAAGATGTTGTGCTTACCTTTTCTCTCGTAGCCGCCTCGATTGGGTCAAACGCGGCATGTTCCAGCCAGTCGCAATTGTCCAGATCGTCCTGGCTGAGCAGTTGAACGAAAGGGTTGAGGCCCATCTTCTGGAACCTCTCCTCAACCAATGACGGTGTCTTGAAACGTGATTTGGGTGCAGATTTAGTAGTTGGTGAGCTCGCGAGTGGTTCTCTCGTCAATTGGGGCATTTTGTCGAGCGCCTCCTTGTCCTTTTTCTCGGCGAACAGGTCCCGTGGCATGTTGGCAGCTGGTTGTTTAGTGGTTCGTGGCAGGGTCAGAGCAAGATGGGGTTGGGTACAAAGGACGAAAAGCTGGTGTGGTGGATGTGCAGAGCTGTACGATCCCGAGGTGCAGCGATGTGTTGGAGGGGGAGATCCTGGGCGTTCGGCGATGGGCTGGACCCCACGATTTCGCTTCGTGACGTTAGATCTAGTGGGGAGCTGTAAGCGGTAAACAGCTGTTCCTTCTCCACTGTTTCGAGTCTGCCTCTTCTCAACGCGCAAGATGGCACTTCTCGTGGGGTTTGGGGCACTGCTGAATGGCGACACCAGCTTGCCAGCACAATCAGCACATCATCACAGGAAGAAAGACACGGCGGTGCTGCGCTGTGCAGTGATGCAAGTACTTGTGCAAGCCCGTATTCTCCTAGTGCACACAAATCAACCCTGTCTCTTGGTGGACAGACTTGAAGCAGCAACATGTAGTGAGAATGTTTACATGGATATTACATCATTCCGAGGCTCCTTGCCTGGATAGCCCCGCCAACTAGCAGCATGGCGCAGACGGCCTTGTCGAGCAATAGGCACACTTCAGCCTGCAATCCCAGCGTCGTCGAGTGCTCTCTGGCATATTACGGTATCCAGACTGACCGCCTCGAGCGCGGCGCACACAACATGACGCGGCGTGCTCCTGAGGGCTGATTATTAACTCTGTCGTAGCCTGAATCAGAGGACCCACCATATTCCATTGCCTTCCAACGGCCACAGGCCTGCATTCACCGCGAGGAGTCGCCGGCCCAGTGTGTTTTTTCCCAGCACTTCACCGCGAGGGAGCACTCACGCACCTGTTGGGGACAAGCTGCTTTCGACCGCCACCCCGCCATCCACCCAAAACCGCCGCCTCCCCACCGCTCAGCACACGGTACCACGTCCTCTTGCCTGCTTCCAGACCCGCCTGCATCCGTCCGCACCGCCATGTGAGTCCGCCCCGAAGCACTCGTGTGCAACGGGCTAAGCCGCCGGCTAACGAGTGCTCGCCAGGCCGCGCGTTACCATCAGTATTACCGCGCCCAACAACGCGCTGGACAGCGAGCTGCTGACGCTCGAGCTGCCCCCGGCCAGCACCGTCAAGGACCTGAAGGGGTTCATCGAGGCCGAAACGAGCCTGCCCGCCGCGTCACAGAGCATCTACCTCAACGGCCAGCCGGTTACCCAGGAGACACAGACGCTCGAAGCTGCCGGCATACGCGACAATGAGATGCTGGCTGTGCTCGTGCGCCGCTCCCAGCCCGCCCGGCCCCAGGCGAACCCGCGGACAGATCCAGAGGGCATCCGCCAGCACGTCTTAAACGACCCCAACGCGCAGACGGACCTGCGTCAACGAGACCCCGAACTCGCCGCCACCATCAACGACCCCGTCCGCTGGAGAGAAGCCTTCGCCATGAGACAACGCAAAGCAGAGGACGCCGAGCGCGAGCGCCACAACCAGATTGCCCTGCTCAACGAGGACCCCTTCAACATCGACGCCCAGCGCAAGATCGAGGAGATTATCCGCCAGGACCGCGTCGTCGAGAACCTGGAGAAAGCCTACAACGAGAATCCCGAAGGTGCGTGCATCTCTTCACCCTCCCCCTCACTCACGCCCGCTTGCTGACTGTGCCAGTTTTCGTGCGCGTTCACATGCTCTACGTCAACACCGAGGTCAACGGCGTGCCCGTCAAGGCCTTTGTCGACTCGGGCGCTCAGGCCACCATCATGTCACCCGACTGCGCGCAGCGGTGCGGCATCATGCGTCTGATGGACGTCCGTTATGCTGGTGTTGCTCGGGGTGTCGGGACCGCCAAGATTCTAGGCCGAGTCCATCACGCCGAGATCAAGATTGGTGGGGCCGTCATGCCCTGCGCATTCACCGTCATGGAGGGCAAGGACGTGGATCTCCTGTTTGGCCTCGACATGCTCAAGCGCTACAAGGCCAAGATCGACCTGGAGAAGAACGCCCTCTGCTTCGAAGGCATCGAGGTGCCGTTTCTGCACGAGTCGGAAATCCCAAAGAGCTTCGAAGAGGCCGAGCTCAACGAGCCCACCGTCGCCGGTCCCAACGGAACAGAAATCGGCGCGAAGACCGGCGCTGTGCGACCAGCGGGTGCTACCGCGGCCGGTGAGCCGTCCGTTGCCGCGGGTCCGTCTGCAGGCCTGTCGTCATCGGCGTCATCGTCTTCCCAAGCTGCAGCGGGCAAGGCCCCAACAGCCCCCTCAACTGCATCCTCATCTGGCAGCTCGGTCCCGGAAGGACACGTCAACGAACTGATGAGCATGTTCGGCTGCTCGAGGCAGGAGGCGGTACAAGCGCTGGAAATCAATGGAGGCAATCTCGAAGCCGCTGCGAATTTCTTCTTCGGGTAGAGTCAGAGCAGAAACTGATAGCACAGCACCGGCCCGGTCCGATGGCACACTCGCTGACCACACGTCCGACAAAAGACGAATGCAGTATGGTGGAATCGTCCTTTTTTCCAGGTATCCTTACTGGTGATTTCCTCTTCATCCTCGTCTCGACATGTCGATGACCGGGGAGATGAAAATAACTCATGAAGCTCACGACATCATCATCATCATTTCCACACATGTATTTTAGACGGATAAATCGTTCAAGCGATGAGGCTCGCTAGGGAAGGGAAAAACGACATGGACTGGACAGGCATCATCCTAGAATTCTTACTAGACCCAATCGGATCGAACATGTGATCATTCGACTGCCTCCAACTTCTATCGCCCCCAGTAAATGATGATAACCTCGCATTGACAAGAAGCCAGAAGCCATGATTCTCAACATCACATACTCCCCCCCTCACCTAACCTTATACAAACACGGCTTCAGCGTCTTCCCCTCCGCCTCAGCACTAACCTCCTTATCCTCCCCCACAACATTGAACTTCTTCCCCTTGATGCCAAACTTCATATTCCTCGCACCCCCTCCACCACCAGTGCTACCCTCCTCCTTAGCGTTCTTCCCCCGACTCGGCTGCGCCCCCTTAACAAACTGCATCTTAACAAACATCTTATTCGCGAAATCCACCGCATCCCCCGGCCTCTCAGGCAGGGCGTCGAGCACAAACCCACGCTTGCGCAGGACCTCGACGAAGGCGGATATATCCGTTCCTTCCTTGACATCCTGGCCGTCAACGCGCTCGGCGAGTTCCGTCTCGTCGGCCGAGTCCTGGGGGCCTTCAGCAGGCGCATCGCTCGCTTTAGGTTTCTTGGCTGGTTTCTTGCGCAGGGAGCCGATGGAGTTTATCGGGACTTTATTCTTCTGTGCACCTTTTTTGGAGGAGTCAACGCGCCCGAACCGTGATTTTATCTCGCTGACCCACAGCTCGCCGCGCCAGCGGAGGATGCGATATGCCTCGTCGATGAAGGCGAGCCAGTTTGTGCCCATGAGGGCGAGGCAGAAGATGGCCACGTCTGCTGAGTTGTCCGGGAGGGGGAGGGCGCAGATATCTGCTACTGTGACGAGGGAGGCGGAGGGGCCGGTTGGTTTGGCGAGGTCGAAGGAGTGTAGGGTTAGGTCGAGGGGTTTGAGGTGGGACTGCAGGCGGTAGGAGAGCGAGGCGGTGCCGCAGCCGAGGTCGGCGATTGTGCAGTGGTTTTTGAAGTTTCTGGGCAGGGGCTTTGCGTCGCCTTTTAGGGGGAGGGTGGGGGTGGAGTCTGGTTCTGCGTCTTGTTGGGGGCCTTTTTTGGCGAGGCGCTTTTTGTCTTTCCACGGGTCTTTTGTGCGGAGCTTGCCTCGTGACAGGATGCTGGTTACGTAGCTGTCGACGGGGTTGGAGGGCCAGACTTCGACTTGTTGGGCGAAGCCGCGGTGGTAGTCTTCGAACATTGAGGGGTCGGTTTTGAACAGGTCGAGGGACTCGGCGGAGGGTTTGGTGTAGAGCGATTCGTTCATGTGGCGGAAGCGGGCGCTGGCGAGCTTGCTGCGCATCGACTTTTGTAGGGGCGTGAGGCCTTGGGGCTCGGGGATGAGGGAGACGGGCGCGGTGGGGTCTCTGGCGGTGGATTCGGGGGCTGCAGATGCGGTGTCGGCTTTTTGCTCCTTCTTGCGCTTCTTCTTGTCGCGCTTGGATTCGCCGTCTGTGGTCGTGGACTTCTCGGTAGATGGAACCTGGACAGGCACCTGCTCCTCCTCCACGACGTCTGGCTTTGCCGCGCTCGCATCGCCATCTGCACCGTCGGGCTTGGCCTTGCTATTCTTCCCTCGGGTACCTCTCTTCCTCTTCTTCCCACGCTTCTCCTCCGTCGCATCACCAGTAGCCTCTACTTCATTCTGCACCGGCTCCACAACATCCTGAAGCGTGGGCGTCTTCTCCTCCATGGCCTTCTGCAGCAGCTCCCCCAGATTATCTCCAATCGCATCATGCACTGGCTTCTGCTGTCGCTTCTGTGCCTTCTTGCCGAGCTTGTTCGGGTCTTTGGGCTTCGACTGTTCGACTTGTGTCGCGACGGACGCAGACACGTTCCAGCCGGGGACGGAAAACATGATTGCGGTGTGGAAATCCGTTATGGGTGGGTTTGTGTGGGCTTGGACGCTGAGGCTGCGAAAGTTCGATGCGCGCGAAATTTCTCGACGGGGGCCGTGCGGTGGTTAGTTAAGTGGGGCTCTAGCGCGGAGATGCTTTTGACGTAGTTGTATGCTTTGCTCCACTCCACTTCGATGACTTACCGGATGGGCATTTGTTTAGCAACAGCATCTATCAATGTGGAGTGTCTCAAGTAGTGAAGTGAGTGCGATGAAAGTAGAGAAACTCAGGACGTTGTTCAATATACATTGATAACAAGCCCTTCAATCGTCTGGAACAGCTCTTTCCAACACTTCCTCTCAAACATACATCGATATACATTCTCCACAGGTTACTATTTTCATGACTTGCTAAACATATCTCGACCAATGTTCTGTTCTGATCATTTTCAACATGGTCGGTAGTAGCTATCCGCTGACAAAACCTACTCACTGACGACCACCGAGAACAAACATCTTCAGTGCGATCAAGAACCCGATACAACAAACATGAAAGCCATCGAAGTTGCCCAGATTACACCATCACACATACATTCCTCAAGAAATCTTCGCCTTCCTCTTCCTCCGTCTCTACCGTACGAACCACCTCAGCATCATGCGCAGGCACAAAAGTAGCTTTCGGCTTCCAAGGCGGCGGCATATGAAGCCTCCCCCTCTCCGTCATCGGCACCGAAAACCCACTCCTCCAGTCCACATCCTTCACACACGACGTCCTCAATTTCCTCCTCCACGCCTCCAGTCCCTTCAGCGTCAGCCCCCTCGGCGGCGCACTTTTAACCGGCCCGCCATGCCCAAAGCTCCCATCAGGAAACTCCTTCAAAACCTGCACCACCCCCGACACAACGCCCTGCGTCCCGCGCTTGAAAAACGGATGCGGAATCTCCAGCATCAAGTCCCACCGATCAGGCGCACACAGCATACCTTCTGCTTTCCAGTCCCACGTCCCGACCGCGTACTCGTTCACGTTGTCGTTCTCGCCGAAGCCCCGCCGGTCGACGAGGAGGACTACTTCGCCTTCCGAGCGGCAGGCTTTGGCGAGGTCGAAGGCGGCGTCGTTGGCTTCGCGGGCGGAGAGCCAGATCTTTTTGATTAGCGTGCTTCGGCTCAGGAGGTAGTCTTCGTCTTTTGTGGGCTCTTTGGGGCGGTCGGTTGGGTCGAGGAGCCAGAGGGTTAGTTTTATGCGGTACCATGGCTGGGTTTGGAGGGCTTCTTGTTTCTCTTCTTCGGTCTTGGGGGTGTATGGGGGAGGGGTGTGGGGGATGTCGGATGTGCTGGGTTTGTCTTGAGCGGTCATTGTGCTCAAGGATATGCAGAGTGTACTTTTGCCACCGGAGAACAGAGTATGCGCGTAATATATGGTAGATAATTGCGTTTTACAGCACGTATGGAAGATTTGACAGTTCACAAAACACTATCAAATTCTCCCCCTTCCTCGTCTCCCATCCAAGTCCACCGCTCGTCCTAGAGTCCACATTCAAAACAGCCTTTCCAACCCCATCACAACACTAGAAACACTACACATCGCTACCACACACATCACCATCCTCCCCTTTCCAATTCCCATTCTCATCAACCTGTCCATCTCCTCACACAGCCTCCGCCCTCGTGTACACATCGCCCATCACACTCAGATTCCCGACCACGAATCATTCACAATCCTTGGTTTTTAATTATAAGTATCCCCACTCAGTGTTTTATTAATTCATTCACCACATCAATTCCACTGAATAGCCTGGTCGAATTGTTGCATTCCACATACCACTTGAGTCTTTCCTTAGGTGTGTGGACATGTGGGGAGCTTGATTCTCACGTTTAAATTTACGCACTCCGCCAACTCGATCCCCGAGTAAATTCCTCTTTGCAACCCAATCAGCAAACCTGTAAAAGCAAGACACAGCACGCGAGCAGAACTACAACCACGATCGATGAGGTCAGTGAAGGGAACACATCCCCCATATAGCTAGACAATGAAGACTCGCTACTGCTGTGATGTGTACACGTCATGTCCAAACATTAACGTAATTGACTTAATTCATCACATTAGTGGGTGAGTTTTGTAGCGAGAATGGAATCAACGCCTAGGAGAGTCCATCGATCTACAGAACATGTTCTGGTGTCTGTTGTTAGATGGTCGGGTTACTACGTACGATACTTCACTACTTGACTAGCTTGTAGTGAGCTGGGTGTGAGTATGACGTTGATGCTTCTTCATTACGCAAGTTGATGGATTTCATGAAAGCACAGTCATCCACACATCAATCCCAACACATCAAACAAACACCATTTTGAGAATAAGAATATGATATCATAAACCAACTATACATATACACAACACAAACCAGACGCCTACATGCTAACAATCAAAAGAACACGCCAAAGTCGGTAATTTTCCTACAACTTGCTTCCCCCGCCCAAAAGCTCTGCACCCGCGCCCGAGATGGCAAACTTGCCCGTCTCCTTGACCTTAGTCTGGAACAGCACCGTATTCCCCGTCTTCCACATCTCCGTGATGAGCGTCTGCCCTGGCAGGACGACGCCGGTGAAGCGGACCTTGATGTTCTTGAACGGGCCGTATTGCTGCAGCACATGCTTGCCCGAGATACCGAACGAGCACAAGCCGTGCAGGATGGGGGTGGGGAAGCCGCCGACCTTGCTGAAGACAGGGTCGATGTGCAGGGGGTTGTAGTCGCCGGAGAGGCGGTAGATGGCTGCTTGCTCCTCGGTGGTCTTCTCCTCGATGACGGCGTCGGGAGCGCGCTGCGGGGGCTTGTGGACGCGGGTGGAGGCGCCGCGGTCGGCACCCTTCTTCTGGCCGCCAAAGTTTCCGGCGCCGCGGATGAAGACGGTGGCTTCGTTGTAGAAGATCTCCTCGCCGGTGTTCGCGTCGACTGTGGTAGATCCGGTGACGATGAGACCGGCAGCGCCCTTGTCGACAACCTCGACAAGCTTGGCCTTTGCGACGAGCTTGGCGGAAGTTGGGATGGGGAACTTGCGGATCTCGAGGAATTGCTCGCCGTGGAGCAACATGCGTGGATCGAAGTTGGGGACAATGTCGTCAAACGAAAAGGGGTTCTCGACGTTGAAGGGAGGGACAACGCCGAATGTGGGGATGACCTGGAAGTTGTCGTCGCCTTCGAAGACAAAAGGCAGGTCGGTACGCTTAGCACCAACACCAAGGTCTGATATTGTCAGTCACTAATCTCAAGGGTGGCAGGTACAAAACTTACTGTAGAGAATGACGTCCCTCTCGGTGTACTCAAAGGGTGTGCCGTTAGACTTGGCAGCGAAGGCCGCGTCTTGAGCCTTCTTGACCTCCTCGTTGGTCTTGTTCGACTTCTTCTCTGTCTTGGTCTTCTTGCTGGTGTTCTCAATGTTGGCCATGATGGACTTGAGACCGCTAGTGCTGTCGGGGTTGTCGGTGCGGCCGTCGTCGAAGTTGATGATTCGGCTCCACTGCTCGAGAACAGCTTCTGGGGTGAGCTTGACATCAATGGGGAAGCCGTGACCTCCTGTGCGCTGCCACCTGGTCTGGCCAAACCAGCCAGCACCTACTTCATACAGTGCGCCGGTTTGCTCGGGAGCCTTGTCTGAGACGAGGATCAAAACAAGGGGAGCGTTGAAGTCAGGCTTCAGTGCCTGGACCACTTCCTCGGGCATGATGGTTGCAGTCATTTGTGTGCCAGCTTGGGGTGCGATGGTGTTGACAAAGATGTTGTACTTCTTGCCTTCCATGGCGAGCGTCCTGGAGAAACCGAGAATACCACACTTCGCCGAAGCATAGTTGGCCTGTCCAAAGTTGCCGTAGATACCACTGGTGGAGGTGGTGTTGACGATACGGCCATACTTCTGCTTCAGCATGAAGGGCCAGGCAGCCTTGGTCACAGAGTATGTGCCGAAAAGGTGGACCTTGTGAACGATGTCCCATTGCTCGTCGGTCATGTTGGCGAAGGCCTTGTCGCGGAGGATACCAGCGTTGTTGACGAGGATGTCAATGCGGCCATATGTCTCGATGGCGGTCTTGACCACAGCCTCGCCGTTCTGGACATCGGCCTTGTTGCCAACGGCCTCACCGCCCATCTTCTGGATCTCCTGCACAACAGGGTCAGGGTTTACGAGATCGTTGACAACAACCTTGGCACCACGCTTGGCCAACTCCAAGCAGTAGACGCGGCCGAGACCAGCACCACCACCGGTGACCAAAGCGACCTTGCCCTTGAAGTCGAGCTCTTCGCCCTTGGGATTGGGCGGCAATTGGCTAGCCTTCTCGAGAAGCTCGACGGGGTTCGAGCTACCTGTTGGGTACTCGGCCTTGGTGTAATCAACGACGTCGCTCCACCTGGAGAGCAGAGCGCCTGGAGTCAGGGTGTCATCGGCCCGAAGCAGTGCACCGCCAGCGCGCTCCCACCGCAGCTTGGCGATATGACCGGCACCAGCCTCGAATATGGAGCCTGACTCGGAGGTGTTGGACTTGTGTGCAAGGACGGCTACGAGTGGGACAATCCACTCGGGCTTCAGCTTTGCCAGTAGGTCGGGAGGCATGATAGTCTCGGTCATACGGCTGGCAGCAATCGGGGCGATGATGTTGGCAATGATGTTGTATTTGGCACCCTCCTTGGCGAGCGTCTCGGTGAAACCAACGAGGGCGAGTTTGGCGGCTAGAGGGGTCAGCAAGAGCGCATATCTAGTGCGTGATGTATCTTACCAGAGTAGTTGGCTTGCCCAAAGGACCCAAACAGACCCGCAGCCGACGCTGTGTTGATAACACGTCCATACTTCTGTTTCCTGAAGAATGGCCACGCCGCCCTCGTGCACTTGAATGCGCCCAGCACGTGGACCTTGTAGATAAGTTCCCAGTCTGCCTGCTTCATGTTCTTGAAGCTGACATCCCGCAGGATACCAGCGTTGTTGATAAGCACATCAATGCGCCCGAAGGCGTCGATGGCCGTCTTGATGATGGCCTCACCATTCTCGACTGAATCGTAGTTGGCAACTGCCTTACCGCCTGCGGCGCGGATCTCATCGACAACTTTGTCTGCAGCCTGTGGGGGTTGAGTTAGCAGTCGTCCCGTTGTGGAGTTACTATGTTTGGGCGACAGGATGCGAGTATGGCGTTCGAGGCTCAACCAGAACGACGAACAATCTCGCCAGCTCGCGAAACAACGTGGAAGGGAAATGCAAATTGAACAAACATACCGCGGAACCCGCGCCTTCGCCTTTGAAGCTTCCACCAAGGTCGTTGACGACAACACTGGCGCCACGGCTACCGAAGAAGACGGCGTACTCGCGGCCCAGACCACCACCAGCACCCGTCACGACGACCGTCTGGCCGTCATATCGCAGCTCTTCCGCGCCCATGATGTGACTGTGTACAACTCAAAGAGTGACAAGCGTGCGCGTCGCGGGTTGTGCAGTTGCAAGGGCTGGGTATAATAACAAAGAGATGTGTAATGTATTCTCGGGCTTCAGTAAAGAACCCAAAGATGCGTCGAGATGAGGGGAGAGAGAAACAAGCAGAGAGGTAAACACTGGTATGATTGCGTGAGAGAGACCCGTGGTTTTAATCTAGCTCGTGAGCTGCCGAGCGAGCACGCTGTTCCATCCCAGCTGCCGAGGTCCATCAGTTGTGGGGAACCACGTGATGCGATGGCTGAACCGTCTTCACATGCCGTCGAGCTACCCCAGAGTCTAGCATATGCCAACGATCAGTCTCTGGGGTATCATCTGACAAGACGATGACCGTACCGATGACATGTGAGTTTTAGGAATGATATTGCTGCCGTGAATTCCGTTTGGACATGTACACGAACTTTTGTTTGTTGCTGCATGGTGTTCCTCAGACTTCACAACACGAGTCCAATTAGAACGTAGCTGCCACCTGCCACCGCCTTCGTCGACCACCGAGTCACTTACCGCAGGGATTAGCCGCACTACCGACAGACGAGGCACTTGCAACTGCCGGGTGCTGAGATGCCAACTCAACCGGTAGCTCGCTGGTGTCTTAAGGTTCGGCGTTCACGACATCGCGCGTATGAAGTTGTAGTCGTTTGAGGTACGACGTGTCGCGCAGCTTCATACTTTGAAGATGTTGTCGAACCATCGCAACCTCGTCACATTGATCTTCTCGACTGCGTGTATGAGAGTTGCATACTGAGACACGTTCACTGGGATATCGTGCTTGCAAACCGAGACCAGGGCAGATGTATTCGACTGAATCTCTTCGGAGTGTCATATGTATCGCTCAAATCGACTCACACCCTCTATTCAACTGAGCTAACCGGCACAATGGCGAGTTCCAAGAATCTCAAGGAACAGAAACCTGCAACCTTGGAATAGCTAGATTGATGTCATAGCTGTCTTGGAGACGCTTCATCCTGATTCTCACAGGTATGTCGAAGTCGAGATAGGCTCAGGATTTCCTGCGAGTATGTTTCAATCTACACCATAGCACACCCTGCAGCCAGGTCTTCCAGTGCTCGGGATCCCGTCTTTTCACGATATCTTGTGAAGGGCCAACCACACTCCACCGGCGTAGTGTGTTTCAATCTGCCGGCGAACGACGGGAATCTGCAGCGGGGAGCGACCTGCGTTGGCGGCGGTTCGCTTGGTCGTAGCGTGATCACACCCTAGCAGACGCGACCTCCCCTCGTCTAAGCGCGTACCCTTTCCCTCACCACCAAGATCCCAGAGAAAGATATTTCCAAAGAACGCGGGAAACACGCGCCGTGCCGCGGCCAGATAGCAGAAATGCAGAGCCAACAGCATCCGGCGCCTGCTTCAGGCCCAGGCCCGGGCACAGGCTCAGGCACCCCACGCTCTGTCCGACAAAGACACAGCGACGTGAATCTCCTGTCACACTCGGTGAAGCGTCACTCGCTCCACATCAATGCAAGCACGCCCCAACCCGGCTCGCCTGGGGTTCAGTCGCCCCGCCTACCACCCAGGTCCCCGAGTATCCCACCCAACGCACTGCGTCGCAGCTCCAGCGTAGCGAGCCTCAACCGAGCACCATCACGAGCATCCTCGCCAGCGCTGGCAAGAAAATCCTCATCCTCGTCACTACGAAGCGATACAACCGGTTCTCCACTAGCCATCTCGTCCCGTCGAGCATCCTTTGTTCCAAACATGCCTTCGCCGATGGGGGCGAAGCATCCTCTACCGCCGCCATTGGAGGAGAAGCTGCCACTGCGTGCCTGCGATGTCGCCGAAGACTACTTCAAGAGAGAGCTGGCACGACATGAAGATGTGGATAGCGCAGTCCATGCAGGCACCATCGTTATCGTCCACGATCAGTGCTATGGCCACCGCTTCTCGCGGCCCAAGACACCAAAGGGCGTGCTTAGCACCATCATGGAACGCCCAGAGAGGATCCTAGCCAGCGTAAAGGGAATATCGGCGGCTTATGTGCATCTCGGCGAACGTCATTGCGAAGGAAGCAATCCGCCACACCCAGACGTTGGCCTACCCACACGCATCCCTTTCAAGATCCGCAAGACCTCGCGGCTCGTCGACATCACCTCCCCAGTCGTCACGAATGTACATGGAACTAAATGGATGGCAGAGCTGAAGTCTCTGTGTGACAACGCAGGGCGAAAGCTGGCTTCAACTGGGAAAGAGCTGTCTAGGGATGCGCCTGCGATTCCTGGACAGAAGCCAAAGACCGAACTGCACACTGGCGATTTGTATCTCTGTCCGGAATCATTGAATGCGTTTCAAGGCGCTCTTGGAGGCGTGCTAGATGCTGTGGACGCTGTTTTCGAAAACACTGCAACGGGTAACGGACCCTCGCGAGCCTTCGTCTGCATCCGTCCACCAGGGCACCACTGTTCTGCCGACTTTCCATCCGGATTCTGCTGGCTCAACAACGTTCATGTTGGAATCGAGCACGCAATGATGAACTATGGGCTGACGCATGCGGCCATCATTGATTTTGACTTGCATCACGGGGACGGTTCGCAGACCATTACATGGGCGCGCAACAAGAAAGTCCAAAACATGCCAAAGAACACGCCTAGCTGGAAGAAATCGTCAATTGGCTACTTCAGCTTACACGACATCAACTCGTATCCGTGCGAAGATGGGGACGACGATAAAGTACAGGCGGCTAGTCTGTGCATCGAGAACGCGCACGGCCAATCCATCTGGAACGTGCATCTGCAGTCCTGGAAGACGCCTGAGGAATTCTGGGATATTTATGAGGAGAAATATTTGGTCTTACTCGAGAAGGCTCGCCAGTACCTCAAGTTCCATACCAGCCGATTACAAAACAGTCCCAAGGATCCTGCTCCCAAGGCGGCCATTTTCCTGTCCGCTGGATTCGACGCCAGTGAGTGGGAAACCGCAGGCATGCAGCGGCATTCCGTCAATGTGCCGACAGAGTTCTACGCTCGTTTCACACGAGATGTGGTACTGCTTGCGCAAGAAGAAGGCACGGCTGTCGACGGTCGTGTAATATCAGTCTTGGAGGGTGGTTACAGTGACAGAGCGCTCACTAGTGGAGTTCTCAGTCATCTCAGTGGTCTTTGCGATGGCCAGGTCTGGACTAACGAGAAATCTTCGAAGGGGCTGTCAGCCGATATGCACCATCGACTGAACGGTCTCAGCATGCATGACGAAGACATTGCAATGCAGTCAGTAGAAACCGAATCTATGCCGATCACCTACGACACCCACTGGTGGCACCCAGATAAATTATTCATGTTGGAGAATCCTGGTGAATTGCCTCCAGTACCCGCTATGCCGAAGCCACCTCCTGGTCCCCTAGCACATTTCTCATCTCCAACACAATCGTTTACTGCGAAGGTGGTTGACCCCACCAAATTGCGAAGCATGTCTAGCAGGCACACTATCACTCCCGGCCGAGCAGTCACTCCACCTCCGCCAGAAGTGGATTGGGCTACTGCGGCACATGCACTGAGCAAGTTGTTGATACCCTCAGACCGACAAACTCGCAGCTTCAAGCCAGAAGAACTGTCAGAGCCCAAGATCAAAAAGGAGAAGCCGGCGGCTCAGACCTTGCCGTCCGTACGTGTCGAACCCTCAGGTCGACAGCTTCGTGGACGCAAACCTGCCACATCTTACGTCGAGCCAGGCTTGGACGATAACAAAACAGGTCTTCGCGCCGACTCAAGGGCTGGCCGTCGACAGACCATTGCTGACTTTGGCCCAACCACTGAAGAACCTCCTGCAGCAGCTCGGTCCACGTCCCGTCGCATGAGTATCGCATCGAGCGTTTCCTCAATGCGTGATAGAAGTCTCAGTCGCGCACCAAGCGCGGCTGCGAGCCGGAGAAGCGTGGGACCTGGGCCGACGACTTCTAACGGCGTTGCAGTAAAGAAGAGTAGGGGTGCTGCGACTGCCGGGCCTTCCCGTACAACTGAGCGCCCACCGGTACCACGAATACCTTCGAATTTCACAGGCAAAACTACTATGCCGAAAGAGAAGGAGAATGATGACATGGACGCCCTCACTTCTGGCCTGAAACGCGTCACTTTGAAGATGCCTTCCAGGGAAGAGTACGAGGCTCGAGAGAAAGAGAAAATGGAAAAACAACAAGCATTTGAGGCGTCGAAAAAGTTATCCACAAAGACTACCGCCCGGAAAACGCCTGCAGCCCGCACCACAGCCCCAAAACCAGCTTCAAAACCCAATGCAGCAAAGAGGGGACCTGGTCGGCCACCCAAGTCGTCAAGGCCTCCATCGCCTGTTGAGATGCACATCTCGACCCCGGTGCCTGAGTCTCCAAGATTGCAAAGTGCCGCCACACTGCCGCTTGAACAACCCCAACCCATGTCACCTTCGCAAACCTCACCGCTTGTCGAGAGGTCGCAAGCTCTCTTTCCCAGCGCCCCATTTCCAGCGGATCGTCGCGGGTCTTTGGGAGCGCTCATCCAACCACCGAGCGAAATGGGAGAGATGGTTGCAACAGCTGAACAGCTCCGTGAACGACTGCCCAAGTCGTCGTTTGTAACGGTGACTGATCTATTGCCTACGATTGTGTCGCCTCCGAGAGCTGATTCGCCTCCTGCGCCTCCGCCGTCGACGATCCCTCAATTTGTCCACTACACCAGTCAAACGTTCGGCGCGTCTCCCACAGAGTCGCAGCCGCCGACTTCTTTGCAGTGGCTGCCTCCTAACACAGAAGAGGCTCCTGTCTCAGTGGCGGGACGTCGACCCATGTCACCTGCCAAGAAGAGGGAGGACTTGCCCGTATTCAGTGCGAACGGGATGATTCCTTTCGCGCCTAATTTCAGCACAGGGACAACCAACATGGGCGCGGCGAGTGCATCTTCAGCAGTGCATCAAGGTGCACACACAGTTGTCAAGACGGAGGAAGACGAGACCTTGTGGGAGGTGCCTGAGACGCCTCCATATTGAGTGTTTCACGCGACGCACTTCATTGTACCGCCAGAACCGCGTCTGCACGACACGGATTGTGGCGTTGTTTGGCGGGGCTCGTGTTTGAGGCGTTCGCGGAGAGCGCACCCGAAGCAGCTGTAGGGGCTTGTTGGAGCCTATTTGTGACTTTCAATCGACTTACGCTTTCCTTTGTATTGCGATTTTGCGTGTTTCAGAAAATATGTGCTTTACAGAGATACCCAGAGACCTGGCTCGCGCGTTTAGAATGGATAATATCACCTTGGCCCTGCTACTACTCTGCTCCGTGACTCCTGTGGTGTTTCTCGCGAAGTTTCAGAGCTTACTCTACGTCTGCATGCAGTCCCCGCATCTGCATGGCTGCGCGCAGGACAGAGCCAATAATTGATCTGCAGAGCTGTCATGGGAGCAGGGAGCAGGGCGCCGTGCGGGGTGGAGCTTTGACGATTATGCATAGCGCGGGATTGAGGAATGACGTACATGCCGGGCCTTGGATGCGTGGGTGCGAATCAGATGGCGTGACTAGGCATAGCGGTACATTGGTACATGGGAAGGTTGGAGGACCCTGCGTTCTGCGCGTGCTCAAATACCTCTCTCTGCCTTCCTCTCTTGTCACGACTCGGCTTCGCGTTTTACTGTGCAACTTGCCATCTGTATTCCTCAACCCGCGGTTCGCGACCTCAACTCACCATGTCGGACACCGGTGTCTCCACTAGCAGTCACTCCTCGCAGTCTCTTCTGCTCTACAAGATCACTACCTTCGCGTCGTACATCATTCTCGTGGTGACGGCTTTCTACTACACCTTCAACTCGCCGGATGGCAAGGCGCACAACAACAACCATCATCATCGCCACAGTCACCACCATGAGATTGAGCACCAGGGGAGGTTCTGGCAGCACAATGGAGCTACGCCGTTTGCGCAGAGCAGTATTATCACGAGCATCTACTGGTACGTTCATCACTCCGGCTGCTACAGTGATAGATCCACTAATGCCTGGCACCAGGATCGTTCTCTTTGTTCTCCAGCTAGTCTACGCCTGGTCCCTCTGGAGCTCCAACGCCGTCTATGTCACCGCCGCCGCCAACATCGGCAAGCACTACATTGCCTCCAATCTGCTCCTCTTCGGTTTCATTCATCTGTGGGTGCGCTCGCACTACTGGCTCGCTGAGGTGCTCATCATCCTCAACTTCTTCAACCTGTCGTTTGCCTACTTCCGCCACAGCACCACGCCCCGCGCTATCCACATTGGCACTGTCAGCGGACCGCTGGCCTGGAACTTCGCCGCCCTGTACTGGGTCGGTGCCGCGGCCGTGGACACGGACCGTCTCGCTGCGAGAGTTGTAGCCAACGTCTTCATCTGGGGATGGGCCGGATACGGCATGTTCTTTTTGGCCGCGTACAAGGACTACACCATGGGATTTGCCCTGTCGGTGCTTGCTTTCTGTAAGTTTGGCCCTCTTTTTGCTTTCTTTTGAACTCAAGCGCTAACCGTTTTGTCTAGCGACGGGTGTCGGTCAGTTCCTCACAAAGACGCCTCTCCTCCAGCTTCAGTGGATCTTCGCCTTCGCAATTGGCGGTCTCCTCTTCGTCCTCTCCCTTGCTGTTGGTCTGCCTGGCTTGCTGGGTCGCGATATCTTCCCGCGTGGCCAGATTGTCGATGAGGACCGCGAGCGCGCGCCCTTGTTGGCTGATGATTAGATTTCAAGTCTGTCATCTCATCTGGCATGATATGAGACTAGATCACCAAGCAGCCAAGCAAATGCTCAGTAAAACAACATGGAGTTGGCTACTTGGTTGTCACATGGTTTCTCTTTTGGTAGTCAGCAGCGGCTGACGTTCGCGGGTTGATGCGCTGGGTACCTTGCGTATACAAGCGTTTATGATTCACTATTAATAGCACGACGACGGAGTTTACGGGCGACGGTTCCCTTGGCGCATCTTCATTATCCTCAGAGTCAAATCTGATTTGAGTGCTTACAGTACTGCTAAAATGGCTTGGTATTACTCTAACAAGTTCAATACTTCTCTCAATTTCATACCTCATATCCTCCAACGATACACTGTCTTGGCTGTCTTTGATTGAATCTCTACGTTGCACCACTCTGAACAGCATTAGTGACAACAGTGAGTCAACAAACTTCACACGCATATCCAAGCTCTGATAACAGCAACATTCAAACCTCTGTCCCATCTATCAATGCCCGCTCTCCCTTGCTCGGTATATCAGGAACCAACAAACAGCGAATTCATACAACAGCTAAACACCTACATCCACCCAAAATTATCGCATAACTCCCAATATTCCACACCCAATATGCAGAATCTCTCAGTGTAATTTTGCAGCTTGAAGTATCTGCTAGAATGCTCTTTAGTTCGTACTTTGACACTTGATAGTCAGTTTTCGTACTGGCATCAGTATCAGTATCACGGTCAAGATTTGGGGCGTGCTGGTGATATTTTGAGAGTTGTGACACTATACTGGGAATGATACGCGCTGTTTGTAACTCATGTTCTTCTTTTTACTCTTCTCCTGGTTTGTACTTTACATGGCAGTGGAGCATGTACAACCTCGATGCTGGTTATATCCATGTAGTAGGGTGGTTCAACGGAGGTGTTAGTTTGTGTGAGAATGACCTAAGACACAATAAAATAACAATTCCTCGACACCAAGCCATATCGCGGGTAATTGTATACAAGCAGCAAGGAGTGAGAGAACAGATAAGATATGCAAGATTGCCTATTGTATAGCTGTGCGGACAAGTCACAAGTATATATTTTATTTATCTACTCTTTCTTATTGGGGTGGAATGTTTTCTCCTAACTTTTCTGATAAATGCAAGGTCCTTGGAATGCTGCGCTCTGGTCTGCTCTGCTGTAACCAGCGGCCGCGGATATAGAGGTGCTTCTTGTCAGCTGGACGGACGGATGGACGGACGCACGCGCATAGTAGGATGGGATGGGATGGGATGGAATCATCAGTTTCTGGTGCGGTTGCGTGATGGGTTGGTTATACGGGGTTTTGTTAGTATAGTATGCTGTATAGCGGAGCATAAGTATCCAGATTTCCGCAAGATATGACGAAGATACATGTATGAACGTGTTGTATCTTTTCCCCATGAGTTGTCATGGGAAGATGTACACTGAGATCATGCCTTATATTTACAGGATCTGAGCAGAATTTTGCAGTATAAACAACCACACACACGCTTTTCAGGAAGATGGTTGGAAGGTTACCAACACCTCCTCCACTCACTCACTTGGATAATCTACGTAAAGTATGAAGGAGAAAAAAGATAAGATTTCTTGAATACTAAATTACCACATCTACCATATCACCCCCTCCAAAAACCCCACAACAAACCTCCCCTCCCTCCCTACATCAGCAAATCCTGCGTCCCATCCGCACCAACAGGACTAACAAGCTGCTGCGGCGCATTCTGATTAACCACCCACCCACCCCCCGCCCCAGGCTGATGATCCTCCGCGATCGGACTCCCACCAAACGTGCTCTGACGACCCACACTAGCAAAGTACATATCAGCATCATTAACCGCCTGAGCAAGGTTATTCGCACTCCCATTCGCGCTCCCCGCACTGCCATTCGTCTCTAGCTTGGCGCGATCGCGCGCGAGTTGCGCAGCCTTAACGGTAGGCAGCTCGTGGCGCTGGAGGGCGGGCGAGTCCTGGAGTTTGCGGGGGCGAGCGGAGCGGAAGACCTGGTGGACAGGTTTGAGGTAGACGGTGGCGAGGGTGCCTACGTTGAGGCACATTTCCTCTAGGGTGCCTGGGTCGAGTTTTTCCGACTCTTCGGCTGTGATGGGAGGTTTTTCGCCCATGACGACTTTCTTTGCTTCTTCGGGGGCTGAGGAGAGCAGGCGCCAGTACATGTAGCCTCTGTCGCGCAGGTCGGGGTTGTCTGTTTCTTCCGTGGCCCATTTGAGGACTTTGGGGACGAGGGTGGAGCCGCGGGTTGGGCGCTGGATGAAGAGCTTTACTGTTGCCGTGAGGAGGGCGAGCTGCACTTCGTGGGTTTCTTCTTGGAATGAGTCGAGGAAGTCGTCGAGGAGGACGTCCGAGTCTTCGATGCGGTCGGCGTACTCGCCAATGACCCAGATCATGGCTGCTTTTGCTTCTGGCTCGTCGAGGGAGTCGAGGTTCTCGCACAGTGTCGAGATGATGGATTCGTACTGGTTTGGGTATTTGCGGAAAATGTTGCGGATGACCACAGTCGCTTCCTGCACGATGTAGGACACTTTAGTGCTGACGAGGGAAAGAAGGGTGCTGATGCATAGTTGGGCTGCTGGGGCGATCTTGATGGCGAGTTTGCCAATTGCGCGGACCGACTTGCGCACGAAGTCGACGTCAATTTCAGTAGCATATCTAGATGTTGACGTTAGTACAATTCAAAATCAATGATTTATGAAAATACTCACTCAGCGAGCTCCGTCAACACCTCCTTGATGTTCTTCTCCGTGGCAAGCATGAAAATGAGCTCGAGCTTGGTGACCTTGACATAGATGGGGTCGTTGTACTTGCAGAAGAAGACGCGGATGTCGTTTCGCAGTACTTCCGGCCGCCGTTGCAGGATCAGGAGGGCATTGCGCAGCGCCAGATATTGGATTTCTGGCCCTTTGGAAAGGAGTGTGACTAGGGGTGGCGAGAGCTTGTTGCACAACGAGGTGATGACTCTTTGGTCGGAGATGTAGTTCATTAGGTAGAGGATGACTCGGATGCAGGTCAGTACGACTGCGGAGTTTGAATGTGAAAGACGCGGCGCTATGCGCTCTGCGAGTAGGGCGGCTTCGGACGTGTCGTGCGGGACGTAGTTCATCATGGCTTCGAGGATGTACGTCTGCCCCCATTCCGAGCAGTCGGGTAGGATGGAGACGATTTTGGACGCGCTGGCGTAGTCAATGGTGAGCTTGATGTTCTCGCTCCTCTCCCAAATGTCCATCAGCCCTGCCAATGCGCTGGAGACAACTGTTGGATTCTCGTCTCTCAGCATGCCGTTGAGCCTGTCGATCAGGTCGGACTGCTCGACCAGGTGCCTATCGTGGTCGTAGAGCTTCGCGACGCAGAAGGCGGCTGTCTTGCGCACGTAGGGGTCCGTGTCGCGCAGGAGGTTCTTGAGATGCGGCACGGTGGCCTCGACGTACTCGCGGACGTGGATGTAGGACATGGTGCGCAAGGCGAGGGCGCGCACCAGCGGGTTGGCGTCGTGCAGGTCCTCCTGGATGATGGGCAGCGCCTTGAGGGCAATGTCGGGCTTGATGCGCGCATAATTGACGAGATACAAGAAGCACCTGCCGCCGTCAGCCTCCACTATGCACATTGCAGCTCTTGACGCACATCTTCTTGATCTCCAGGCTCGGTATGTGCATGCAGCCGACGATGTCGGTGAACAGGGCGACCATGTCATTGTTGCTCATGGTCATGTTTGCGACTATCTTTTTGAGGGCCGTCTTCTTGGCGGAGAAGTTCTTGTCTTTTTTCCCGCCGCTGTTCAGCTCGAGGCGCAGCTCTGCCACCTTGCCCTGTGGAGTGCGGAGAGAGTGTAAGCGCGCGTGGTCGACGGGTAAGGGGAGGAACATCATCATCATGATGTTGATCTGGAGAGACTCTGCTCATGGATAGGGAGGTGTAGTGAAATGCCATGGATGAGAGACGGGAAGACGTACCCTCGCAAAGAGCTTCGCATCCTGGCCGCCCTGGCTCATGGTGGGCAGCTATCGCGCCTCCCTCTATGCATGTGCTGCTGCAAGGCGCTCCCGTGATAACAGTTCCCCTCCCCTGGCCAACTTGGCGCTCGTCTGATTCGTCTTGTGGGGTGCGTGGGGTGGGATTGGGCGGCTGGTGGTGCTGGTGGCGGATCGACTCTGTACGAGGAAGTTCGACGGGCGTTTTGGTAGTGACAGGCTTGGATTGGAGAGTCGTGTTTGTACACAGGAGCCGGCGGAGACTTGCGGAGGAGGGCACGTGCACTGCCAAGTGATGGATGGACTGGACTCGCGACGACAGCGACGCCGTCACACCTCACCACGCACATTCGACTGTCCAGAGCTCCCTCCCGCTGTCTACCCACAAACTCCACGTACCAGACTGAGCCATACGCCATGACCGCCGCGTCTCTGCCGCCCCCGCAATGGGTCGTCGACCTTACCTCCCCGCCCGCATCCAAGCCAAAGAGTGCCACCCTCGCAGACCCGCCCGGCTACACAGCATCCATGTCCCGCAAGGAGCGCGCCCAGTCGTTCAAGACAGCCCGCAAGCCGCCCACGTCAGAAGAGATGGACACGCTGAAGATGAAAAAGGCCTGGGAGGTGGCCATTGCCCCGGCCAAGCAGCTGCCTATGAGTGCTTTTGGTGCGTCAGATCTCGGAGGGGAAATTGTGATCCAGCCAATACTAATCATGGCATCCAGGAATGTACATGACCGGCAACACGCTTCAGATCTTCTCCATCTTCATGGTCTTCACCCTCTTCAAGACGCCCGTCATGGCTGTGCTGGGCCTGCAACGCACCTTTGCCCCCTTCGAGACACCCGGCACATCGGGCCGTCTTCTTGGGGTGAAGGCCGTGTACATACTGACTAACCTGTTGATGCTGTGTCTGGGTATCTGGAAGGTCAACGGTATGGGGCTGCTACCCACGACGAGGTCAGATTGGCTGGCGTGGGAGAGCGAGAGGACATGGTCAGAAAGAGCTGTGCCGCAAGAGTGGTTGTGATGGGATTGGTTGGGATGATGTCGTAGCATCACATGGCTGATGCATGAAGAGATGGTAGTGCGGCTTCACGATGAAAAGCCTAATGTTATACCCATTCACACATGTCTTTCAATCTTCACCAGTCGTTTTCTCAATTCTCCATACCCATCATGCCTGTGGAAGCATACATCGGTTTCTGTGGTGTTTTTCAGAGTAACCACACGTCCATGTCTTCGCCTGATGGGCTAAACAAAAGCTATTTCCTGCCAAAACCAGCCCGTCTGACGCACACGATGAGTATTGCGGTAGGGCAGAAACTGGAGATGGAGCAGCCTGAAGGGACTGGGATCACTGAGAACTTGGAGGCAGTGCATCCAGGATGCGAGACTCGAGGGTATATCGGATATGGATAGGTCGAGGAGTGGATGCACGGGTGGTACTTACCTTCACCACAGTAGGTATGTTGTGTGGTGAAAAAGTGCACAATTGGTAAACATCTCCTTTAAAATCACAACGCCCATACACACCCATCAACACAACACAAAGCCACCCCACAACAAAGCTCCCCTTGATAAACAAGCCATACTATCAATGTATGTACTCGGTATTACTCCTAAAGCTCAAAAGCATCAGCTCACTGTTCCAGCACCGCAAACATGTCCGCCCCCCAGACCACCACTACCACCACCACCATCACCACCAACGACGCCGCCGACACCGACGCCGAAAGCATCGCCATGTCAATCTCCGACGGCGAGTCCGACGCTGGCGAGCACAAACGCTACCAATGCTGCGTGTGCGAGCTGCACAACAAGATCTTCGTGGCCTTCGACAAGGAGGGAGGTGAGGCGTGCCCACTTTGTGGCCACGCCGGGTGCGACGAGTGGTGTGGAGTGTACGTGCGGGCGACGAACGAGATCCTGGGTTCAGAATAGCACGAGCACGAGAAGCCTCTGACAGGGGGAAGAAATACCAGAAAGTGAAGACAAAATGAACCCATGCATTCAAACCCTAACAACCCTCATAACATCAAAAACCCCAACCTTCTGCTTCTCCGACAGCCCATCCCTCAACATCCCCGTCACAGACTCATCCTCCCTCCCCCGCTGATTACTCACCACCCGCACCCCATTCACCCTCACCTCGCACGTCCGCCCCGTCGTCCCACACACCCAAACATCAACGCCCTTCCACCCCATCCCGCCCAGTAAATCCGTCCCACACGCCGCCGCCCACGGCGCATCCACCTGCCACGGCTCGAGACAATTCTGCAAATCCGGCGCAAAAGCCGTAACAACAACAACCCGCCTACCCGCGCCCACCAACCCCCTAACCTCCTCGAGCAGCCACCGTAAATCCCGCCGATGCTCGCTATTATGCCGCTCAACGCCCCACTCCCTCATCCCCGTCGCGGCGTCAAACTCCCCCCCGCGCTTCACCACCGCCGCCGCGTCCCCCTCGGCGATACGACTCCACAGCGTAGCCCCCAGCAGCGAGACTTTCGTCCCGGGCACATCCGCCCGCGTCTCGTACAGCACCTCCAACCGTCCCCGCGTCTGCGGCTCTTTCTCCATGCGGTGCGCGAGCTGCAGGCCGTCCATCCAGCTCAGGCCGTGGAACTCGAGGGCGCCGGGCACAAGGTAGACTTTCTCGTGCAGGTTGCAGCGCCGGATTAGGAAGGAGAGGTACGAGTCGTAGTCGATTAGGCGGCCGATGTTTCCGGCGAGGATTAGGTAGGGGGCGGAGACGGGGATGTGGAAGGTTAGGTATTGGGAGGCGTGGTTGAGGTGCAGGTCTGAGAGGATTTGGAAGGGGGTTTTTGGGGGGGAGAAGAGGGTGAAGGGCCGCATTTTTGGGGTGTGGGTTGGGCGTGTGTGAATGGAGGTATGTGGATGATAACAACGAATAAGGTAGATAGATAGAAATCGTCTTAAATGAAATAAAGATTAACAGATGAGAATGGGTATACAGCTCGAACAGAAAAAACAGAATCTGACAAAACCCAACCACAACAGCACCCCCCATCCTTTTATGCTGACGACCCCTCCGTCAGCAACGCGGCTGAACCCCCAGCTCGCTGCGCACCACGACAAAGACCCAGTCCTATCCGTAAGCGCACCCGCATGAAAACCACCCAAAAACACGCTCTGCGTATGCTCGCGCGCATCTGTTATTGGGTAGGGGGTGTAGGGCTGCGGTTGTGCAGCGTGGCTGTGGAGTTGGAACGGCTGCGGGAAGACGGAATTAGATCTGCGCTAGGCTGGGTGGGGGATGGCGTGGGCTTTGGGGGTTCACTGATTGCGCGTGGGTTTGGTGGTGGGATTGGAGCTGGGGATGCGGATGGGGGATGGGCTATACGTGTGATTTTCTGGTGTTATGGGCGTGAGTTCTTGGTTTTATGAAGTCGTTGGGGGTATGGTCAAATTTGTCTTGAGTTTTTGAGGTAGACAAAAGACTTCATTGTGGATGAATATCATACTCCCCCTTATTCCATGATGTGAAGTCCCCGAAGTTAGATACTGCTATGTTCGAGTATGCTGACAAACAATATTGCATCTTGCTAGTTGAGTGAATGGACACCAATAAGTCTAGAAAATACCGATCGTTTGTTTGGGGGATGTTACCATGGTTTTGCGTATGCCTTTTAGCAATATTGATCTTGACCCGAAACCTAATGAAACTGCCTTACGCCCTGCCAGGAGTACCAAGAAATCCTCATTGTCCTTCGTCAAATACGTACAATCCAACATCGATGTCTGCGATGCAATGTTGAGTCTCCCTTTCGCTCACAATGAGATTGTGACGTTGTCAAAGGTGTGTGTACGAATGAAAAATGTGAGACGCTTGGAAAGAGTAATGTATACTATTTGGAAAGTACAAATCCGCGTCACTTCTCGCTATCCTTGCCTTACTTTTCGCATGCTTGAAGCGAGTGGCTTATATCTGCAGGTAGGTCAAATCTTGGTCCCTTACACGACGAGAAGATTGCATAATTCCTCGCATATGTTTGGAGTGTTAGATTAGCGCACATTGTGTCGAGCGAGGCGTGTCTTTCTCGAGGCGAAACAGAAAAACTTTGGAGATCAGCTCATCTCATCCCATTGAAAGGTACCATGTCAATTGTCGTCGTTTGAAAGCTCGGTAGATATTATGGCCGAGGAAAAATACTCTTTTGAAGCAACTGCTCTATCGCCGAGCGTCGGTTTTTTACTCTGGTTTGCAAAATCTGCAATCCCGGATTCTTGACACGCCTACGCTGCGAATCCAAAGGTTTAGACCGCTGTTCATTCTCATTCGGAGCCTTCTTCCCTACGTTCATGTTGCGTGCTCGATCTGAATCTGCGTTGTTAGCATAGGAGTACCTTTTATGGAGATACGCGGGAATCTTTCTGTTTTGTAAAAATCCAAGGTCTGGTGGCTTTGGTGTTTCCCGGACTCCCGTTGCCATGGTCGATGCCAGGTTGTTACGCGATCATGAGAGCAGCGGGGATTTTCGAAAGTTGGAAATATGATTAGGACTTCTGATCGTATCCGCGCGCCTTGCGGGAGGCTGCAGGGGTTGTGGTCATTGTGCTGTCGCCGCCATTGCTCATGGTGTCTTACCCCACCTCCTGATCGCAACGAGAGATGAAGACCAGAGATCAAGAAGGAGTTCCATCGAGCTATCTCAGGTGATTCCTCTGTAGAAGTATAGTCTCTGCTAGCCGTAGTTATGCCAGGCTGACTGTGGTGTTAACGTTGTGCTGCTCAATCGAAGGGGAGGCTGAAGCTCTTGGCGCTCATTGTGAAGTTCAAACTCTCTTCCAGCCTCCCCTCTTCCTGACCACTACCCCAATCCGCCCACCCAACACACCACTAGATGCGCTCACAATGCAGGCTAGCATTGAAGTCCTCCTCTCGCCATCTCCCCTGGGCGAGGCTGCTGCTGTGTGGGTGGTTACGGGATCAGGGACACCTCGAGTTCGAGATCCTTTGTCAATGCCCTCGGACTAAACTTGCGTGTTGCTTGATTGCAGACGTTCTGACAGTGCGAGTACGATAAAAGAGCGCCTCTTCTCCTCGTTCTACAGCATGCCTGTTACGAATAAGTTTGGAGTGACCTGGGCGCTGATGCGGCTTCTCGCAACCTCCCGCGTCGACGCCGACATTGGCGCGTTCAACATTCCCAGTAACGACCACGACGAACGGCGACATCGCTGGACATAACACTGTACCCGGTGGCAGTCGCTTCTAGAAAGGTTGGGAGCGAGATAATACCTCCGGAGCTTCGAGTCTGAGCAGGCAGCTCCATCTCAGGTACGCAGAAGGTTTTTGATGCAGCTTTCCGACTGCAGCGGGTAGGCATATCTGACGCATTGTAGCTACGTCCTAACCCTCCTTGTCGGCGATCGAAGTCTTCTGCGCTCCTCAGAGCGACGTGATCCGGGTGCAGAAACCCACAACCCGCGGGCCATGCGCATGCCCGATAGACGGCCAAGGTGTTGGCTCATACTACCGAAGGAACGAGAGGTCGAACATATCCAATGGATTTGCATTTCATAATGCAGACAATCGATCGAAGTGAAACACACACCCGTCAAGGCTGGCTTGAGCATACAATGTTATGTCTCCCGCCAGAGCTCAATTGCAAGCCGAACTGGGATGTATCCACGTGCGATCTTATCATTGTCAGCCTTAACATGTCGAGGCCAGGAACTTACTCGTCAGAACTCTCGCGTAAACAATGAGGCCAAGTATCGCCTTTCTTCATCTCCTACCATCATTCGTCTCGCCTCTTTTCTCATTCAACGTCGCTCTCCTCTCGAGTCTTACATCTTCGAAACTTTCTCAAGTCAGCATCCATTTCGTCATATCAAGCTGTTCTCACCTGCCTTTCTTTCTGGTCGAGCAACTACAACTAGTCAACAGTCTTCAAACCTTTCGCAACACATCACCGTCATCTCATCACATTCACATCAGCGCGAGAAAAAGTCGCCTGGCGCCTGCGACATGACAACACGATTGTCTAGACATGTCAGCAACGACGGACTGTCACTCCACAGGTACACCATACCTTCGTATACAACACTCTTTCTGTAGACCCTCGTAGAATACCCTTGTCCTCAATCTCATAACCTCTTCGATCTCTCCTGCGGGCTGAGTCGAACGTAAAGGGTAAGACAAGCGTTCTCTCTGCGTGCCACTTCTGAGGCAGCCTTTGATCTCATTATGCGCACCTGCTCTTTGAGTAGCACCTTTCCATCCTGTTTCAGGCGACCCTTAGCCGTCCATCTGAGAACTACCGCTCCCCGGCCCATCACACCCGGGTCCCGCAAGGGGTACAAGTCAAAGAGCAAATGTGGTACTCGGCTCTGGAGATCTGGGCCTACGCATCTGGCAGGGTGAAACGTGTGGTGTTTGGTGATTGAGATTGATTGGTGTCGAGGGAGGGGGTTCGGTCTGCGGTGGATGTGAAGTTTGCGTGGGGATGTCGTCAATCCTTTGACTTGAGTATCATCAGACGACGTGATGATGAACGAAGTAATAATTTCAACGCAACATCCGAGAACATACGACCTTTGTCTTTGAACTGGAGATGTTCCAAGCTCACACCTCTCACGGTGTCGTGTGAGTCAACTGCGACCCCTCCGATGACGAACCGAACGATAGGTATCTTTCAGATTCCCCGAAAACGATGGCAACACCAAGCCGCGTGGTTCATGTCGTCACGCTGATCTGACATGTTCTGTTTTTGGGGAATTCAGGCCTGATGTCGTTCCGCAACTTCGACTACGGACCAGAAATGTTGTATTTGGTCAAGCAACCCTCCAACAGCATTCTAGTCGGTCAAGTCTCGAACACACGATATGCAACGAGCCTCGGTACTTATACTATACCAGTTGTCACCTTATCTTGCTTTGTAGAGATTCGAAGGAGCTTCCGCATTGTCTTGTACTTACGGAATCACGTCTGCCCAAACGAAAGCCTTCCATGTGTCAACTCGGTCGCCTCAGCGAGATCGTCTCGCTAGAACAATTCTCATGCTGTACGGCTGTTACCGGCGATTGAGCGGTCGGTGTCGCTACGCTCGAGGTTGGTGACACTCCTCACAGGTACGAGAGTGGTGTTGCACTCTTCATGATGGGATCGACCGACTAAAACTTCTGACTCGACAATAACTTGCCCGAAGAACCGAGTACTCTTCATCCCTAGATCACAGTTGCGCAGTTGTAACGACCATACGTACAAATTCAGAACATGAGCCATGGATTTCTGTAATATCACAGGAAGCGGGGACGTGTCGTTATCTGTTCGGATTTTGGACATTGCATTTCCGTTTTTCTGGAATACGGAATCGTTGTCAAGTTTGTCTTCACGACGGCCCGCTGGGTACGCACTGAGGAGCAAAGATATCGGCATGCACGTCTTTGCCCATGTGTTGTGGACTGGAGTTAGTTGGAATGGGCACCGGAGAGGATGGCTTGGGTCATCCGGACTAGGAAGCTTTTCTTTCGAAGAGATTTACGATGTTTCAACGACGACCTTGGAGGAACGGTGAAGCAGATGCAACATATACCGCCCGAATCAGCGTGATCTCGACCTCGACACTGATTATACTGAGAGTCCAACCCCTGGAATGGCCGTGCGGGAAGGGTACATCATCAATGAAGCTGCGGCGATCATTATAGAGCAAGCCGAAAAATAGTACCGGCGACGAAACAGGTCATGGTGTCAGTATCGACTCAACACCGATGAGGAGATCGACCGCCTTGCAAATTGGTACGTCTCGTGGAGGACCGGGCAGCAGTGGAACATGTTCTGGGGTCCCATAACAGGACTCAACGTCGAGCTCGTCTGTTGGCCAGACACGCTTCATCGTGCGGGGGTGGTTTCTGGTCAACGCTACCACGCCGACGTAGCCAGCAAGAAATGGAGAGACCTGCTACATGCACCACCGCTATGCCCCGGGCCGACACAACTGTTGAACTGGGAACCAATCATGAGGAAGATGATATGTTCGTCAAGGCCGATTTAGCGCTAAGAGTCGAAAGATATGGATGATGTCGGTCCAGCTAGTACGCTATGGATGGCGACAATCGAGCTTGCTTTTAGGCTGAATAGCAGGGGCGTATCAGTCCTGTAAATAGCTCCGATACTGCATATTGCCGGCCGCCAAGATCGAGGACATGTTCAAAGGAGTAGAATAGTATGCTGACACATACGCTTGCTCCACCTGCGAGCCTGTCGATGCTCAGCGGCAAGAACACAGAGCTCAATCGCACACGAATGGCGAGATATGACAAGCGATAACTTCATACACCTTGTGGTATTTACCAGACTTGGACCTTCGATGCTTCAGTTGGATGAACCTGTATGCCGTGGAGGGTACCGTCGGATATTTTTACGACATCAGCAAGAGCCAAAGGATGTTATTGATATTTTGACCGAATAGGGTACAAGTCATCTGATGCCGAAGATCAGTGAGATGTCTCGGAAAGTCAGGGCCAGGTAGTCATAAGACGGTGTTGTTCACGAAATGTGCGGTGTCTCGCAAGGGAGTAGACACCGATCATGTTGGCTACTGTCTCAACGCGAAGAGACCACGACAAGGAGGCGATCATTCAGATGTTGAGGGCAGGCAACACCATAGCGTTTAAGCCGGAGGGGCTCTTCCATGCATCGGATTGTTGTGTCAAGCTCGAACTTAGAAGTGGTAGTCCCGCTTTCATGCTGATGATGGCCATACGGGCTACGCAGTGCCATTGCAGGCGGAAGTGCTTCTGATGGAATTTCCGGCTTCAACATAGGCCGCCCGCAGACGTCATGCCCGCCTGGAACATGGCCAAAGATCTGAGAAAGCGCCCATCGCATCGTGCGAGATGTGTCAGACCACAAAGTCATGATTCGACACCATATTTCGAAAGTAGTGACGACCGGCATTCTTGAGGCGAGACAACCATAACCCGTTCGGTCAATGCGGTTTGGGAGGACCGCGCTGTCATCTCATGAAGCCCGAGGGTTGAGTGAAGCCGCGCTGGAAGCTTTGTATGTCCACCCGGATCAGGTATGGCCATGCTTGCAGCATGGAAGTTGCACTCAGCGCTCGTGGTGGAAAGTCAAAACAAAATTGTTTGTACCCAAGCCGCAGCCCTGACCGGACAGCGCGTCAGAAGAGAGAAACGCGAGCATGCCAGGTACCAAAACTCCATGTTTTGTTTGTCCAGAGCGTTTACGGCTGAAATGTGGGCGACGGGACCTCAATCGTACCGAACGACTAGCTCGGACATAGGTTTCGGTGTTGAGACGTCGGAACTCTTGACATGACAGTTGTGCAGCGGCTGTTTGGCAGATCGAACTGGCTCCGAGGAAAAGGAGGTAGACCGAGAAGGTCAAGATGCCCCTCCTTCGCATGATGTGGTGACTGCCGACCCGAACGCGTGGAGTAGGTGTGCAAAGGTCGCAGCTTCCGACATAGCGACAAACCCCTGATAACCTCCCGTCAGGGGTTGCGCTCTATCCATATGGTTTTAACGAAGCTCCAGCTTTTTGTCACCTGAATTTTGTCTTTCATGCCATATCTTTGATATCCTCTACGCCTTTTTCTGATTGCGAGGACATCTCCATCGCTACTTCATGTTTGGTTTACCCCTCGTTACCACGATGTTCAAGTTTCCGGCATTCCCATTTCCTTCCTGTGCATATGCGGGGATTCTTTCGTCTCCAGCATTGCGTCATTACCAGTTCGAACGGGGACATCAGCATCGCAGATGGTCGGCAGCTCGGATGTGTATGCGAGGCTGTTGGAAGTTTGTGGGTGTAGACAACACCGTGTAGTCGTTCTTCTCGATCGATCGCTACGGAAAAGTTTCGGATGCGATGGTTTTTCCCGTGGGCAAAGAGCACTGCGATCGCGCAGCACCTGTCGGGGGGTTCCTAGACTGCAGTGAGACCAGCTCTGCATATATGGCAAGAGCTGGGTATCTTCCGTTCCTTCCTGTCGGGGTGCTGTCGTCCGTCCAGCCCGCGTATACGACATCGCTTCGCTCGCGCGTTTCGAGATCTTGCATTTTATTCGACATGGCCTAGATTTCTGTCAAGCCAGCCTAGCACGTATGGCTAAGGCTGGGTATCTCCATCCTCCAGTCGGTTTTGAGGTCGTCCTACCCTCCCGGTCGGTTTCATGCGTTCATGAGTCACGAGGTTTGCGGCGGTCGCGGAGTGCAGGATACATACTGCGTTACGTTGCCTAGAAGATACGCATCTTGGTATGAGAAAGGGTCAGCAAAGTCCTTGCGCAGAAAGAGGAGAGAAGCGGGGCATTTTGGAGGTCACTACACGATATGTGCATTCGAAAGATCTCCTCTGCGTGTCCAGTGCGGATGAAAACGTGGTTGCTCTTCGACAATGAGGGCGCTCAGAGTGAGCAAGCAGAGCTTCGATGATGGTCGACTGCATCCCCGGCCATGAACAGGTCCACCATTAATACTCAGCACTGCGCTGAGGTTGATCAGGCACGCCGGAGCAGTAACGTTTGCTGTCGCATTGTCAGCCATCCTTTGTTTCGCAGACAGCGAGTTTGATACTGTTTGAATCCAAAACGCTTCCGAAGAGACTGTTGATCTGTTCCGTCGCTTTCCACCGGGCTGCGTCGCGCTTTCAGTGGTCCCTATATTGATCCTGGTTGACAGGGCGTCAGAGAGACACACGTAACTGGCTATCCTCAAGACGCTGCCCATTAGCTGCTGCGTACGCTATTTCTGCGAATGCCCAAGGCTTTGGAAGTAGTCACTCACTATGGAGCGCTGCGGCAATTGTGTGCTCTCACTAGTGTTGGCGACTGGTGTCGTCGCTGTCGATGCCAACTGTCGTGCCTTCCTCGCGCCGCACATAGTTTCTCGCGTTACTGATCTGCTGAGGGCTCCGACCTGCGCAAGCGTCTTAAAAGCCTCACAGATAGGTCTGAGCAGCATGGCCTTCGGAGAAGGTGCAGCTCGGTGGGGGTGTAAAGAGAAATGTTTGCTTCGGAAGTCCGCACGGCTGGCTGCGTCTGTGTGCGCGTGTAAGAAGACTCTGGCCACAGCGAACAGCGCTTGGAGCCACTGGTACACTTCGATATCAGTTCCAATCTCGGAAGAGTGTGTGTTACACTCGTGAGTTTTCAGAGGTGGTGGGGATGTTGTCTCGTGCGGACGACGCAAAAGGCGACCCCACCCCACCATAGAGGACGAGCGAGACAAGGGCGCCGATCTGGAAGAGAAGGTGCTCACCTTTTAACTGCGATCTCGAAGTTCCTGTCTAAGAGAGTGTCGAGGAGAGCAGCTAGATGGCCGTTTTGTTTTGAAGCTTTCCGGCCACAGCTTTTCCGCTTGCAACATGCTTTGGAGCACTCCTCATGTCGTCCCTCTAGCATGTTTACCTCCGTCTTCAAGTCTCATCGAATCTCTCACACTCCATATGTATCATTGCTGTCATTCGGCAGATGTGGTAGTCGTTGTGTTCAGGACATGGAAGTGGAGGTGAGGAAGTGGGGAGCGTGAAGCATCTGGGTACAGAGAGGTCGCAAATCATATCGAAATCCGAGAACATAATGATGCGGAAACAGTCTTTGCTACGCAAGATTTCGAGCAAGATAGGAAAGCCGCAGTTGCGGAACCAACAGACAAGAAGACTGCGTCATATTCATCGCAGCGATGGTACACGCTGCGTCAGCTCATGCTCCAAACAAAAGTAGAGTAGCACTTGAGCCAGGAGTCAGGACATGCCCGCAGCCAAATCTTGAGACATCCTCTCGTGGCTCATCTTACGCAGTACAGCTATACACAACCTATCCACATGGGTAGCCGATCACTTCTCACGCATGCTGTAAACTCTTAGACACGATATGGGAGCGCAGAGTACGTCGGTCTGATATTGCTACCCTCCATGACGAGTTGAGAAGACTTTCAAAGAACATACACACCATCTTGAGCACTTAACGAGACTGCACGGAAGAAAGCTGCAGTCAACGCGGCCCGCCTGACCAAATCACATTTTACTACGCCGCCGACAGTCATTTAGCCTCCCTCTGCCTCTTCTCGAACGCCGCCATGAGTATCTGATGCTCCTCGCTCTCGTGCTTCTCCAGCAACAGTCGTAGAGCTGCCTCTATTTGATCCACAGACCCATACCTGAACGCCACCTCGTCCACTGTTGCCCGTGCCTTTCTCGTCTCCTCACGAACGGCGTCCACAAGCTGACGCTGGTTCTGCAAAAACACTTCGTGACTGCAGGTCTCGAAGAGGTTCTGGCGACCACCCAGTCTCTCCGTCTCACAGTACACAGCCTTGTTCAACGCCCGTATTCCCAACTCCCGAGAGAGGGCATTGGCTCTTGTGATGACGTTTGGAGACTTGTCCCGGTCTTCCTCATGCATTCGCAGGCAGCGGCCGAAAGGGGTGACAAAATGCCCCTTCTGCTCTGGCATGACCTTGTACCAGACGTAGTCAGATGTCTTCTGGCAGTTGATGTCGAAGTCGTACTGCGGGTGTGTGGCGTCGAAGACTCGCCCCTCGTCGCCCCAGATCTCTCCCAGCGTGCACCCCTGTCCCCAAGTCGAATTTGTATCCTCTTTGTTGTCATTGTCTGGTGAGATGACAATGATGGTGTGAAGGTCGGCTGGTCGTTGGAACTCGTCCTCATCCACGTGCTGCAGGACTATATGCTTGACCGGGTTGGGGATGACGTGAGCTTCTTGGATCTTCAGGGCCATGCCCTCTGTCCAGTACGCCAAAGCGGGGCTTGTTGTCGAGATTGCGTTGATGCAGTTCTCAACACTGCCTGCCTGCAACCTGACCTGCTCCGGCAGGTGAGCTGGAATGGGCGGGTCCTCGGCAGCCGGTCGCTCGACACTTCGCCAGTTCAGTATGCGTGCAGGTAGCTTGTCCTTGAAGAACCCTGCCGAGGGGTGTACGTTCATGTAGTCCTCGACGACCCCTGGCATCGTCTCAGACCTGAAGACCATGGCGAGCTCGTACTGCAGGCTCGCGAGGCGGATCACAGTCCTCGCCGAATGCCTCTGCTTGCAGAGCCTCTGGTGGTGGTCGCAGCCGCTGTCACATGGACACAGCCAACTCGAGCGAGTGGAGTTGATGTCAGATTCGGGGACATCGCGGCAGTCTGGGCAACAAGTAGGCGTGTCGCTCTGAGTGACGCCGCAGGGAGGAGAATCGAAAAGTGGCGAGAGCTCCATGATGGTGTTATCTTTGGGTGTGAGAAAAGGGGATGATGTGTTGGAAAGAAGCTGCATCGGCAAAGGAAGAAGTTTTGTCGACGAGATCACCTTCACCACGCCTAACGAAAATTCATCACCAAGGCAGCAGTTGCCGTGAGAATGAAAGGGTAAGGCTATTCGGCCAATGACACCTCGCTGTTCTCGTAGGGAGGGGGCGCACTTACGAATTCGAGCGGTGTGAAAGCGGATGTCAATCGCCGTGGTGAAAAGAAGGGGATATCGACTGGGCAACCCCACCGTAACGCGTCTTTTTATGCTGTACTGAAGCCAAAAACATAACAGTGAGTATATTTTCTTACCCCCTATAGGTATTTGTTGGGTATATAATGGATTAATTTGGCATTTTGCTTCCAGTAAGAACTAAAGCTGACTTATGCGACAGATAAGAGAAGTAGTAGCCCGCCGGGCTACGAACTCTTTTTGCTATCCCACAGGTCTATGGTTCGAGTCTCGTACTGTACCTTTTGGTGTTACTTTTGCTTGCCTTTGTTTTCCATTGATGCACCGAGGGCGAGATCTGGGTTTACCCCATCACTAAGCTTTCTCGAATATTTGGATCTGAGGTAACGTCACACGAAGATGTACTACCTTTTGAGCCACTCCTCGAGCTCATTCAGCCCCTCTCATGTGTTGGCCACCACCATGATGTCTGCAATCTGTGTGCATCACGTGGGACCAATCATGTGATGGATGCATTCACATTTAAACTTTTGCATCGAAAAGAGACATACAGAGAACCGTCTTGGAAGCATTGATGATTCTATTTTGAGGGCTTTGGAGGTGCCTTACATGGCTTTTAACATCCTACATCTCATGCTGCAACGCTTATCTTTATCTGCAGCTACACATCCTTCGCCATCACATATCTCCAACAGTTTGCAGAACAACACCTGAAAGACCGATGGTCAACCAATATCTGGGAACAACGTATACTTGGGATGGATATATCTCAGTACAGTCTGAGACACGGCCGGCCTCTTCATTGCGTGCGACAACGAGCCTGTCCTTCCAGCAATTTCCCAGCTTGTTCCCGACAAGCTGTGCTTTCGGCTATGTGCGGTATCACCAAAAGAGCGAAAGCACCACATTTGATCCGCTCATGGCATCTGATGATGCCGCAGCTTCCTCTCTTGCTGATCGTAAGATATTGACGAACATGCATCGACCCTCCTGTCGTGGATACATCCCAGTTGTCCGATGTCCTGAGCATCCCTGAGTAAGCTAATTACCTTACCCTAAACTTAGGCGAGGCTACTTGTAGTTCCCGACCTTGGACTGGGCCGGCTCTTTTGCAATCAGTTATGTCGGTGAGAGGCACATACGTCTGTGAAAGCTATACTACTATCTCGAGGCGAGCACGGCGGGGTCGTAGCTTCCTTCAGCGGCCCTTGAGGTGCGATCTCGCGCGTTCGAGTCCTGTGGAGGTGATTGATGTCTGTGGTAAAAGTTCCGTGGCGGTCTTCACATACCTGTACCATAGCAAAGAGCATGTACGCGCTCCTTGCGTTACCGAATACCTTGTTCCTGGAATAGTCTAAGTCGACTATTTTCTGTTTGGGACCGTGCGAAAGGTGTTCATATAATGCGATCGAGCATGCGCCAACGTATCGAGATCAAGATCTCTCCAAATCTGAATCGCGGGGTATCTTGTGTCATCTGCGAGGCGCTTGGAATGTGACAATACAGCGCTACTTTGCGCAAAAGGAGATCGTTCCCGAGTCGGTCATGCCAATGTAGTGTGGTGTACGAAGCGGGCTGCGAGCTGTTGAAACGGACAGCAGTAATTCTGACTGTTGCACTTGGAGCTACTATTCTACCATGTCAGCTTCCAGACACTTTATCATATGTGCAAACTCCTATTCCCACGTCCGATGGCTCGCAGAACTTATGTTTTACTCCTATTTCTTCCATCGAAAGCAGTTGCTCGCACGTGGCCTTTCTGCGACTGCGCGAGCGAGGTCCTCCGTGAGGAGCTGGGTGTCGTCGAAACCGGAGTCTTCTTTGGAGACAGCTGTGTACGATTCCGTCGAGGGAGGCAGTGATGCGCGGAACATCTTTGTCGATTCTCCTATACACAAAAGTCGCGCTCGCACTCTTGAACTTAAAACCCCATGTGCTTACGGTAGCAGTCGCATGTAAGATCGTCGCCACAGCGCGGGCAGGCAACATGCGATGCAGGCCAGGTATCTGTTCACAAGCAAAATGTGCGTCATATTCTGTTCAACTCTTCTTCGACACCCCTACGGTAATTTTGTAGCTGGTGGAGCTAAGCCCAAAACGGCAAGCGCCAAGAATAGCCATCATCTTCACTCCCGTTTCACGACACGCGGTTGAGCTTCTTCAACACAATCTGGCAAGAGACTCTTCTATTAGGAGATATACTGAACATGAGAAATTGCCTTTCGACATCTGTCATGACACTTCAGTCGCCTGTCTTGGGCGCAGTTTAAAACCTTTGTCGTGTTCCTTATCACCTTCGTACCAAACTCCATTACTACCCTTCTCATATTAGCCTTTTTTTCTAAGGCAGCTTGCATTGTTCTGGTCTACGAATCTGCCCTCTTTCCACCAGCTAGCTGGGCTCCAGACATCTGCTCCAGGGCTTCAAGTGCTGCCATATGACCCTGACCCATACAGTTTCGTGTAACCTTCTCGTATTCCCTGAAGCGCAACGGATTCGTGTCGGACCAAAGGATGCAGTCAAAGTTGTTTCTCACCCTGTCTAATCCCGCCTTAACGGTGTCCACGACTTGCTGCTCGACCGCTGCGAATTCGATGTCGTCGATCCCAAGGAAGATTGCTGGGCCTCCTCGTTTGCGCAGCTCCTCGAAGCAGATGTTGTGAAGTGTGCGAATATAAGCCTCAGATCTGAGGTCGCCCAAATCATCGTAGTCGTGGAGCCTTGCGAGATGCGCGCGGTACTGCTGGCCAATGACTTCCTCATGTTCTTCGTCCGCGCATCGAAGACTATCATCTTGTGGGTAGGTCGCTACCGGACGAAGTCCCTGTGCTCGGCCGTACTGTTCCGCTGAGGGGTCTATATATATTCCACCATGGTCGAGTACACCAGAAGCAAAGTTGCTACTCGCAAATATCCGGAACATCGTGTGCATCGGTGCAACTGTTTGGGAGCTGTTTTCGTCTGCCCGGAGGCGATAGTGTATGGTTGGAAGGACTCCAACGATGTAGTTTTCTCGGATGACCAAATCGTTGGGAAGTCCTAAGTGCTGTTAGTTTGAAGACTTAAGCAAACTGTGGAAGACACTTACCCTCTGAGAGAAGAGCGATGACGCCTGCGAGGTCTCGTACTGCCGCCACACAACGATTGAAGGACAGAAACGCTCGTGTCTCTTTAGCCGTGGTGTCCATGAAGCTGACAGGGAGCGAACGGAAATCGGCGATGAGGTACGATATATCATGCTTGATCTCCACGCGCCTCAACTCTATACGATATATCACGTCTTGCATGGCGTAGAACAGCTTGTCCAACAAGCTGTTTAGACGGCGGAGCCTAGACACTACTTCCTGCTCTTGGGTGTCGGCGCACTGCCTCGAGCAGTACTTTTGCGCGTTGAAGCCAGGGTTTGTGTGTTGTTTGCCCTGGTCGATGAGCAGTACCTTCTGGCACAGCTGCGAGCAGTTGAAGTTTGTGCAAGTAAGTCCCGACAGTGGATCGTGTTGCGCACAGCAGTATCTCTGGGTGTCGAAGCTGCTAAATAGAGGTTGACCGGTGTAGAGGTTCGGGAGCGCGCTCTGGGTCAAGCGCCCACAATCGAATGACCTGCACTTGAGCCTGGCATTTCGCATGAGGGTCGTCATCTTGCTTGGAAAGGCTTTCCGGGGCATCGCGTACTTAGCGGTTATGGCAGTATTGTGGTTCTCGTTGGTGGGGTTGGGTGCGCGGCTTGGCAGTGTACTTCACTCCGTCTGCGAAACTGAAGGAAGCTCGCTAGCCAGTGCATCAGCCTAAGCACTGTGATTACGCTGCCTTGTATCTATCCATCACTTCGAATGCTTACAGCTTGAATGTAAATCGTTCTGCAAAGCTATGCATGGAAAAGGCTAGGGACAAGATTACATCCACGACACTTATTGCCCTTTTCGAAAAGGCTTGAGACCCCACACGGTCAAGAATATATGACGATACCACATCATGGACATGTAGAGAATGTCATCTTTAACGGTTGTAAACGTGGATCATTCGATAGAGATATTGAGCACAACAAGGGCAACAGTGTAGCCTGCTATCGCATGTCTCAGCCCCTGATGTTGAACCGCTGAGCACCTCTTCAAAACTTCACAAAAGCAAGGCGCAAACTTTCAGAACGTTGTAGACAGATCAAGTTTTATCTAAAGTCTGTGTCTTCCGAAAGGCTGCACGTCAGGGTGTGATGTTCAACATCAAAATCTTCAGATGCCGATCTGCCTCATGCACGAATTTAGATAAGTTGGATGAGAGTACTGCACGCCTAAGGAGCATGAAAAAGGAGTAGCAAGTCATGCAAAGTCTCTGAAGGTATGGTTGTTTATGATTGCGCTTCTGGTCCATTGAGCTATGACAGTGTTGCCGTTGCCTGGCCAAGTCCAACCCCCACCCTTGTGACGCACATGTCCGGGCAAAAGGACAAAACAAAAACAAAAAGATCGTTCGCTCTGGCCTTCGAACCCACGGTTTTGCAAAAAAGAAGGAGCCGCTTACGCTCTTGGATAAATCCAATATTTCCGAGTCTACGATTGAGAGGGTTTTGTTAGCTTAGAACTTAGGAACGACTGGACTATCTAGACTATCTAATACAATCTGCCTCAATCAGAGCGCCGTTCTCTGATGGCGAAATGGTGCAGAACTTTACGGTATATAAACTGCATCTAAAAGGTTGTGGGGCAAGGGGGTAGGCGAGGGGCCAGGGCGGCGGGACTGGTGAAACCGGCCATGTGTTCGCTGAAAATTTGATCCTGACATGGACACCGGCGGCTGAAGATCCTATCTCGCAACAGTCTCACATGCTCGTCTCCACCGTTGTCACTTTCACACCAGCCCAGCCAGCCCACTCGCTCGGTGCGGGATGGCTCTGTACATGTCTGACAGGTATGGTAAACTCTGGGAAAGTATTGCAAAGCTGCAAGTAGTGTTCGGACCACGACCTTTGTGCATAACTGATGCTTGAGCAAACTACAACCAGTATCATCCTCAGCCTCAGCCTCAGCCTCGTGTCTCTGAGCTTGCGAGGAACACCTGCGCACGCGGATCCCTGATCTACACAAGCTTGAAGTTCTTTCTATCATCCTTCACCAAGGCGATGCACACCCGTCACACGTGTTGAACACTTCCAACGCGCACCTAAAGTCGATGAAAAAAGCATGATGATAGAACACACGTAGTCATATATAAGCACGCCCGCTGGGTAGTGCAGATTTGGTCTTGCACTGACGGTTTGAAGAGACACGGGAAGCTCAGTAAGGTTAGAAAGCGTGGCACTTCGAGCATCCTTTTGGTCTTGATATGCATCGGCAATCTTTTTAAATGAGAACTTGTGCCTGGCAAAGCGTATTGAAGTGGGCAATGTGCGCGACGCTAGCACAAGGATCCGGCCTTCACGTTCAGCACAAAACCCCACCATCTACCTCCACCTGCTCCAAAAGTGAACTGCTCCGTTCGCAATTGTAGAGTACACAAGCAAAATCGAGGTTCCAGCTGCGCAAGCCTGAAAATCACCATGAACGCCCCGCCGCCTCTCACTATAGAAGAGGTTCTGATGATCTTTCTTCTCATCTTTGAGGTCGCAGTCTACAGTCTTCCCACGCACGCGGTTTCTGGAATCCATATCTCGGCGGATATGAAGTTGATCAAAATCTGGTATGATCACGACGCACCGCGAGACGTCAACAACATCCACGCTTTTCCTCCTGGATTGGCTCATCTAGCACCTGTCCTGGCGAAGAAAGACCTGTGCGACACATTCTGTGCGCTCATGGGACCATATGTCCAGCCAATATTACAGGGTAAGTCACAATTCAAGACCAATCGGTGCATGTAGGCACTTCGGCGTCATGGCATCATGTCACATTTGGTCACGAGCATGGGCAAGACAAACTGACACAGTCTCTAGAGCTTTTCGGCGCCACTGTCCGTGTGATCCAGTTCATTCCTCGGCCGGCGCTTCAAATAATCCAGAACGAGCATGACCTTCAACCGCGCGCTCACACGGTGCTAGAGGTGACCATGAACGATGGTCGGGTTCTCTTCATGGACGGAACATCAGAGCAGTTTGGCTGGGATCGCGACAGCACCTGGCTGAGGCCAATGTCGGACGTTGTCGCTTATCACATGCACACGGCTGAAGGTTTCAACTATCTGACAGAAGCGGAGCTGGAGGAAGATCATGCACTGGTTCTCGTAGCAGACCAAGGGTACTGGGTGTTCGCTGCCGAAAAGATGGAAGAAGCTATTGGAGAGCTGGATTGGGAAGTGTTGCGAGAAATGGTGCGAAATGAGCGAGAAGAGTACGTGAAAGCATTGGCGACTGCGAAGTTCCAAGAAGTCATCCAGGTTTAGAGCAAGGAGGTCGACCATGACTCATCTCCTGTCAATCTGGGCAGATATACTGCGTGATTCAAGATAAGCAGCAGTGTATCAGGCATGAGCTGTTACCAGATGCAGAATGCAATGATGGAGGATCTTTGTAACAGGCAAACACCATTACCATGATGAATGTGATTGACCTGGTCTTGAACTGAACACTCTATGGACTTATAGGACACCTGTAATCGCAACTCCGCCGATCCATATATCTTCCTACCCTTGAGTATATTCTAGCGCCTTCGCGAGGTTGGAGTTTTACAAGGATGGCACTTTACAAGCTCGGCGACGGCGAACGATCTGATTGCACTTCGTCCCATCTCGGAAGCCCTCCTACTTTTCCATTTCGGTCGCTGGTCACTCATCTTCCTACATCTTGCGTGTACTGTCATCGTACATCTAGACCCAGCCCGTTTCTTGATGTGTTGCTCGTGACTGTATAACCCCCTTGCTGCCTTTTGTCCGATGTATTCTTGTTCTGTGATGCGTACATCAGAACTGCTCAACTAGCCCCTGCAGGTATTTGGACGTCCGTAGCGACATAAATAAGAGCAATAGCCTTCTCGTAGAGGTATAGGTTGCGCATCATCGTCCAGCAGCGAAGAAGGATGTACTTGTACGGCAAGTTTGCAGGCGAGCTTGTGAAGGAACCTGCTGGTGTCGGTATTGGCTTCGATCTCTGGCCGGAAAACGTGCCCGTGTATAGATCTAACAATTCTGAAAACATCAATCCATCGCTGAGGATTTATTGAGAGCTTCCGAATCACGCTGGGGTTCGTTGCACCAACCTTCCCAATTGAGGTAGAGCTCAGAGTGACCTTGCTGGAGATGTTTGGGCCGGAGCTGCGTGCTGACGCTGTAACAATCGAGCCTGTTTCTGCGCGCATTCTGTCAGTCTCTATTTGCGGAATGATCTGTTGGGTGATCCTACCTGCAGGAGGAGCAAGATCATCAGTTCCAACTCTAAAGGAAGGTTTCAAGCATTCGTTTCTGCTGACCTTACAGCTTGCCCTACTGATCGCATCTGCATATCAGACTAGGTTCAAAGAGATGGTCGGACAGATCAGAAAAACGACAGAGACCCAGCCCGGATGATAGACAAGAGCAGTCTTGCGCTAGCGCTGGGGTAATCAGCGACGTTAGAAATACCCAACTTCACCACCAACGCGAAAGACGCTCGCCCCTCAATCTCACGATCTTTTGGCGAAAAGCACCATCATTTCGGACAAACAACCTCTCCTATCAATCGATCATGACAAACACGCAAACCACCATGAGCACTACGCCACCTTTCGCCTTGGAAGAAGTCCTGGAAGTCTTTCTCGTCATTTTCGAAGCCGCAGTCGATGCCCGACCTACACGGTCTTTCTCGCACGCAACACCCATCGATCATCCGTGGGAGATTGGCCTGACTGTTTGGGAATTCTACTACAACGACGGCCCCAACGTTGCTCCTTCTGGTCTCTCGCCGATGCCTCAGCTTTTGGTGCGGGCCATGGCGAAGAAAGACCTTTGCGACCACTTTGCGTTTCTGCTTGTGGACGAGGTTACGCGGAAACTGCACGGTATGTCTGGAACCATCCATATAGGGAGCGATGCACCTTCAATCTTTTGCGTCAGGCTTTTGACAGCCTAGTCGATGTGCTGAGATGACCGACGCTACCTCGTAACTGGATTCAAGACAGTCGCTAATGCTCATTTGAAGAATACTTCGGTGCCTCAAGCCCATCCCCGTATTTGTCTGTGCCCTCCCAGATGGCGAGGAACGATTCGCGATCCCCGACCACTCCGTTCTCGACATCATCACGCGCGAAGGCGATAGACTGATAATGGATGGAACACCGGAGCAGTTTGGCTGGTCGCGCTCGACCTGGCTTCTATCGTGGGAAGATTTCGAAGACCCACGGATGATGAGACACCGAAGGATACCGTATGCAGATGGGGTGGACAGGGCGGAGATGTTCGAGGTGATAGAGGAAGATGAGAACGGGTATTGGTGGATAGTGCGACGAAGGATGCAGGACCTGTTCGGAGAAATGAATTGGGTCGAACTGGGGACCTTGTCGCAGAGTGAGCGACTTGATCAAGTGAGGAGGCGGGCAGAAGAGAAGTTTGCTGTGGCCATGGGATAGGCTTGTGCGATAGCAGAAATGACAGATTGACGAGGAAAGAGTGGAAAAAGAGCTTCAACGAAAGAGTTTTTCTTGGAGGCTGAAGATCTGCGTGAACGACAAGCCTTGTGTATATGTAAAGTCGCTGAAAAAGCTACAAGGCATCACTGACACTGCTTCTTTGCACCTCATGGAGCGGTAGGAGCCCATTTGCTCTTCGCTCTTATCTTCGCACCATAGATGTAGAAAAGAACAGGCACAGGAAGAAATGCCACGCAAAGAAACCCCAGCAAGCTACTTGCCCAAGCTACACCCAAATTCCTATACATCGCGTGGGTGAAAAGCGGGAAAAACGCTCCGGCTAGGGACCGCACGAAAGTGTTGATCGCGATAGCGCTGTTGGAGTAGAACCCATAGCAGTCAATCAGATAACTCAAGCCTTGCCAGAACGGCACCATGCAGCCAAGACCGATGAGAGAAATGGACAGAACTTGTGGCACCCAAGATATATGTGGATTGCTGGTCCAAGCAAACCAGAAGAGACCAATAGGGAGCGCAACGGCGCCTACAATCATGGGTGGAAGTCGCTCCTCGGGTATTGCTTTGCCGTGTTTGTTATATGATCGCGTGAAATTTGTAGCTGCACTATATGCCATGACACCAGCGCCCATGACGAGTCCGACGAGGAAGGCAGCGAAAGGGAGTTGCGCTACACCAAGAGACCATCCGCGTTCCTGGTGGAAAGACACTGGGAACTAGAGATACGTCAGCTAAGTATTCTCTATGCCAGCATGGGCAGCGCGTGCTTACTGCTTCGAAAAGAAGATACAAAATGCCGTATAAGAAGCTCATGTACGCCGTGATGAGAGCCAGGATAGGCTCCTGAAAGAACATGCTAAAGGGCCTCAGAAGATAGACGCTAAAAACAACTTTGGGTGTGAGCTTTTGTAAGTCGGCTTTCGAGTGGTATTCGGTGTTGCCAGTATCCTTCCTGATTTTGGCAGCACGAAGCTGAAGAATCCTGGCTGCGGATGTCTCGGGAATCACCGCTAGACCAATAGCTCCGAAGAGACCGGCTAGTATCAAAGTGATCCACGAAGTCCAGCGCCAGCCCAGAGTTGATTCAGTAATGAAGCCACCTGCGATCGGTCCTGCGACAGGTCCAGCAAACCCTCCAGCTGCGAAGACGCAGATAGCGTAGGATCTCGGAATGGGATCCCACAGATCAGCAAGCGCTCCGCCAGTAACGGCCAGAGGCGACGCAGCAAAGAATCCTCCCAGGAAGCGGCCAACACATATGGTAGCGACGTTCTGAGCAAGTGCGACCGGGATCTGGAAAAGAGCGAACAGCGCAAATCCTACGAAAAGAGGAATTCTGCGGCCAAGGACTTCTGACATGGGCCCAAACGCGATTGGACCGAACACAAACCCCTATAGCACAATGAGCGTCTTCATTTGTGGAGCCATGGTGGGCAAGAACCTACCAGCACAAAAAGGGATACACCGAGTGTAGCTGTGACCAGGTCTACGTCGAATTTCTCTTGTACCACGCCAATGTTGACGCTGAATATGGAGCTTGCAAACGTGACAGTAAACACCATCAGACCCATGGATATGCTGATGGCCCATCTGCGCTTCTCGCTCCAGTTCTTGGGATTGCCGGGATCATTAGGCCCGTCGAATTCCACCAGATAGCTTGTACCGTGTGAGTGACTTTGCGCGTTGTCATCCGATCCCTTCTCGAGATCATGCGGTGCATCTTTCGGGCTATCCAAGCTCTTTGGTGATTCGCCGCCATTTTCGATGGTTGTATCATCAACAGAGGATCGACTCGACAAAGCCAGGGCCGGATCCGGAGTCGCAAGTGCGGTCGCCATGATAGAACACTTGCGCTTAGAAGTGATTGTCGGACATCGAACGTTAACTCGCCCTAAACGGCAGCGAAGGATATTTGTAGAAATCGTTCCGGACAGTCAGCTCGTCATTATTGCCGGCGCGGCTACTCGAATTAGGCTTTTGTCAGCCAAAGATAGCGTTGGACCCACTACCAACAACTGCTAATGTCGGGCCATTGCGAATCCCGAAACGATTGTCTGACGTGAGCATGGCGAGTTTGACAGAGCAGCAATATTGCACAGGCGTTGAAAACAAGGGCGGCCGATGAGGAGAAAATCGTTCGCACGACGAGATAGAAATGGAGACGTCATCGGCGTTGGGTATTACGGACGCGCTTACCGAGGTCAGATGCTGATACATGCACCTTCCCGAACACTAGTCCAAGCCTCTCCGGACTTCTATTCGGCGATCTCTTCATGATATAATACACCTACTATCATGTTTTATTGCCGTTTCTTGTTATGCCACGCGAAACAGAACGGACCGCGGACATGCTCTTGTACTAACCTGAGACGGCTACAAGCTTCAACGAAACACTGTCCATGCACCTAGCTCATCTAGACAGCCAATACTCACATCTGAACGCTTGTGCACGTCCAGTAGCATGATTACCCAAATGCACTGTGCCTCCCCCTAAATTGAAGCTATCGCCACTTCAGGGTACCTGTCAGCGCGTTCACAAATCGGTCAAAACCATCTCGATCGCTAATTTTGACAAACTAGGGACAAGCACGTGCAGTAGAACAAAGAGAGGGTCACAGTACAACTCAAACAAGAATGTCGTATGACTCTCTAGTATTGATTCTCATGGCTGTCTTGCCTTTGAGGGTTCTAGTTCCTGGGAATTGGATTGCAGCAGTGTTGGTAGCTGGGGGCAGATGAGGTAGATGAAAAGAACAGAAAACGGAAATTCGTGACAGACACCCAAGTATTCAATGTACAAGAAACACCAGTGAGAAATCTATGTACATATATGACAACAACAACGCCTGGGGGTATTTACCATCACCAAAAACGAAAGAAATGACACATGGAACTACAAACAGGTTGGGTATACAGGGCCGATAGAACAACAGGGTATAAGCGGTACAACATGATACTCTATGATCTAACTCGAAAACAAAGAAACATGAAATACAAGAAATGACAAAAACAAACCACTCAAACGCGCCTCGTACGTCTATAGGAAATCATCTGATCATCATCCTCACTGTCAGAAGCGAGCGCATAAGTATCCTCATACCCACCAGATCTACCCAAGTGTGGTCGATTAGAAGCCCCGGCGCGATTGATTACGTCCTCACCGCGACGCTGTAGAGAGTTTCGACTATCGAGTGCTGGACGGGTGACAGGTAGTGACTCGCCCATACCGCGTATATCCCAGGGATCACGGTTCATCACAGTTGGTGAGAGCAAAGAAGGAGAGAACATAGGTGGCGAAAAGGCAGACGGTGGATGCGCGAAGGGATCCTCCAGGCTGGAACCGGAGCCGCGGTTTGGATGAGCGGCGAAAGGGTTCTCTGGGAAGTATGAGGGGCGGTTTTGAGCGTCCTGAGAATATGAAAGACGGTTCTCCTGAGGGTAGGTTGGACGGATTTGAGTGTCTTGGGAGTACGACAAACGGTTTTCCTGAGGGTACGAGGGACGAACTTGACCCTCCTGGGGATATGAAGGGCGTGTCTGCGTTTCCTGGGAATATGAATGACGATTCTCTTGAGAGTATGAAGGGCGACGTGCGGAAGGAGGTCGAGCTTGGTCTTGATGGAAACCGGCAGGATACGACACTGGCGGGGGAGCATGCTGACGTGCACTGGGTAAGCCCCGTGTAGAGTAACCTTGCGACATCTGAGTGTTGATGGCAGGTAGTTCGGGCTGCACAATGCTGGCGCGACGATTACCACTCACTCTGGCTGGCGTTGGCTGTGAAGCGATTGTAGAGACGCCACCCTGGCGAGCCGTCGAGTTGCGACGAACTTTGGGAGGAGGGTTATCGGTAGAGTTCCGATCACCGCCACGAGAAACATAGTAATCGGCGGTCTGATGTTGCTGTTGCAGGGCGAGGCTTGCCTCTTGTCTCTCGCGAGCTTCGGCTGCTTCTCTTTCACCCTGCATATAGATTCCCTCAGCGGCAAGAAGGCGGCGTTGCTCATCACTCTGGGCTTGGGTCATGGACATTCTACGACTGTGGCCTGGTCGCTTAACGGCGAAGTCATTGGTCGGTGGCTTCGTCTTTTCCCGTTTGCGCTCCTTCTTGTCTTGCTCGTCGCGGTCTTTTGCTCTCTTGCGCTCCTTCTTCTCTTGTTCTTCAAGGTCGGTCAACCTCTTACGCTCCTTTTTCTCCTGTTCCTCACGCTCCTCACGCTCCTTTGCCCGTCTTCGTTCTTTCTTTTCCTGCTCTTCGACCTCCTTCAACCTCTTCCGTTCCCTCTTCTCGTGTTCTTCTCGTTCCTTCTCTCTCTTGCGTTCTTTCCTGTCTTGTTCCTCTCGTTCTTTCTCCTTTTGTCGTCGAGCCTTTTCTCGTTCTTCAGCTCGCGTCTTCTCCTGCTCAGCGTATATGTTTTCCGCCCTCTCTCGAGCTCGTGCTTCGGCACGACCAAGCTCGAAACGAACTTGCTTGTTGTTATCTTCTTTCAAGAGTTGTTCAGCCAACTGACGTTCAAGTGCTTCTTTCCGCCGACGAGCTTCTTCCTTCTCCTTCCGCTTTTGTTCACGGTCTGAACTCTCACGTAGCTGAGTATGCGCTCCAGGGCTGCTAGGAGAGAAAGCAGAGCGGTCGACAACATCAGAGAAGTCGAGCGGATATAGACCATCTGCTGTGTGTGTCTCCTTGGAAAAGCCTTGTGGCTCAATGACTGTGGTACGATAGGCAGTAGTGGGAATGGGATTGCGGGTACGAGTCACCGTCGGCGAAGGCGGAGGATTAATAGACGGTGGGTTATGTACTGTAGTTGGAGGATGTTTCTCATGCCTGTAACCAGTCGGCGAATCGTAGTCAGGGTCTGAGGTAACATAGAGCGATGGTGGTTGACTGGAGCTGGTATACGACGAAAGTGATGGTGCATGGTGATGATGGAGGCCTTGAAGAAAACCAGACGTCGGCACGAAACCATCAGATCGACCAAAGGTAGCGCCCGTGGATGGTGGAGCTTTCTCAGGAAAGCCAGTGCGAATTGTGTGCGCCCCATCTGATCCGGGCGAATCAACGGTGAATTCACTTGATACATCTCTGGACGAGCGCTTGTACGACTTTGATGAGACTGCAAGAGTGGGACGGGGTTTTCCGTCTTCCTTCTTGGATCCAAAACTGATGACGATCTCTGGCTTGACTGCTTTTAGACCCTCTCGTGTCGAGGGCCTACTACCGCTGTTGGAAGGTCGACGAGTTTGTACAAGGTAGGTTCCAGAGTCAGTGGGAGTGGGCGGGTTGTTCGAAGCTGGAGATGGAGTATCTCCACGAGAGACCGTCGGCCTCTTGGGATGGTATTCAGACGTCCTTCTCTTTACCCTAGAACATAGCTTGCCACGTGGGGCCTTGTCGCAAGGGTATGCATCCTCGAACTTTTGACGATGGCCGTCTGCGTCAATGTAGACGCGCTCATCGACTCGACACATCGTGTTGAAATTTGACTAGGTTGGGGGAGAGTTTAGTAAGGGACGCTGGATGATCTCCAGGTCTCAACCCCTCGACGGCTGGGCGGGAGCAGCCGGAAGTTGTAATGGTAATATGAGTCAGAATATCCGAGACGAAATTTGTCCGGAGAAGGGACGGCGGTAGTTGTAGCCGACAGTGACGACTGTGGGAGGAAGTTAGGTCGGCAGGTGCGCGCACTTGGAAGTATCGACACTCCAAGACGGAGCGACAGGTATGGTCTGTTTCGCAGTGCGTTGTTTAAGCTGAAGAATGAGGATAGATATTGGTGAGTTTTGAGCGGCATGTGATAATGTAACCAAGACGGATGGTGGACGGGTTGAATGGACTCGTAAGTTCAGGGAGGCGTGTTGATCCGGAAGCAGGGTGAGTCAACGAACTGAAGGCAGCCAGGTAAGGGGTATGTATGTAAATATGGGCGCAAGGAACATGCGACTCTAAAAAACAAACAAGCAGCCCTACTGGGCGAAACGTGGTTTATGTAGTGTGTGGCGCTGAGTGTAGCCTGAAATGCGCGCAATAACTGGACTGGGGAGAAATTACTGGTAGGCAGGACAAAACGGCGCGTGCAGGACAAAGCGAAATGCCAGGCCGCAATACTAGGTAGTACAGGAATGCATGAACGGAGACCGGGGCGTAGAAACGTCAAGCCATTTTGGGCAAGCAGCGGTGAATTGCACAGCCTTCAGCCACACATGGGCCCTGCGAACCTGCTGCGACCGGTGTGGGCTTATCCAGGTGCTAAAAGCGACGGAAAAACAGGAAGAACAGGTGATTTGGAAAGAGATGGAAACGTCGAGTACCTTGGCTTGACGCGAGGATGTCTCAGTCTCAGCCTTGATGGGCAGCAATTACAAGCTCCGGGCGCTCGAGCACACCCTGACATGAGAAAGTCCAAGAGCCCGTCGGCAGCTCGTGCGTTCGCTCGCTCGTCCGCCGACGCGACGCGCCTGGCTTGTCCGCATATCCGGTTGTGGTCGATGATGCTGCTGGTAGACGGGAAGCATACTGCCTGCACGCTTCAGCTAATGGATGACTGGCTATTGTTGTGGAGGCTGAGCAGACACTTCCCCTATCAGCAGGAAGTATGCCAGGCACCAAAAGCTAGCGATTTGTTGATCGGCGCCCAATGCCCGATCCATATTACATTTGGTGTGGATGAGGGTGAATGTCTGCTTGGCCCGTCAATTCGCTGGTGGGGCTCGGACACTAGGGATGATCCCGCGAGTGTCGTTTGGCGACGAACGCCCCTTCCCACCATGCTTCGGGCGTGCATCCCGCATTTCTCTGCATCTCCGCATCGTCTTCTCAATTCAAGCGGGACGCGCCCTCATCTTTAGTTTTGCGCTTGCATTCCAATATGCATGAGACTGGCTTTTCTCACCTAAATTGCCATCGTTGAGTGAGTATTCCCTAATCGCCATTGTCGAGTGAGCACTACCGCATCGCTGCCTTGCGCCACTAGGCTACCTCAGCCTCTGGATAAACTATTTGACATGTTCGCATCCCATCATGCAATCCACTGCCGTCGCTTAGTGTCCAGGGGAGGGAGTCTCGGGAAGCGTTTGCTTCTCGCGATCATGACGACCAGCCTCATCCTTGAAAATCACTCTCGAAACTCCGCTCTAGCTCAAACCTCGATAGTATTCTTTCCATCAATCCGCGTTCGGTTTCGCTGTCCGAGGGCTATCAAGACAAATTGCGGCCGCGGATGTGGGGGCCATAACGGCAATCCCTCACAAGCCATGTCGAAGACGTGAGATTGTCTGGTAATGTCTTCAAAACACTGCTCCTTCAGATCAGTCGGTGCTTTGCAATGCGGATAAGGGGAAAGTCGCGACATGCTACGCCACGTGAGTAAGCAGCCACACTTTGAATATGTGCAAACGCTCAACCAATCGCAATGGCATCGGAATTTTTAGAATGCAAAAAAACAAGGAACACGTGTGGTTGCGCTTGGTAATTCAGGATCGCAATGTTTTTGCTGACCGCTACCCGAAAAACCTCACAAGGATTCGATGCACCGCCACTCAGCCACTTTCACTGGTAATCGCAACACCACGATCCTGACCATCCTACGCAGTCTCGCGCCAGTCGCGGTATCTTGGTCATCAGAGAAACGGTTGGGATTCTAAGCGCCTCAAGCAAGAAGCTAATGCAAACGACTCCATTAATTTCCAGGCTCCAATACACAAAGAGTACTGGAAACCCATGTACAAATCAAGGCTGTACAAGTCAGCAAAGACGAAACAACCGATACGCCCGCCAGAAGTACTCCGCACATACACGAGGTGAGTCGTGCGGCGCGGTTAGGCAGTCGACCACATCGACGCCAAACAGACCGAAGACAGACACACACACATGCCCACTAACCATCAATCAAGCTATGGTGGCATCATATGCTGCAGGCGTTTTCTCCAATACACCAGAGGCTAGAAAACAGTTGCGATTGGTCCCAAAGCCACGACAGACGTTGTAATTCGCTGGCAGTTTGCCTGTGCAGGGTGGCGGTTCGGGTACCACAGCAACACGCTTTCAACGTCCAACATGAATAACACACACCTCACGTACAAACCGCCCCATTCTCGGTGTTGCCGTCTTACCCACTGCCAGTTTCATGACTTACTTCAAATAGCTCTTCAGGTACCGAGTGAGACGGCGTCACAGCCACGCTTACAGCCAAGAAACTACCGACATGTCCATGGGTACTGGTCGAGCTGGAAGATGCTTGTAAATAGATAGATCCTATGTGACGTTACAGCCTGAAGAAAGGTTCGGGTCGAGTCGAGTCGAGTCGCGTGATTGATTCTCTGGTAGGATAAGATGTAACATGCCGAGGAGTGTTTTGGAACAGCAGACCTCGGCGATGCTATTCACGTCCACGTCTCGCAAGCAGGGTCGAAAACGGAAGCAAAGAACATCCCAATGCATACACATACATACTATACTCTACAGGTAACGCTACTGCCTCGTCGCTTCCCCGGGACGCAGCGCCTCGCCCGGATAGACCTCTGGCGACGAATTCTTATCTGGCGTCTTCATCGCGTCCAGAAAGCTAGTGAGTTGCTGCGCCCTCGCGCTCTGCTCCCCCAACTCCGTCGCGCCGTTCCTCCCCGCGCGGCTCAAGGCGTCCAGTTCCTCGACCCCGCTCCGGCCCATGCCGCCCAAGCCCTTCAGCGGATCGCTGTCGAAGTTTTCTCGCACAGGCGGTTTGTCGTCCAACTCACCCCTCGCGACTTGGATTTCTGGCCCGGTCGAGCGTTTGAGCTTGATGTGAATGCGTCCGTCGTTCGAGACGGAGCCGAACATTGCTTGTACGAGGACCTTCTTTCCTCCTGGGGTCTCGAGGTCGATGGTCTCGACGTCTCGCGAGTTGCTGATGTTGGCGCGGGAGGCGCTTGATGTGTCTGTGCTGCGGAATTGGTCGTTTGCTACGAAACCACCAACACCAAGACGGGCGTAGACTTCTTTCCCGCCACCTGTTGTCCGTGGTTGGACGACACGGGAGGCTACTGGGGAGGGGGAAGACTGTGGTCCGAGGATGGGGTGGTTCGCAATGTAGGATCTTGTGCGCAGATAGCCGAGACCTGCAGATGGGTGGGTGGATAGAGGCGCGGTTTCTTGATCAAATTGGTATTGCTCAATGTCACGGTTTGAAGCGTCTTCTGCGTAAGCCTTGTACTTGAATCTGATTGTTGGTAGTCGCAGGAATGGCAGAATCAACTTTCTGACCAGTTTAGAGCCGAGGGGGTTGGTGGCTGTTTCCTTGCGCAGGGCTTTGAAGCCGGCGCTGATATCCTCGCTGGAGATGTTGGACCATTGTTTTTCCTGCTCGGCGTGCCATTTTTCGGCTTCGGCAAGGTCCATGGGTGCTGTGGAGCCGGATTTCGAGGCGGCGAGGCGGCGGGTGGCGTATATTTCGTTCTTGACGAATTCATTCAGGTGGATGTTGAATACGCGACGGCGCTTTGAAATTTCCGTGTTCAGATACTGAGTGAACTCAGCTGCGCTGATGCCAGGAAGCCAGGGTCCGTCGTGCTTCCAGCGCCGTGTGTTGTGCACAGCGGCGTCGACGGATGGTGGGGTGAATGGAGTAAAGGCCGCGGGCTGGGCTGTCCTGTCTGTCTTGGCCGCCACTCTTGCTTTCTTGCTTTGGGCATAATTCTGTCCGCTGCTCTTCTCGAGGGCCTTTAGATACAGTCCCGCCTCGTCCAAGCCCAGATCGTTGTCGTACGAGGTGGTGTCGTCACGGATCTCAAAGGCGCCAGATGGAGGCGCGCCCGACAGGTCGTAGTCCCGCATCTGCGACATGCCCTTCATCATGGGCACACCCATCTCTTCCCATTTTTGCCGTGTCCGCACGTGATCTGCGGCGGATTCAAAGTCGGTGACATGTTCGATTGTGTCGAGTTGTGTGATCCTCAGCACGGGATCGCTGGTCTGCAGGATGCGTGACCGGGCGGGCAACGGCCTCTTCAGACCCCAATCGCCACGTGCCAGAGAGCTCTTTGTTGTGGCGATGGCCTGGTGTGTGGGGTAGGGGAGTGTTGCCGTGTCGGAGGCCTTTGTCATGCCAGAGCCGTATGTTTCGCCGACGAGGGGTCGCGGGAGGGGGTTTGGCAGCGAGAACAGGCGCGAGTTCCGCAGCAGGTTTGCCGTGGGCGACAGACTTTGGCGACGGAGGGCCATGACGATGCGACAGCCGCGTGTGGGGCGTCAATGGCGGCTGAAGTGATGCCCGTCGTGGTGATGTCGCGAAATCTCGAAGAGTGAGCGGGCGAACTTCGGCAGTCTGGCACCTCCGCGGTGGTCGAGCCTGTGATAGGTGAGAGCAGCATGCACACTATTTGTCTTGTGAGCAGTGTGAAGGCTGGGTAGATGTGCGAGTCAACTGGTATTTTGCGCTTATTTGTACATGTTGGTGAGTATTTATTGGTTGTGAGCACATGTTATTGAGGTTTGGGCACGATAATTGAATTTACTATGTTATTCGTCACTATCTACCACCCTGCTAATGCGCCAACAACTCTCCAAGCCTGTCTTCAGTGCGCTGCTCTCCCCAACTTCGGGTGCTTTACACTAGGGTCCATCCAATGTGTTTGATGGAACGTCGGACTGCATGGCTTGGGCTTGCTCGTGTGTCGTGACTACGGTGCTATGCATCTTGCTTCCAAGGGCATACATCCGAGGCAAGCTTGGTCCTCAGATAGGAGGCAGGCTGACGCCGTGAAAATGATGAGTCGTCCTGAAACGCCCAACATAACTCACCCTGGTAATGCTTTGTCCCAGTCCTGCGCATCATCTTCATCATCGTCTTCGTCTACTCTGTTGATGCGAGGGACATGCCCTTCAATGGCCATGGTAGCCCCAGAGGTCTGGGCAGGAAGGGACGGAGGCTGTGGCGGTGCGCTGGCGGTATCTCGTTCGGCAATCTGGTCCAAAATGAGATCATTGTTTGCCTTGCTCAGTTGACCTGGTTTCTCGCCGCGCTCAATAGCTAGATCTGCCATGGCGTCGTCACGAGCTGACCACGCAGCCTCGATGTCGACGTCCTCTTCATCTGCAGGTGCTGGCGTAGAGTTTTGCTGCTTTACTCGCAACGGCAGTGCTGTGTTGTGTTCCTTGGTGTTGTCCACCATGAGCTCGATGTTGTCAGCATAGCCGCCCTGGCGCAACCAGGCAGGTTCTTCGCTCAGCTGCACTTTGACGTACAGCGCCCTTCTTGCGCAGTCGTCCGAGCACCACACCTCCAGCACCTTCCTGTCGACGATCTCTACGCCCTTGTCGGTGTCGATGAACTGCTTCCTGGCGGTCGAGGGCGCCTTCCTCTTGGGGCGGGGGCACAGGGCATATCCACACTTGTCGGCAATGTTGCGCTCCTCGATGAGCGAGTCGTAGTCTGCCGGCTGGAAGGGGATCATGGCCTTGCGGAAGTACAGGGCATCGGCAGGCGAGGGGCGGGTGGGGTCTGCCGCGGGCGAGGTGGGATAGTCCAGCAGGGCGATGATGGCGTCCAGCACGTCGCCCTCGACCACCTTGCGCTGCTCGATGATGTTGGCGTGGTGGAGGGCGACCTGCAGGTGGCGCTCGTTGACGGGCTTTGCACCAGGCGCGCCCTCTGCAGGCGCCGCCGCCTTCTTCAGGATCGACTTGGGAGACATGTCGCCGCACAGTGACTGCTCATGTGACGTCGTCGTAAGCAGGCGTGCAGGTCGAGTGGTTCGCATCGACGCCAAGAGGAAGGCGCCGCGGGGCCCGACGACAGGGCTGGGTAGGCGTCGGCAGCAGCACCTTCCTCTGCCACCACCACGCCCACGGCACCCCCAGGACGTCGGCCGTGCAGGACAAGCTGTGCACTCACGCGCTCCCTCGCCCCCGAACTGACAGCGGCGCCATTGGACCGCGACACGACCACGCAGCCCCTCGGACCCGCCGCCCTCGACCCGTCAGCGCCCGTCGGCGGGGACTGCCACCGTCACCCTAACCATCACGACGACGACGTTGCCGTCGCTGCACTTGGCGCCGCCATGCCCAAGGTCAAGGCCGTCTACGACTACGCGTCGCCGCACGAGGACGACCTGAGCTTCCGCACGGGCCAGATCATCACCGTCACCGAGGAGGAGGGCGACGACTGGTACGTCGGCGAGTACGTCGACGACGCGGGCACCAAGCACGACGGCCTGTTCCCGCGCAACTTTGTCGAGAAGTATGAGCCCGCCCCGCCGCCGCGCCCCAACCGGGCCTCGCGATACAAGCCCGACCCGCCTGCCGTAGCACCGCCTGCCCTCGACGCCCGCCAGCAGGACCCGCCAGCCCCCGACACGCCGCAGAGGGAGCCCGAGCCGCTGCAGCCCGACGAGCGTGCGGCCCCCAAGCCCCAGCCGCCGCCGCTGCAGGTGCCTCCCCCGGCCAAGCCCGAGCCCTCGCCCATGTCGCCCATGTCGCCCCCGTCGGCCTCCAGCGTTGTGTTGCCTGCCGCCTCGCAGGCCCCGAGCCAAGCGCCCAAGCCCGCCCCACCCGCCCCCGCCGGGAAGAAGCCGCCGCCCATCGCCGTCAAGTCCAACGCCTTCCGCGACCGCATTGCCGCCTTCAATTCGCCCGCCGCCGCGCCTGTCCAGCCCTTCAAGCCCGCCAACACGACCTTCATCAAGAAGCCCTTCGTGCCGCCGCCCCCGAGTCGCAATGCATACGTCCCGCCCGTCCGCGAGGCCCCGCCCGTCAAGACGTATCGCCGTGAGGAAGACCCCGAGATCCAGGAGCGCCAGGAGCAGAACCAGGAGGCTGCCGAGAAAGCAGGCCTCGTTGCCCACGACGCCCCCAAGCAAGAGGGCGGCGAGGAGGACAGCCAGCCCAAACTGAGCTTGAAGGAGCGCATCGCCCTCTTGCAGAAGCAGCAACAGGAGCAGGCCCAGCGCGCTGCCTCTCCCGTCGTCAAGGAGAAGCCCAAGAAGCCGCCCGTCAAGAAGAGGACCGAGTCGTTTGAGGCGGTCCAGGCCGAAGACAGCGAGGACACGGAGCTGGAGAAGGTGACGAGCGCGGGCTCCAAGGCCTCCGCCGACCACGCCCGGCCGCCACGAGTCCCGCACGACATCAAGCCGCCGGAATCCCATGCTCCACACCAAGACATGCTCAGCGACGCAAACGACGCCGACCAGTCGGGCGCCGACAACACCGAAGACGCAGAGGCGACGTCGACCAGCGTCGAAGAGGACGAGCAGCAAGCGAAGCGAGCGCAGCCGCCCCCACCTCTGCGAGCTCCCGCCGCGCCCCTGAAAGAAGCAGACGTTGGAGACGAGCAAGACGTTACCGAGGAAAAGCCAGGAGAGCAAGAGGCAGAAGAAGAGGAAGACGAGATGGATGCCGAGACGCGGCGCAAGCTGGAGCTAAGAGAGCGCATGGCCAAGATGAGCCGCGGCATGGGCATGCCAGGCATGTTCGGCGGCGTGCCCATGGGCGGTGTTCCTCCTCCACCAAAGAAGAAGAAGCCCACGCTGGAGAAAAAAGCCGAAGAGGCCGACGAGCATGCCGTCCCACAGCAGCGTGTGCCCATGTTCACCATGCCTGTCATCCCAACCGTCAAGAGCCCTGAGCAGGAGAACAGACAGCTAGCTGTCGGCAAGGAGGACGACGTCTCTCACGCCATCACCGACTCTCGCCCAGCAGACGACGTTGTCGACGTCGAAGATGTCGTCTCCCAACCTCTTCAAGAAACACCCGTGGGCGAGCGTCCTCCCCCGATCCCAACAGACCGTGAGTTTCTCATCCCCCGCAAGCCCGTTGATTTTCCCGCTCGCCAGTCTCTGGACAGCTTCCAGTCACCATCTTCCGAGACCGTGTCAAAGACGTACGTCGCATTTGACGGTTTCTCGGAATATGTCATGACCGTAAGCGTGTGCAGTATGTCATGGTGTAGCCCCGTTGTCATTTTGTCTTGGAAATCCACCGTCAGATGCTAACAATTCGCAGGACGGCCAGCACCACCCCCAATTCCCACGTCCGACAGGCCAACGTCGTCTCCAGCACCCCCGTCCGGTAATTATCTTTCCCATCCTACCATATCGCTCACTAACCATGCCAAGTTCGACCGGCGCCACCGCCACCTCCGCGACTCACCTCGCCTGGTCCTGGATCTGAGTCTGGCGATGAGATGACAGATAATGCAGCAAACATCATGTCACCCAGGTCCCCGTCTGCTCCGTTCGCGCCGCCATCGAAGCGCCTTTCGTACTTTGGATCAGACGATCAGGCTCAGAGCTCACCCGAGAGACGCGTTCCGCCCATGTCCTTGGCAAGTCCCACCTCGCCATTGGCTTTTCGACCACCTCCACCGCCCCCACCTACGGCTGCACCGCCTTCTCGTCACGGAGACGTGCCCACAAAGAAATTCGACCGCGAGGGCGAGACCGACTACGAGGGTGATTACGACACCGACATGGCATCTGGAGCACCTCACAAGGATGCTTTGAAATCTCATGCTAGGGAAGCAAGTTTGGACGGCAATGTTCAAGTCGACGAATCTCAATCTGCACGATCACCTACTATACCATTCAGTCCTACCGTGTTTCCTCCCATAGTGCCTCGTGCTGGTCCACCTCCACCTCCGCCGTCGTTTGCTCCAGGCCGCCCCTTGGCAGACGTTCCTCGTGCGGCTCCGCCGCCCCCACCTGGGCCTCCGCCTCCCCGGAACGAACCCGACGAAAACAACGAGGACTACGACCCCTATCGTTACATAGCACCTCCCACAAACGCGGTGCCTGCTGTTCTCACAGGCGTGCCCCCGCGTCCCCAGAGCCAACCGCCGCCACCGCAAACTCGTCCACCACCTCCTCTACCTCCATCAATGCCGCCAATGCCGCGTCCCCAGCCCACCGAATCTTCTGAAGATGACAGTCCGTACTCTGCACCGCCCCCACGAATGTCCCATGAGCGAGCACCGCCTCCCCCACCTCCAGCTCATCCTCATCAATGGGCTCCTCCGCCTGCAACACCCCAGGAACGAGCTGGTCCCCCATTACCTCCTCAACAGGAACGAGTTGGTCCTCCACTGCCTCCCCAGATGGAACGAGTTGGTCCTTCACTACCTCCTCAGATGGAACGAGCTGGCCCTCCACCGCCCCCTCAGCAGGAGCGAGCCGGTCCGCCACTGCCGCCTCAGGAGCGACCTGGTCCACCACCACCTACTGAATCCCAGATTTGGAGACCTCCAGTGGCCAGGAAGTCACTCGACGTGACTCGTACACTCATCAGCCGAGCGTCTTCCGACCAGGTACGGCCATTGACGAATCAAGACTTCATTGCCAGTGATGTTGATCTCGGTGCTTCCTCTCAATGGTGGTCGCAACCTAGGGTCCTGCCGCCTTCTATTCAAAATCGCAAGGACGTTCTTGTGGACATGGATGGCTCGCAGTCTGAGGGAATCGTGGAGAAAATTGTATCTGTCCTGTACATGGACTATTCGCAGACCATCATCTCTGCGCGTTTTCATGAAACCAATCCATCTGATGTCCAATTGGAGCAGCGCCACGAGCCGCCACCTTCTCAACAACGCCCAGATCAACTTGAGAACGCGTATGAGCAATTCGGTCGCAAGATTGCCAAGGACGTCGAATCGAAGCAAAACACTGTTTTTGGAAACGGCACACCTCACGGACTCATCGACGAGCTGTTGAAGCCGTATCAGGATGCGTTATCGCCTGTCTCGACCCGCTCCTTTGGTGCGCTGGTGTACGCTAACCTTGCCAACGCTGCCACGCAGTCATACGACGAGATCCGCCCTGGCGATATCATCAGCTTCCGTAACGCAAAGTTCCAGGGCAAAGCAGGGCCTATGCATGGAAAATACGCTGTCGATGTGGGCAAGCCCGACCATGTCGGTGTTGTCATCGAGTGGGATGGAAGTAAGAAGAAGGTTCGGGTTTGGGAGCAGGGTCGTGAGCACAAGAAGGTCAAGCCCGAGAGTTTCAAGATCGGAGATTTGCGATCTGGTGAGGTGCGTGTATGGCGAGTAATGAGTAGGAGTTGGGTTGGGTGGAAGTGAAGGAGCAGTTATTGCGAGGTGATGGGGGTTCGTAGGGTTAGTGTAGTGTAGTTTTGTGTATGCATGGTTGTGGTCACAGATTTTTGAACTTCAATATCCTCTACGTCTGCATTTGTCCGCGTCATCACAACGAGTGGCCTGTTGCCGCTATCGCGTGGCTCTGCTCTGTCGGTTAGGTATCAGTTCCTCCACGCGGATAGCCTTCACTCCGCTCCACATTGCCCCTCCTCACACGCTCTAACCCTTCCACTACCGACTCTCGTTACCGAACGGCATTCTTGATTCTATTCACACTATCGTCGTCATCTCCAGGGGTCCCATATCCCTGATGTTGAAGTTTGATAGTCAGCCGCAAACGTCCTCCCAGGCGATGTACAATGAACCAGCATACCGGGTCAACAAACACGAAACATAAACCGTACGACATCCCTAACTCCACCGATGAATTCGCAGGAGGTTGTAACGGAACATCGCACCAACTGCTTTCTCGCCGTATATGACTAGCCCGCCAAAAGACTGATCGGAGATGAAGGACTAGTGGGTGTTTTCTCTCAGTGAGAAATTGGGGGTTTATGTGGAATAGAGAAGTGCCGACCAGGTGGAGACGTGGTAGGCTTGGGAGAAGGGATTTGCGTGGTGGAGCGAGGCAGGGGGAGATAGTGAGAAGGTCTGGCCCGAGATTGGAATCAGAGGTGGGGAAGTGATTTGAGATTGTTGAGCAGGGGATGTAGGTTACCGAGGGCGAGTGGGACTACATGAGGTTGGGTAGGGGTTCGAAGTAGGAGTCGAGTATGGAACTCATCATTTATTGTTATTGATTGTGTTCAGCTTCTTTATTGAGTTGGATTCTGAATCTTTGGACTGGTAACCCCGACGCGTTGTCATCCGGAATTCGCATGTATGCACTAGCATTTTAGACTTTCCTCTCGACAATAAACAATGCTGGACATGGACTATACACACCGCTCGGCCGTTGAAAAGAAGATATAGGCACGAGTAGCGGAGCGTAATAATATTTCTGTGTTTGTGATACTAATGCAGCCACGAATCATCCTGTGGTAAAATGCCGGAGTGAAGTAGACCCTGATTTCATGCTGATACGAAGTCTCGATGAAAACATGTATAGGACGAACGTCCTGCTGATATTTGAATGAGACTGAGTAAAAGCATGGCATGGATCTCAATGAGGCAATAACTTGAATTTTGCTAAATAATAGAGTCTGTAATCCTTATTGAAATGTAAACTGAAAGTACCCAAACTAGGCCAGAAAGTATGAGCTCTCTTCCTGCGCATCAGGCTATCGTCTTCGAGCGTGAGGAGTGGGGTAGTTCCGCATTAGACAATGAAACATTCGAGACAAGAGGCATGCGGGCATTTCGTAACACCTCCTTATCTTGCTCGTGACCCGATTTCGTGACGCGTTCGGGCTCCCCAACATGGCATTGGGAGTATCCTACGCAAAAGACATGAAAACATTGTACGAAAAGTATGGAAGGGGTTTGTTATGTCAACGAAGCCTTATAAAAATTGGCCGTTGTGATGATCTGGTGCTGCAGAATGACAGAGAAGGGTGACCAACAGGGCCATGCGCCACCGCACAGTGAAACAAGTTCTCGCAAAACAGATAGACACTACTGCTGATAGATATAGCCATGTATCTGCTCCCCTCATATCCTCAATTGCATGGTTTGTGGGAAATCTTGTGATGATTGATATACATTTGTTGATATTTACATGATAAATCTTAGACCTTTGCACCTTGTGATGTCGCTAAATTCCAAATCAAAGCCGAAGCCCGAGTACTGCCGCTAATGGGAACATGCGTCAAACTAAAACACCGCTTTTATCGCGCTGGTGCCCTGTTGATGCGAGCATGGAACTGTGACCAAACGCCGCACTGATGCGATCTATTATTAAGAAGAAAAGAAGAAAGATTCCCGCCTCGGTACCCTCATGAGAGGTCCATGGGCTCCCCAGCGTTGCTGCCTGTTCCAGTCGCTGTGTGAGGGGGCTGATTGCTTGGAGGGTAAGAGTAGATGCTCGTATTTATCGGGGCCGAGATGTTGATCCCTGTGTTTAAGCTGTAGGGACTTCCAGATGTGCGCACTTGAGGAGAAGCCCAGTTACCCATGGCAGGTTGAGGGTAAACAGGAGGGGTATCTGGCATGGCCGGTAGCGATGGTTTTCGTGGCTGATGCTTTTTTGTAACGCGTTGTGCTCGAGGAGCAGGGAAGCAGGCGTTCTTGACACGGGTCTGGAACTCGCTTGCAAAGTTATCGTACGGCTTCTTTTCTTCAGAGGTCCTCCAACCCATCTTGTTCTTCATACACTCAGCCTTGCGATGGCTGATCGTTGACCCCTCGATCCGAATGCCGTTGGCTAGCCAACGTCTACAGCAGTCGGATCGCGACAGGATGAGCAATACAACGAGTAGACTGACATTATCGTTATCTAGGAGATGAGGAGCGTAGTCACAGACATTGCAGGCGAACTTTCGCATCTCTTCGAGTTCTTTGGTGTCTGTGCAATTGATGAATCTCTCAGCCATCGAGAAAGGTCTCACCATGTCTCGGCACATGTGATTTTGTAAGACGTTTGCGACTGAGCTTACCGAGACAGGATAAATACTATCGCGATCAATGGCGTTAGTAGCTGTCGAGGAAACCGTGCCCGCGATGTAAATGATCTCTATGTCATCCCAAGGTCCACGAGGAATCTTCTGGTCCTTAAGAGCGTTAGATTGCTTGAGAGCGTCCTCTTGTCTGACCGCAGCTTCTCGTGCAGCCTTAACAGCGTCTCGCGGGGTGAATACACCATGTTCAGCAGCGAGGGCGACAGAGTCCTTATGCATTTCAAATTTTGAAAGTTTGCGTTCGACATCAGGAGAGCGGATCCAATCTTCAGACCACGGCTCCTCAGCAAGGACCTTGTAGAAGACCTTGGTGAGAGCGCGCAGCTTGATTTCTTGGTCAGACAGGTGACGCTTCCCAAAATAAATCTCATCGGTGTCGACATAGGCTGTCTCAATGAAAGACTTCCGATCCTTTTGGGTCAGCTGGCTTCTCGCAGGGTCATTCTTCCATTGCTGGATGATGTGCATGAACTTGGCGTGAAAGATATCATCGAAATGCTTAGACACGGGTTGTGGTGGTGCAGCTGTGAAAGGGATAAGAATTAAAGTTTAGTTTGACGTGCAATCGATATCTTACATCTTGACGAAGGTCGCTGTTGGGGTGTCGTCGGTGAAGCGGCAGCAGCATCCTGGGTAATTGGGGCAGGTGACATGGTACTGCGAGCGCGCAATACGACTTGATATAAAAGAGCCGTAAGTCGCTATGAACGGCGAAAGAGGAATCTTAGCGATGGGGATCGATGAGATTCCGGCGTGGGAGTCCTGGTTGGGTTGACAGCTGCGGGGTGGTTGGGGTGCTTGCAGATCGAGGTGACGGGTGGAAAACATTCACGCTCGCGTAACTAGCGTGAAAGTTGCTCTTGGCAGAGCCTAAGCGGGCCTAGGAAAACGTCATAGCTCCACGAAACTCATAGCTATTCGCAGCGCTCAACGCATATAGCTAATGCTGTGTACTTGCCAATTCACAGTCCTTCTTCCGCATGATTCGTACTCTTCGGATGAGGTAGGCATGATAACCTCGACAGCACGCTTGTAGAACTCGTTGTATTCCTGATATACCGCCAACACTCTTTTGCGTGTTTGTCTCAATCATTTTTTTATTCAGTCGTCTTCTCAGTTCGCCGTCATTAGTCTGGTTCTTGTATATAGGACAAGTGGATGTATTTGCTACCTCAATACACGCCTTCGAGGCTCATTGTAGACAGAGTTTTATCCTCTCCTGATCAATGTCCCGTAGACAATCGTACTCCTGATGGTAACTGTGTGATAGCCGTATCCATTATGGCTAAGAATGCAGGTATCATAACGCCCGTTAAGCATTCCTCTGTATGTCGCCCTTTTCACCTACGAGTAAAGTGAACCTTTTAGACCCCTGAATTTCAAAATCATAGTGAGGTGTCAAATCGAATCGTACTCTTCAGCTATGCGTCAACATTGGCATAGTGAAGTACCTAAGGTGTTAGACGATACAGCTGGCGCTCATTGAGCGAAACTTGTCGATCGTAACTGGTCCCAGAAAAGCCAATCGAGCCGCACCAACTTAATCATCTTCTAAGCATGACATTTAGCAAAAACCAACGTCAACCGTCGGTTGCAAAGGTAGTAACATCAAGAATCCGAGCAGCGCCCCGCTTTGATCGAGTCGCTATCGATAATTGCGATGATCTTGCTTGCGAGGTGACAGACGATTTCATGTTCAACATTTTTCTGGATTATTGGCCTGATTGTCATGACATTCATGCATATAGAGAAGGGCAGCAAATGTGAGATGCGTGGATTCTGGCGGAAAAGACTGCAGGAGCGTGGTTTGGGAAGGGGGCGAGAAAGGCATTTTCATACGACTGAGCACCCGTGCATGAAGATCCTGTGGGTGTCGTAAAACCACTCACTTCCTAGATTTCAATAATCAGGTTGTAAGTATGCAGAGATAGAGAAGTTGAGAGCCAACTAGTTGAACATGACTCAATCTAGCAGTGTGTGATGTGAGATGCAAGTTTGGACCTAAGATGTAATGTACCGACCGCCTTTCACTACTACTACGTTTTTCAGCCATGCAACTCAGCGTATTTGAGCTTCCTACAACATTTCCAGATCTTCGTCATTTGATACTCGCCATTCAAAAGATGAATGGACTCACTATCTCGATGGTGGTCAACGCCATTCTCGCACATACACTCTCCTGTTATTTGACTATGCTGCCTCCTCACTACGCCTGATGAGAATTAGTTAGCACCCCACGAGTGCATACACGTCATCATCCGTTTTTGAGCTTACATTCGCCTGTTTGACTCGCGAAGGCAATTCTAGCCCGAAATGTAGTACACCACTCATAAGAGCGCCCAGAACGCCTTTGTTTGTATTGGCGCTTTACGATGATGTTATTTATTACTAGAATAATGAAGACCACTCTCCCTTTCGAGACTAGACTTAAGTAGCCTCACTGACGATGAGCTTAAATGATATCCAAGATGAGATTCGTGATTCTAAGGTGGTAATTACCTTAGTCCTATTTTAACATACAAAGTACATAAACCGAGACCGTTCAAGGAGCGAAATCAGTAACACGATAAGAGCACAGCGCACGCCAATGTCAAGTTTGCAAAGTACATCGAGCGGCTTGTTGCCTTAAAGTTCCAGCACAGATGCACTCACAGACAAACCGGTTTGTACTGCAATCGATTAGAGGTGGTCTTACATGCGCCTGAGTCGTTGCTATGTCACGTAAAGAAGGTGTACATAAGAGTACCGTGCTCGTCGTACCGGAAACAACTACAACATATCCATCTATGTTGCTAGTAGTGGTTCTGATAAACTCCAGCACTGGAGAGATGGCAGCTCAAAGATTGGAGTCTTCATCTAAATACATACCGAAGCAATGCGCAAGAATATGCATAGTTGAATGGTATGCCAACATGGAACAATCAAAACAATCCACGTGGCCCAGTATTCACCATATTTGTGGCTTTGTCTCTACATTAGTCGAAAGTACTGATCTCTGCCTGGACGATGTCGACACATCCTGAAACGTCGAACGCGGACTGGCCTGGTGCTCTTGAGAACACTCTTCCTTCAGTAATTTTGCTATGAGAATCTGCTCTTGATACTTCCAAAATGCTCTACTACTGTCATCGGGAATCGATTAACATATCTGGCACAATCCAAGTTGAACTGTTTGCGAGCCGAGCATTCACCGCCAAGCTACTTCTACCTCTCAAAGTGAACCCCTCTTGACTTCCCTCTTCAACACTTCACTCTTCAACAACGACATCCTACTTCACCACCGACCGCAAGTATGCAGCTAAACGGGTTTGAACTCTTTGCGCTGTCAGTCTGCTCGTGCCTGCTCGGCACATGTTTGTTTGTCTGGCGCAATGTTTGTTATCTGGACGTCAATCTGCTGTTTGCACACTCACATCTTCAGATCGCCGACAGGATCAGCGATCGAGAAATATCGCTGGTCTTCGCCATCTATGCAGCTCTCGCTCTGAGCATGATAGTATCGCTCCGCAGCGAAAAGACCCTTATCGAGTACATCTCCGGCGATGCGAAGAGGATCTCGGACAGCCAAATCATTGAGCTCCAAGAAGCACATCGCAAGCGCATCGCATCCCTCAAGTACGAAAACCAGACCTGCCAGCGACAGCTGCAGTCGAGCCTCAATCGTGCGAACGCCAAAATTGACCGCATCAACCACGAGTTCGACTGGGTAACCGACATGTACCAGGATCAGATGCGCGTCGCACAAGAGCAGGACGACCGTATAACCTACCTCGAGACCAAGCTACAGGAAACCGGTCAACGTTCGCCTGCGGTTCACGCTCCATTTTCCGCACCATCTTCCCAGATCAACTTTGCCAATCCACCTCGCCGCAACCGCTCGCTCTTGGCCGTCGGGAACGCATCATCCATAGTCTCAAGCCCGCTAGCCCAGGTTCCGGAGAATGCGGCAGAGTAGGCACGCCCATGTTTGTTCAATTTCAGTGGAATCGACAAGGTCGGGCTAGACGGTTGGCTATGCAGACGATAGTCATGTATCAGGTGCGGTTATTCTAGCTTCCGCTGGGTGGGCGAGAGGATTCCGTGACTGACGGTGTCTGTTCTGGGGAACTTGCCTTGTCATAGAATGAACATACATTACCCAATACAATCCTGAACATACTATTGTATTTGATGCCGTGATGCTAATCACATAGGTCTGCTTTTGTACCGCGGCGGTGTTGCACGATGGGAAATTCTTGCCATGTTGCCCAATGTAATGTTTGATTACTGTTAACAAAAACGTCCGTGACGAAAGCTTTCGCAGCACGTGGGCTGGTTGATCGTATGTTATTTCGAATCTCGGACAGGAACCTGTCGCAACTCTTCGTGGCAAGGTACCTGCATCACGGTTCCACTGCCGCGAAATAGGCTGAACGATCACTGCTGACAGCGTGAGTGCCCCTACTTTGTCCAATTTTACACTCTGCAGACATATGCAGCACATATATCAATCTACTGTGACTCCATAAAATACTACCATACCCTTCGCAAGCGCACATGATACTATAAGTCGAGTGTACTCAAAATCATTCAGTGTAGTCACCGGCAATAAGTGCACCTAGATTTCTTCCTGATGACCGCACCACCCTGCTCGACATCGGTCCTGGCCATTATGGACCTGGAGAGAAGCGGACATGAGTGTTGGAAAGGGTAGAGAAGGTGAGCGTCTGGGATTAGCGAGGAACGATATCGAAATCACATATGGGGATTGAATGAACGACGAAAATTTGAAACGAGACGATATCAACAACCAGGATACAATGGTGTTGGCACGTGCATGTTTGAGTATGAAAAGTTGCAAGCAACAAAGATGGCAATGAACAATCGATGACTTTAAAACTACTGATAACATGCGCATTTCAAGGAACGCAACGTGATTACACAAAAAGCTTGTGACCATGGTACTTAACGTTGTCCACATATTGGGATGAGGCGACCGATTTCGTACGTTCGGGAAAGCCCTTGAAGGAGCGAGCGTAGGTGGCAACCGAATGGGCGATAAGCTGCATGGCGTTAGAATACATCAACACCACATGCGGGATAGGACTGACCTTTGTGTTGACAACCCATGATGTCATGTTCAGATTGCCCACGTCATCGCAGAGCTGGTGGTAGCAAGGATCATACCAATCTCCAGCCTTGCCTCCAAACATCTTCTCTTCCTCCTTTGTCTTGATGCCCTCAGCGCCAGTCGCGATACCGCCACCAGGGATACCGTTGCGGATGAAGCCGTCGTAATCACTGCGGCCATCGAAAGGAATAAAGGTATAGTCCAGTTCCTGCTGTTCGTACCAGTCGATATATAAATCACGCAGTTCCTCAGATCCGTTGGGATTGAGAGCATTGGTAGCGTTGTAGATCTGATACGCGAAGTTAGGGCTGGCCATCATGTCGTAGTCCATGAAGAGTCGGATCTTCTGATTCTCTTCTTCGGGCAGCGATGCGACATAGTAGTCGGAACCCAACAATCCTTCTTCTTCGCCTGCCCACCATGCAAAGCGGACACAGTTGCTGACGTTGAACTTGGTAAGCTGGGTAGCCACCTCGAGCAGGGAAATGGATCCGGAGCCGTCGTCGTTTATGCCTGGACCCTCGGTCACGCTATCGGAGTGCGCTCCAAGCATAACGCAGTTTTCAGGGTCGCCCTCTGTTGTTTGAGCGATGACGTTGACGGTCTCAATCTGAGAGACGACAGAGTCGATGTACGCGATCGCGTCGACGCGTTTCTGCTGCTTCAGCTTCTCAACGATAGGCTCGGCCTCCTCGCCAGAAAGCCCGAAAGTGGCAATGTGATCTGGGGATGGGGATCCCAGCGTGCCATGGACAGCATCCTTTTCGTAGTTGTACACGACAGCTGCGACGGCTCCTTTAAGTCCAGCATGTTCGGATTTAGTACCAAACGGACACACACCGCGTTTGATGAACGCGATGTTGCCGGCAACGGAGTCAGGATAGTCCGATGCTTGACAGCCCTCGTTCTCAACAAGGACGAGGTCGCCATGTACGGGCTCTTTATCCTTAGTTGGCGGCGTCAGAGCCAGAGCTGACGCAGATTTGGGAACCCCATCACCGATGACGAGACGCGACTCGAAGACAGTACCAGACACGGCGGGAAATGATTGATTCGAGATGGTATAGTAGTCTCCGAGCTCAAGAATGGTCTCATATATGTAGGATAGCGTCCCGAGATGGCCTACAAGATGATCAGCAACCAGGGACATGATGACGCGCGCGTATTCTTACCATCACTGCCGATGACTCTAGTGGGGTGGTTGTACTCTTCTTCACCCAGCTTTGCAATCTCATACAACTTTTTCGCCCTTGTCATGAGACGATCCCCACTGATGAGGTTCTGGAGCTCTGTGGAGTTGACCAGGGGTTTCGTCTCATGTCCGTTCTCGATAGGCGCCTCATGAGACCATAGCAGCGGAACTTGTAACGCAGTCGCGCCCGTTACAACTGCGCAAAGCGCGGCAGCTGAGGAGAGCACCATCTTGACAATACAAGTGATGGATGGAGCTGGATGTGTGATGGTCAAGTGCTGGCTGAGTGAAGGATGAGCGGGTCGGTTGCTGGGACGCCCGCCGAGACCGCGCCAGCACGCGCCTTCCCCAGATAACGCCTGTGCACGTGCTGATATCCACTGTAATTGTAAACAGCATTGTACCTCTGTTTTGATCTTGGACAGGAACGGGGCCACGACAAGTATCGGAGCTATTCGTGAATATGGTATCAGGCTGTGGCTGGGATTGTTCACACGTGTCTGCGAGCTCCGACGAGCACATTCTCAACTGAACGGTATCTAGTCGTGGCTCTGTTTCCGGTGAGAACACATCAGATCCACATTTGTAGGCTACACCGCATATCGCAACCCCACCCAGAGCGTGATACAGTCTGGCGGAACGGTCTGTCATCCTTTCTGTGGTGTGCAGACAGAAATACGACTTGTATGGTATGGCTGCACTGACATCACGGGGCGTGAAATGTGAAACTTGGTCTTCGCAAAGCCAAGGGGCTTCAAGCACATTAAGCATCGCCAGAGCAGTAGGGGAGGCTTGGTGACGTGCGCTTGCAGAACAAAAGGTGAAGCTTGACAGCGAATAGTACGTTTCGGAGGATTCACGCCTCCCCAGATTGGTGAGCTACAGCGTCCCTGCAGCAAGGTGATTGGTGCTTGAATGACTGAGTGGCTATGCTGAGCAGGGATCTGCACGGTCGCTGCTGTGTGCCCCATAACAAGGAAGCCCAAATTCACCCGTCATGGCGCCGAATTCTAGACTATTATGGCTGCTGGAGCCCTTGTTTTTGAGCATTTCCTCCTCTCCCTACTCTGCCTCTCTCTTCGACTGCCGTTTGCACACTGGAAATCAACTGTATTGTGATTTCTGCGCGCCCCTTGAAATACATCGCCCACGTTCCTGGAGACGCCGCCAGTGCTCATAATCAACACACACGCGTTAGATTCAATGGCGACTCACCGAACCGCTCACCCCGAACCTACGTACGCACCCGTGATGGGTCGGCGCTCACGATCGCGGTCTCGCTCCGCGCGACCTACGCGAGAGAGTAACGAGAAGACCGCACGAGCAGTCCAGCCACACTACTCGCGTAGCCACAGACGCAGGCGCCGTAACGAATTGCCATCATACAACCACAATGGGCACAAAGTCGACAAGGGCATCCACCCCGATGGTGAGAGCGGACGAAGGGGCATTAACCCATTCAAATTCGTCAAAATCTGCTTTAAGAGTACGAGCACGCTGTCCATGATGACAAACCTTCTATGGCCTGTGGTTCCCGTCGGAATTGCCTTGGTATGATTCGTGTTAGAAGCTTTGTAAAAGCCATACTGATAATCATTGCAGCATTTTGTAAGGCCGGAATGGCACCTTGCAATCTTCATCACTAACTACATCGCCATGATCCCTGCGGCTAACATGCTTGGTTTCGCCGGTCAGGAGTTCTCGCGCAAGCTGCACCACAAAGCAATTGCCGTGGTTGTCGAAACTACGTTTGGATCTGTTGTCGAGCTCATTCTGTTCATGGTCTTGCTGAAGACGTCTGATGGCGATCACAACGTGCATGTCATCAAGGCGGCCATCCTGGGATCCATCTTAGCTAACATGTTACTGTGCTTGGGGACATGCTTCATCGCGGGTGGTCTCAAGAACGACGTTCAGGAATTTCACGAGGTTGTATCCGAGTCTGCTAGTGGATTGATTCTTGTTGCCTCTGGTAAGTTGGACAATGCGCTGTGTAATGTGTATAGCTAATCCTCGCAGTGGGCTTGATTCTTCCGGCAATTTTCTACCAGTACCTGGTCAACAATGCTGATTACGACGGCACCGCCCAGCTGATCACCTACAACACTTTGAAGATCTCACGTGGTGTGGCCATCATCTCCCTCATTGGATACCTCATCTACATAGGATACCAGACAATGACGCATGACGGCCTGTTTCATGAGATTTACGAGGCCGACGAGCACAAGGACGCGGACCGTCATGCGGAGCTCGCGAAGCCGAAGCTTACAATGACAGAAGTCCTCCTCGCCCTTCTGATCTCGTTAGCCTGTGTTTCCCTGGTCGCAATCTTCTTGGTGCAAGAAATCCCATTCATGGTAGAAGAGCATGGCGTCAGCGATGCATTTGTTGGTCTTATACTTGTTCCCCTTGTCGAGAAAATTGCAGGTCAGTACATAACTCTCTCGCGAATGTGTCACAACTAACATCTTCAAGAACATGTTCTCGCTATCGACGAAGCCTATGACAACCAGATCAACATGGCCCTCGCCCATGTCATGGGTGCCTCGATCCAGACTGCTCTGTTCAATGCACCGCTTGTTGGTACGTTGTGCTACCCATTCACCAAGACAAGGTTACTAACTCGAGGTAGTTTTGGTTGGCTGGGGTCTTGGTTTCCATATGGACTACAACTTTGCCATATTCGACGCAGCTGCACTCATTCTATCAGTGTTAGCAGTAGGCAACTTTCTGCGCGATGGCAAATCGAACTACCTCGAAGGCATGTTGTGTGTCATGGTATACGTCATCATCGCCATCTGCGCGTTTTACTTCCCGGATCCAGTGTCCAGCACCGCCGCCAGCGCCGAAGGTCATTAAGTAAGAGCCGACTATTTGTAAAACGTAGTCAGGCTGATTTGAGACTTTGACGGATAATTCTCCTAAGAGATGGTGTTTTGCGAAACGAACGTCGCCAGCATTGATTGCGTCTGAAGCACGGGCTGTTTGGATGGGTGATGCAGCAATGCAGGCACTGATCTCATTGCGAGTTTGTTCAGCGAGTGATTCTTTTTTAGCGGGCGTCAATGGTGTGTTGCTTCCAAATGTCTGAATGTCTGTAGTTTTAGCGAGCGCATAATACCAACCTTGATGATCGATCATTGCATGGATTGGTTTTGTCTATAATCGTGCTTGTCGCCTGTCCCAGTTTTTGACATCACGGTTGTGAGAGTTCACGCTATTTCCGATTGAGTCTAGCGTCGGTGCGGAGAAATAGCACACCGCGCACAAGCGAAGGTCGAAATCAATCAACAATACCAATACCCCGACAGCGACAACTAACCCACAGCCACCGCCCACTGCCCTCTTCCCACCGACTCTTTCGCAAATTCACACAAAGTCGCCAAAATGGGTCGCGTCCGCACGAAGACTGTCAAGAAGTCCGCCAAGGTCATCATCGAGCGATACTACCCCAAGCTCTCGCTCGACTTCGAGACCAACAAGAGGATTTGCGATGAGGTGAGCTGATTGAAGGACGGATGGGGTAACGTGACCATGGAGGCTCATACGTGAGACAGATTGCTATCATTGCCTCGAAGCGTCTGAGGAACAAGATCGCCGGATACACAACCCACTTGTACGTTGAACCTCGTTGCGCAGGACATACTGGGATGAAGTACTATGGGGAAGCAATTGAGGGCTGTTGGTCATCTGGGATGATGCAGAGTACTTGCGCGGGGACGCTTTGGGTCACTGCGCAAGCTTGCACTTGCCATCTCCCCAGTTTCCATCTGTCTACCAATGTGCTTCCTTATGCTGCGCCCGACCTCTCCGCAATGCCTTGTTACCTCACCATTGTCTAACACACTACAGGATGAAGCGTATTCAACGTGGTCCTGTTCGCGGTATCTCCTTCAAGCTCCAGGAAGAGGAGCGTGAGCGCAAGGATCAGTACGTTCCCGAGATCTCGGCCCTCGACTTCACCCAGAACAGCGAGTCTGGTGCCCTCGACGTCGACCAGGAGACCAAGGACTTGCTCAAGAGCTTGGGCGTATGTCCCTCCCCTCCGTCTAGTACATGAGCGATTGGAACTGACATTTTCTAGTTTGACTCCATCCCCACCAACGTCATTGCCGTCTCCCAACAGCAAGTTGTCGAGCGTGGCCCTCGCCGCTTCAACGACCGCCCGGCTCGCACTTAAATGTTCGACCTGGTCCTCTTTTCCTCTTCGATTTGCTGAAAATATGGTGCTTGGGATTCGGATACCGCCACAATGGCACGGTTTTATGGCTATATACGGCAGCATGATGACTAGGAGTCAATGAAAAGGTTCTCTCCCCACCAGGTGTCGCCGAGTCTGAACGTCGCAAGATGTGAAGACGACGCTTGATTGCCATATTCCCTTTCCCTTGTGCAGTGACTATTGACGCGGATGTAACGTGTTGTAACTCGTACAGGCCAAGCAGGTGAGTCTCCTTATCCGCTGCCCTTGAGTTGTGTTCATAGCATCACGCCGCTGAAGGTAAACTCAAGAAACATCCGTATTTTTTATTCCATCTCGTCATTCGTTCCCGTCTTTACCATCATTTGGACCTCTCCAAATAAGTATTCTTTCATTCCTTCGTTATACCTCTACACGCTCGTGCCTATCAATATCATATTTGTGTGACTGTAAGGTATTCTCGCAGTAAAGGCAGAAGTCTTGATGTTCGTTAAGCCCTTGTAAGCATTTAACGCCTTGATCGCACTTATTAAGTCGTTCATAGCTTCAGGTTGAATATCCATAACTCAGTGTGTCCCTAAAAATCCCATGCCGCGTGTAGAATAGGTATTGCATACTTTAGTAGACCTTCATTTCCTTCCTTTCGATGAGCCGATGTCTCATGGCCAAGCACCTGAATAAACCCTTGCGGAAGTCCCCGCCAGGGAAACTCTCTCTTTCTCCACGCTTGACTCTATAGAAGTAGCCCTCTTCTTGGCAATCGGTTTGACGTTACGTTCCACCGACCCAGCATTGAGTACTGCTCTTCGCAGACTAGACGAGTCCATTGAATCACTCGTTCCTAAGTGAGGAGTCTGGCGAGCAGTGATTGCGGGCTCTGAGTGGACTGAGCACGCTCGGTGACTGACAACAACCAGTTCCGGGCTACTATTGGAGGAGCCCGTTCGCTCCTGTGCGTCAGCGGTTGAAGAGTGCGAGCAGTTATGGAATCTTTGCAAACAATCTTTCCACGCCGTTCGATGCCGATCTGGTTGGTGAATGGGACCAGGAAGCTGCACATCTCCCTCGTTGCAGGAGGCGTTTTGGGGCGGTTGTGGAGCGTGACAGCGGCGATGACGGCGTGTTACCATAAAGACTATGAGGAGCACAATAATACTCATAATGCCGACTACGCTGCCAACAATCTTTGAAGTAGTACTCGCCTAGTGAGTGTGTTAGACTGATTATGTGTTACAATGGGCTTTTGGTAGTGTCAAAGTGAAGTAACATAGATGTCTTTGTCGTATGTGACGATGGATCGAAGGGCTCTTACATTCATGTTATCACCCAGGTGACTGTCTTGTCGTTGAAAGTTTTGAGATGAAGGGTTGGAGTACAACAGAGGAGGTTTAGATCAGTAGCTAAGTTAAGCTGGTGGTGTGCGAGTGATGGAAGATGTATATGAATCTATTTTTTTTCCAAGCGGCTGCCTGTGTCGCGAGGTTTTCACTTACAAACACGCGGCTACCTGCATCGTTGTACATATGTACAATGAATCACTTCCAGTTCTGTAGGTCTCGTTGTACTACTTGACGGGATGTAGCCACCCGGTCCGTGTCTCGAGCTAGGTAGAGATCCTGTCGAACACAAAGCTTACAAATGAGATGAGTCAAAATTGATTCTCATAACACCATATGGGTGATTCGGTGAAACCCGAAACTTTCATGTTTTACGAATAACGATTTCCACGATTAGCAAGCTGTCTCGGGCGGTCCAAATCGTGCACACAGGATAAATCTTTTCAGCGCGATTTTATTGAGTAGATATACTACGGTATACTAAAAAGCAAGCCATCGACAAACTCTGATTGAAGATACTCGTTTCAAAGACCTGTATATAGCAACGTCTTTCAGTATACATGACACCATTCCCCTGATATGACATTCCTCTCGCTCCGCTTTGCCCCCAGAGGCTAAGTTTCTTGAACGAACTATAACTGAACCAAAGCACGATGTTCGAGCTGTGTATCTTGTTTAGTTGGTGGAGTCGTAGTAACCATTAACGCTTGCTACATATCAGTTGCGCTGGTTTGTGCGCACGAGAAAGGCGTCTTGAAATACCACTGGATCAACCAATTTCGGGATGTTAAGATCGTGCCAATAATGTAACATATTCTTTCGACCTGACTTACTTGCGAACCTAACTTACCACCGAGGGATCATGCGTGGACAAGTATTGATAGTTTCTGAATTCGCTGGACGGCGGGAGAACGTGCATACTATCTCTTCAAACAAGACTGCGATTGTATATGTACCTTTCAAATAACGTCGCTCTTAGATTACTCAAACATCTATCAGATCTCGTTCAAAGTTATAGCCGGTAACCAACTTCACTGCGAGCAAAGGGAAATGAACCATGGGGATCTTGTAGCTTCCCTAAGTCGCGAAACGAGTTCGCTAGATAAAGACGAGCCCACAGGGTGTACATGCCAACAAAAGCTTGATTTATCTTACAATCTGACATCTTGCGGGGTGAGCCATAAGAAAGTGGTTCAGATTACTCTCCTAAATTTAAGATGACGCATTGTTGAACAATACGAAGAAGATAGGAAGGAGATACTGTAATGCAAAGGGACTGAGCTTTGGCCAGATTTCGTGTATTTGAAGTACCAGATGTGTAACGCGTCTTGTCGAACTCACTTGAATGAACATAGCAGAGGCGGGGCCGAGGAGTCGTACTAAGTATCAATGGCAGATATACGTACTTCTTAGTTCTTTCTGTCTAGTCACAAGCATATGATCCAACAGTAATAATCCGGGATGATGTGTTATGAACATCTGATAGTCGATCAGCATCAGATCAACGGGACGTTCTAGTCTTCACGATGATGCCACAAGAAGTCCTATCCAATTAAGAATCCCATTCCCAAATGTTGTGACGCTTGTTTGTTTGCATTCGGCACGCTGAAAACGATGGTGTTAGATCTGTTGACGTTGAAATATGTGAACAATGGGCAAGCACATGTCTTTAATATGAAATCTAAGGCTGTAATGGGCAGAAAAGGAGGAGCACCTTGAATCCTACCACATGAACTGTTTCTTCGGCCCAATGATGGAACATGACTTATGAAATCTGAATCTTCTAATAAGAATGTCCACGATGTAAAGTCACAAGACGATAGTAGCGTAGTCAGAGGTATATCACAGAAGGCCTGGTATGAGGAGGGTAGTAAGATAGAAACGATAACCTTGACCAACATCAATGATGCCCCAAAGCTATCAATGCCAGTGAGATGTATCGTTTGTAGAAGGCGATATTGGCAGGACAAAACTTTCGAAAAGCACGTTGATAAGAAATTGGTGAGGGCATGTTCTATCGTCGTACAAATATGGGATCTTGTCATAATTACGTCAAGGAACGTGTTGATCACCAAACCTGTTCAGGAGGTAGGATGCCTTCAAGAATCGAACCAATCTTGAGATTCTCGTTACATAAACGTGAGCTCTCGCGAAAGTAATCAGGTTCTATTTCTTTAGTACGGCAACAAGCCTGATAGCAACTATCATCTTTTATTCATTCAAGCGCATCCCGTTTCTCCGGCTTTGGCAAGACCTGTGCGATAAGCAGGCATGCTAAAGAATTGTTTACAGGACGATCAGTCTAACGGACCTATGTTCTCGCGGGCACAAATGATAAGCCAGGTTTTGACGACATATCTGCAGCGGTTCTGTTAACAGGCCATTATAGAGAAGAAAGTCAATGTGACACTAGTGATAATGGATGATAATAAACAAGTACTTGGGTGGCCTATAACCTCATAGTAGATAACAATAGGTGAAAGTACTTCCCCTATCGTACACGCTGTGAATTTTCTGTTGGCCGTATTTTCTGCTATGAAACTTGTGGCTACGTTTGAAGATAACTTAGGTTGCGAGTTCTCAAAATGTATAATAACCAAGATGCGATGTCCACGTCCGCCTAGAATATCAACAATAGATGTTACCGGTACCTCCTAGTCGCTTGTAATCAAAGGAAGTCAGGCGGAATGGCTGCCTGAACAAAGCTGCAATGTATGACCGCTTAGTCATCAGCCCCACACGTCATCAACTTGCTTCTACCAGTGAGCCAGTGAGCGCGGGAGAGCTCCACCATACTATGCGCATGAATCCTTGAGGGACAGTGTCAGTATGTAAAGTGTCATCTTACGAGGTGCCTGCCCCCTCACTATCTTAATTGATATAATATCGCACGCAAACGACTACACCTAGCAGCGTCCAGCCATGACAGAATACTTCCGCCTCACGGCCTCCCAGGCGCAAGCCAAGTTCAAGGATGAGTCTCTGAGTGTCGAGGAATACGCAAAATCGCTTCTATCACGCATCGAAGCACGAGACCCAGTTGTGCACGCATGGGCATACCTTGACCAGAAGCTCATCCTGCAACGTGCCCGCGAGCTCGACGGGATATCGCCAGAAAAAAGAGGCGTACTGCATGGCGTGGCGGTTGGAGTGAAGGACGTAATTCTCACGAAAGACATGCCAACGCAGCACAATTCGCCAATATATGAGGATGACGCGCCGAAGCTTGACGCAGCGAGTGTCATGTTGTTGAGGGCCAACGGGGCTTTAATCTTCGGTACCGCTCGTGGACGTCTTCGAGGAGCACTATGCTAATGGCGAACAGGCAAGACGACAACGACTGAATTCGCAGCAACAACAGTCGGACCCTCGCACAAAGGTCCCAAGACGGCGAATCCACATGATCCCTCGCGTACGCCCGGCGGCTCATCGTCAGGCTCAGGCGCAGCAGTCGCCGACTTCCAGGTCCCTGTCGGACTTGGGACTCAAACGGGAGGCAGCACGATACGGCCAGGCTCGTTCAATGGTATCTATGCGATGAAGCCAACGTGGAACTCAATATCGCGCGAGGGCCAGAAGCTTTACTCGCTCATCTTCGACACTCTTGGCATATATGGGAGGAGCATAGACGATATAAAGTTGCTCCTTGATGCTTTTCAGCTTGTCGATGACGAGCCTGTGGAGGACATCCAGATTAAAGATGCCAAGTTTGCTCTGCTTTCATTTCCTACACCCGAATGGCCTGAGCTTGGTCCTGGCACTGTGGCTGCCCTCCAGAAAGGCGCGCACCTGCTTCGAGCTCACGGAGCACTTGTCGAAGAGATCACACTTCCTGATGAGTTCCGACATATGAATAAGTATCACCTGCAGGTTCTCTCTGGCGACGGTCGCGTTGCCTTTCTGGCCGATTACACTACTTCGAAACATCACCTCGACCCCTCCATCGTTGCCCACGTTGAAAATCATGACAAATACAGGCGAAAAGAGCAACTTGTCGCCTTCGATTCCCTTGCTGCAATGCGGCCCAAGCTAGACATGTTAGCAAATAAGTACACGGCCATCATTGCGCCCAGTGTTATCGACGAAGCGACGGAGGGACTTGAAACAACAGGGAACGCTGCGTTTTGTGCGCCCTGGACAGCTATGCACATGCCCGTTCTGAACGTGCCAGGGTTCAAGGGAAACCATGGGTTGCCGGTGGGGTTGAGTCTCGTAGCTGCTAGATATCGGGATCAGCATCTGCTGGAAGTATGTAGAGTAGTTGGAAGGTTGTTTGAGGCTGAGGGTGGATGGAAAACAGGTCCCTGAGGGGCATTAGCATAGTTGTCAAGCTTTTGTTGCTTCTCAATAGAGGGGATTCGTCTACCAGACTATGTCTAAAGATTACAACCATGTTTTCGGCTGTAGCCTGTGTATTGGATAACAAAGCGAGAACGACATTTTCAAAAAGCTGACATCAGCAAGACCTAGCATTCGGCATCCGAGATCTCCGGGCCGCCGCTATTACATCATATATGTTCGGACTACGATCACACATCATACTAGCGGACTGTAGGTATATAGTTCTTAGACTTTACCCTACACTCGTCGAGGATTTCCGATCTAACATTGTCCGGACTCGCAAGCGATACCTGGATTAGTACCGTCATCATGTCCACCAGTCCTAACCTTAGTGTCCTAATATGCGGCTCTGGCATCGCCGGACCTACTCTCGCATTCTGGCTTCACAGGTTTCTCCCTTCAAGTAGAATTACCATTCTTGAGCGAAGCCCAGTACCTCGACATGGAGGACAAGCGGTAGATCTTCGTTCTGCCTCCGTGCCAATTGTGCAACGCATGGGTATTATGGATGCCATAAGGGCCAAGACGACAACCGAACAGGGTGTGGAATTCGTGTATGCCGACGGAATCAGGAAAGCAAGTTTTGGGGCGTCTGGAAATGTCGAACAGCAGAGCAGTGAGTGCAGGAGATTGGAACATGATCACAAAGATACTGAGTAGAGACAGTGACCTCGGAATTTGAGATCTTGAGAGGTGACCTTGCAGAGATACTAATGGTCGTTACGCAAGACATACCTGAAATCGAGTATGTGTTCGATGAAATGATGATATCCGCCTCAGAGGAACCGAGTGGTAAAATCACAGTCAAATTCCAGAACAGACTGCCAACAGCACAATATGACCTCGTTGTCGGCGCGGATGGAATGATGTCTCGCACTCGCCGCTCGGTTTTTGGACACGGCCCAGATGACAACGACTACCTGCGTCGCCTAGGACAATACGCCGCGCTCTGCACTATACCGCGCACCGCAGATGACACCGACTTTGCACAGTGGTATAATGCAGCCGAGGGCCGCTTGATACTTCTTCGCCCTGATCAATATGGTACTACGCGTGCATATATCGCTGTTACCGATGCGAACCTTTCGCGCTTCGACGAGATTGACAAATTGATGAGGGAAGGCGGGAAGCAAGAGCAGATGAAATGGTTTGAGGAACAGTTCCGGGGCGCCGGATGGCAGACTGATCGCGTTCTTGAGGGCATGAGAAAGTCAGAAGACTACTATATGCAGGAAATTGCACAGGTGAAGATGGACTCGTGGGTCAAGGGAAGAGTGGTGTTGGTTGGCGATGCGGCTTTTGCGCCCAGCCCAATCTCAGGAGTCGTGAGTATCCAACGGACCACTTATGTTCCTATGCTGACATGCACCAGGGTACGGGATCAGCAATTGTTGGCGCGTATGTTTTGGCTGGCGAACTCTCTAAATCACCGGAGGATATACCACGAGCTCTCAAGCAGTACGAGGAGATTGTGAGACCATACGTGGATAAGGTACAGAGGCTTGTCCCTGGTGCGCCGCAAGTTGCCAACCCGCAGACAGCGTGGGGTGTCTGGGCGTTCAATACAGCTGCTGGTGTTGCTTCTCTTCCAATAGTAAAGAGATTTGGCGGGCTGTTAGGGTCGTTGTTGCCTGCTTTTGGGGGTACAAATTGGCCCTTGCCTGATTACCATGTAGGATAATGCCACAAAAGGCGGAATGAGGGTAAAGTAAATAGTAAAACCAAAGTAGAATGTAGATGTGTCGCAACAATATTGTTAAAAGACGCGTAATAATCTATTTGTTAATTAGCGTGTTTGGAGAAGTAAAAAATAATAAAGACAACAGCTTATAATACTTAGTAGATAGATAATTATTATACTAAACTATATAAATTGAATAGGATTTAATATAAACGATAGTCTACGTTATAAACCTTAAGTAAGTCTTATAAAAACTTAAAATACACTTAAAAACCTATTTACGAATATATTAGTCTTTTAACTATTATACTATGTTTAGTCTAAAATATAGGGATAAGTAGACTAGATTCTTAAAAGTAATAATTCTGTATTATAGATAGACTAATTTCTTAATGTTTATTTTCTACTATAGTAATTTAAGTTTAAGCTTCTTATAAGCTAGCTTATTTATTCTTAGTAGTATTATTAGATCTTTAACTATAATAAGTGTTAGTTTCCTTATACTAGTTATATTTTATTATTAAGTTATTTTTTAAGTATAGAGTATAACGTTACTAAGATTTCTTCTATTAGTAACAGTTTCTGTCTATATTTAGACCTATTATATTAGTATACAGACGTTAATTTCCTAATTTCTAATAATTTAACTAATTAATAAAATTATAACCTATTGTTTAAAAAAATAGGAAATATAAGTAAAATATAGAGTAGCAGTAATAGTTAGCTTACGATAAAAACTTAAGAACTATATATAGTACAAGGTATAATGTATAAATATACTAAAATTATCTAGAAAGATTATATTAAAAGATATATTCTTGTTTATATATTCTTATATACGTGTTTCTATTTACGTTTAGTTTTAACTATATATACTAACTATTCTATAGTCTACTAGATAATACTTAAGAGTAAAGACCTTTAATGTACAACTAAAATTATAATATTGTATAAGTAAAATAGTATTATTATATTAGGGTTTAAGCGTATTTATACTTATTATAGAAGCAGATAAATATAATACAGTAAGACTATAGTAGAGTAACTTATTATAAAAGCTAATACCTAGCCCGTTAATATATAGTAAATATTAGTAAGATTATATAATAATAATAATATTAAAAAGTAAATTAACTATCTTTTAGTAATATTTTTAATTAATATACTAGTACAGATATATATTAAACAGCTTAAGTAACTATAAGTTAAGGTTTAGTTTAATTATAAACCTTAGTTTAGATTGTACACTATAGCTAGGTTATAAAGCTTTTTAAAATAACTAGTAATTTAAAATATATAACTAAGGCAGCTTTAGAGAGGTATAGGTAATAATAGTTTATATAGATAAGCCTAAATATAAATTTTCTTTAATACCTTAAGGCCTTTTAACTTATTTTTTCTCTTATTTTTAATATTATTTTACTATTGCTAAGATTAGATAACTATAATATAATACTCTTACTAAAGCTTAAACGTTAAAGTACTGTATATTATAGTACTTTAATTAAGTATAAACTACTATATATAATTTCTAATACTATTATACTACTTTTAATATTTATAGTAAGATTTTTTAGGACCTAGCTAGATAGTAAAAAGAGATAAAAGGTATTACTTAGTATAATAGTAATATATTTTATATAAAAGATCTAAATATCTAGTAGTACTTTAAAGTTAATATAAGGCTTAAAGTAAAAATTTGTAAAGTTATAGTTTAGCTTTTTTTTATATAAGTTAATAGGGCTAATAAAGCTTTTTTTAATTTTAAGCCTTTTTAAATTAACTAGCTTACTACTAAGTAGTAAAATAATACTTCTTTAACTTTAAATAAAAGCTACTTTAAGTTATCTAAAACTAGTTTTAAATATTCTAATAATAAGATAGTATTAGTTAAATTAATTAATTAGGTATATAACTTATATATACTATTAGTACTATAAGTAGTAAGTATTAAAGTTATTATAATAGTAGTTATAGTAGTATTAGTAATAGAAATAAGGAGTTAAGGGCTTATAACCTTTATCTAGATTAAGCTCTAGCTACTGTAGTAGGTAAAAATAGTAAAAACTTATTAATTATTAGAACCTCTACGTAAAAATGCAATAAAAAGATTATTTACTTACCTCTATTATTAAGAGATACTAAAAGGTATAAGCTTGGAATTATACTTAATTAATAATTCTATTAATATATAACTACTTCTACGCCTGTATAGGAGTTATTATAATAGTAATAAGACTTTTACTAGCGTCCGTAAGTTATAGCTAGCTATACTCTTTTAGTAGCTTAGATAATAAAATAATAGTTCTATAGTTTCTTAGATACTATTAGAAAACTAATAATACTTATAAAAAAACCTTATTCTAGTAAACTAATATAAAGGCCTTTTTCTTTTTTAATTCTACTTACTACTATAACCTTAGAGTATAAAAATATGTTAATTACTAGTATAAATTAAATAAAACTATCTATATATAAGTTATACTTAGTATAATAAAGCAGCTTAATGTAAATTTATTTGTAAAAGTAGTTAAATATATAGTAAAGTAAAAAAGATTTCCTCTAGTAGAGGCTAGTAGTATTAAAATAAGGTTTAAATTTCTAATTATCCTGCTCTGTTTTAAAACTCTACTATTCTATTGTCTAGTAGATTAGACCTACAGATTTTAGGCTAATTAGAGTAAGGCTTAGCGTTAGCAAGTTAGCGTTTTACTCTACTATACAAACTTTAAACTAGAAACTATTAAATCTACTTTCTATCTATAATACTAACTACTTACTTATAACTTATTTAATAATACTACTTCTTCCTATAATAGCTTTATATAGATATACTAATAATAATCTTATACTTAAAAAAGGCTTCTTTATATAAAAAACACAGCAGAAGCCTTTACCTATATACCTTAAAAGCTGTAGCAGGAATACTCTACTAAAATAGAAACTACTTATACTTAATAACCTTAATAATAAAGGTAGCCTATAACTACTTTACTATAATAGTAAGCTTTATAATTAAGCTCCTATTAAGCTCTTTAAGTTATTCTTTACTAATATTAAGATCTTAAAAATATATTACTATACTAACAAGAATACTTATTTTTAATGCCTGCTAGGTCTTACCTGATAATATATCTACCTATAGTATAAGGTAACTTTATAAAATCTTTAGTTACCTAGGTCTATAAATCTATATAGGTATTTACTATAAAGTATAAATTATAGACTATTAGTGCACTAATATATAATTTAAAGTAATTTATATCTATCTGCGTAAGATTATAAGCCTTATTTAATTTAAGTAGATTAATTATTACTTCTATATTATACCTCTATATAACGTTAATAACCTATTTAAGTATTTATTTAAATAAGTATAGAAGTTCTTTAAGTACGTCTATTACATTAGCTAACGCTACTAGAGCCTAAAGTAATATTTAGCTATAGATAAAAGTATAACTTACTTCTATAAGTATACTAAGGAGAAAACTATAATTAATTATAAGTTTAACTTAATAAAGTATAAAACCTAGTACCTTAGAAAGTCTAGGTATTAATTAAACTAGCTCTTTTATAGTTATAGTTTAAATAATAAGAATAGGCCTTATAAAATTAACCTAGCTTATATAGCCTTTAGCTTCTACCTAATAAACGCTCTTATACTTTATCTTACGCTTAACTACCTTACTAGTAATATTAATAAACAGCTACTTAAGCCTAATAAGTATATAATTTTTATAGATAACTTATTCTTATTAGTACTATTATTTAGGGAGTTATAATGTGCTAGGATTATAGTAGTAGGTACTATATAGATAGAGAAGACTCTACGTAAAATTAGTATAAAAGACCTTTCTTTATAAGTATCTTAAGTATTATAGTAGCTCCTAAAGCTCCTAATAAAATATAGAGTAATAACTTAACTATTAGTATTAATACTAGTACTAAAAAAACGTAGTTAGCTTAGAAAAAACGTGTTACTAATACCTATAATATTACTGTTACCTCTACCTATATAAGAGACTTAAAGTAGTTAAGAGAATACCTAACTATTAATTAATTATACTTAGAGGCTTAAGCCTATTATTATTAATAACCTAGCTAGAGGCTTTTTAGCTAAGCTTATTAGTATTAGAGCTTAGTATAATAAACTTAAATAGAGTATTATCTACTTTAATACCTTAGAAAGTAAAAGAGATAGAATAATAGCTTAGTATAATAATAATATTATACTATTTACTATAACGCTTAAAGCTCTCTACAAAACTATAGTATAATTAAAGAAGAAACTAAGCAAATTATATACTAGCGTAGTTTAAACGCGTATAGAGTATAAGGAGCTAACCCTAAGGGTAGTTACTAGTATAAATTAGATAAATTTGCTAAGAATCTATAGTACTAGTTTTTCTCTACTTATAGTCCTTCTAGTAGCGTACTAAGAGTTTCTAAAGTATAGGTAGTAGTGTAGGTATTAGTAGTTAGGCTTACTAAGCTTTAAGGCTTTACTTACTAAGGTTCTACTAGGCCTAGCCTGTTATATAAGTCCCCCCCTAGTAAAAATTCTTATATTTTAACCCTACTATAATATAATATATTAACCTATTACTAATACCTTTGCCTACGTCTATATATATATTTTTAGCTTTAACTTATATACGCTTTTGCCTCTCTTACTCTTCTTTATTAATATAGTTAATACTTATGCTAGTGCTGTTTCTAGTAGTAAGTAGTCTACCTTTACTACTCTTACGCCTACCTAGCGTAAGAGAAAGAAGGCTAAGATAGATACTTAAAGGGCTAATCTTACTAAAGCTAAGGCTAAGCTCTCTATTACTACTTCTACGTCTATATCTAACTTATTTAGTAAAGAACCTAGTATAAGTTTTCTATTTAAGTTTTACTTATTCTTTTACCTATTTCTTAATATTATCTAAATAAATACCTACTCTATAGCCTACTAACTACTTTGCTTTTGTAGTTAACGTTTCCTTTATTAGTAAGCTTAACCCTCCTTACTATATTAACTACGCAATATATCTAGCTACCTAGGGTAAAATTTATAAGTTTAATAAGGGTAGAGCTACTT